GGACTTGAACCATCATAGTATGATAGATCTTATTGATAAGAAGTGCAGTGTTTAGAAACTGCTGCTCTGAACTTATTCTTTTTTTAGTTATTGCCCTTTGTTATTTTTCATACTTCATTTTTGTCCTGGCCTTTTCTCCTAAACTACATTGCTCACAAGGCGACACATCTGACTCGCGGAGTTCTAGTTTCTAGCTTAATTTTACAATTATCATCTCTTAAAATACATGTACAACAACTTTTAAAATAATGGTTGTCTGGAGTAAATCTTTTCAATGATATCACACTCAAACTAAATACAGTTGTAGAGACAAGTGAGCAGAAGTCTTGTGTCAAATAACCATAATTCTACATTACTTAGTTTTTGAATTATCTCCGTATATATTTCATGATACTGTTCTGAGAGAGGATTAAAATATTGAAGGAATTTGATTGAAACTTTATAAACGTTATACAGTGAAAGAGATTAGCATGAGAATTGCAGTAAACAAAGGCCATTATAAGTTCTAATGACATGGTCACATTCATATAATGTGATGCAAAAAATATTGACAATTTGAGTGTTTACTTGATACTGATACAGAAAATTTGATATATATCACAATTGATTATTTTTTCATAGCTTTGTCTCCCTTTATAATGTCATGTGTTAAAATAGTCAAGCTTGCAGTTTCCTCTGGTAGCTCTAATTTCACTTGTTGCTCTTGTCAAAAAAGGCCAATAACGGTTCATGATCGACCTACACGTACATGTAACCTAAATATTATATTTAAACATGTGTGTCATAGAATAATTGTATCAACTATTGTTCATTTACTGAATTGTGCACTTTATATTTATCAACCGGCAACACCCTTCACTCATTGAATTATCTGCCCCGAAATAGAAAAAATAGTTATTTGATCCTTCATACGTCCCAACTGCAGTGCCTTCAGCACTTTGATTTATCTCCTACGTAGCTCAAGATACCTACGTCGGTGAATATATAAATGGACACTTACATGTTCTTGGTTACCTAATGCTTAACATAAAGACAGGAAACGAACGTCACCAATAATGTAAAAAAAACGGCTACGTTTACATCAGAAAATAGAGAAAATAAGAATCCCTAAAGAAAGTTCAAAACAATAAAATTGAAAATCAGTAAATGTTGCAGGCACGGTTTCATTTAGCATGTTCATTGAGGTTACTGTCAATTGTAAACCCTCCCTTATGAGGGATCAGAGATGAGACTTTTCCTGAAAGAGTAGAATAGAAAAATACAGTATGACAATAAGCATCCCTTTTGTATATGAGACATGTTTTTAATTAGCATAACTACTGTTCTGTTTACAGTTTTTTGTTTATATTTTTTTGCAGTGTTGGGCTTTCTTTAGCGATTCTGTTTCTCTATTTTATATTTTTACTATTTGAATTTTTCTAGTTGGGTGGTTCCAATATTCCTACTTGAACAATGTTGAATCACCCTAAGGATATGCTGCTTGCTTTTTAACTTTGAATTTTGGTTTCTTATCTGTGCTATGAAGACTCCATAATCTCTGATACCCTTAAAAATCCATTTTGTTTAGTTCCGACCATTTTTTTTTCATTTAGGGCACACGCTTTCTATTTCTTAGGGACAATACACCGATTTTCATGCAGTGGCAAGAAAGTGTCATTTTAAAGGTATTAATGATAACTGCCGTATGAACATATCTGCAGATGTCTCTAAATTAAAAATGTTGCCAAAATTATAATCCTAAAAATTAGTTAGAAAGGATGCTTTCATAATTTCTAGTTAAATTTCAAATATGAATAATCCGGTGTCAAAAAGGGCACACAGACTAAATATTGAAAATCCGATGTTACATTTATAGCTCAAATCTCTTGGCAGTTCGTGAGTTAAACATAATTTACCGTGGTAAAACCCTAGGTCACAAAAAACCCTTGTGAACACACGAGGGGCTTACGTTTTTGTCTAAATATCCTAGAAATTGGCCCGAATGGTTGCTTAGATGATTTCCAGCTCAAGTTTGCAAGTTTGAATATGGGTCATCTGAGGTCAAAACTTCGGTCATAAAAAGCTTAAATATGGGCAAGCATTGTTAACACTCTAAAGAGCAATTGAAGCTTAACTATGAAGTGAGTTGTAAACACACACATTAACTGGCTGCAAGTAGATCAGTGAGTTGCGGGTAGAACAATTGTGTGCTTGGTAAGCTTCCTTTTTATTGTGCAATCGACAGCTGCACAAAATATTAATCTTAAATTAGGTCAATGAAAATAGATAAAAAAAAAGAAAAAAATATCTTTGTATAATCCGGTTTATTTATATATTAAGTTCTACCTGCATCAAACCGTAAATCTCGCTATATGTTTACGGGTGTGATAATAAGGGTGTTTATCTCTGTGTCAGGGGCGTCTTAGTGGTTAACGTCGTTTGCTTCAAACCACTTGCCTCTCACCGCTTTGGGTTCGAATCCCTACATTGACTTTGGATTCTCTCATGTGAGGAAGCTATCCAGCTAGCTTACGGAAAGTATGTCGTTCTACTCAGGTGCTCGTTTGTGCCTGAATAATGCAAAGAAGGGCACCTGAGGTTCTCCTCCACCAGTAAAGCTGGAACGTCGCCAAATGACCTATACTGTGTCGGTGTGACGTAAAACCCGATCAAACAAACAAATCTCTGTGTCAAGTGAAACATTACAACGGTTGGGTCACAGTCATCTCATGGAAACTGCAAATTTAACTTTATATGCATATTTAAAGATCCTGAAACTCCTGCAATATGGTTTAGTATAAAAAATATGGTTTCCTTAATTATTGCATGATTTGGAACTTTTCCTTTGTTCTTACTAACCCATTATACTCAGTACACTTCAATGAGCATTTGAAAACTGTATAGATATATAACAGTACAGTTTTTTCATTGATTCATATAGGGAAAAAACTCGACTGTTATATATCGGTCGAGTTTTTTCGCACCTGTTATATATCAATGCAGTTTTTTCATAGAGGCTCCAATGGGGAAGTGGTAACAACCATTCCCAGTAGCAAAATAATGAAATAAAGTAAAAAATGAAATCAATAAAATAAAAAAATATATATATATATATATACAAAGAAAAATATAAACAAAGATAACTAATGAATTGAAATTTACTCTCATTTAATCAAAAGGTACATCCGCTGAATGAATTATTTCCACTGAAAAAAGCCCTTTAATCTTGAATTAATATTGGTAACAGTTTACAATCCGCGTCTGATATTGGATGTCTTTTGTATATTTTTTTGCGGCAGCGAAAACAACTTGAAAAAAAACTGCCTTATCATTAATAACTGTAATGTAGTGAATGATTTATTTATTTATTTATTTGTTTGTTTCTATTACAAAAAAAGAAAACATTAGGTCATTGCGATAAAACAATTATAGTATATGAAACTCGTTAGTAACGGGGGTATAACACTGGCTGGGGCAAGATCTCGGGATGTTTCTGCAAAAACAATTGTCTCGGCCTAACGGCCTCGCCATTTTTTAGCAAAAATACCCCTTGATGTCGCCCCAGCCAGTGTTATATCCTCGTAACTAACTCGTTTCATGTACTATAAGTAATAGTTATAGTATATGAAACGAGTTAGTTACGAGGGTATAACACTGGCTGGGGCGACATCAAGGGGTGTTTCTGCTAAAAAATGGCGAGGCCGTTAGGCCGAGACATTTTTTTGCAGAAACATCCCGAGATGTCGCCCAAGCCAGTGTTATACCCCCGTAACTAAAGAGTTTATATACTATAACTGTTTTATCGCAATGGCATAATGTTTTCTTTTTTTTGTATAGAAACAAATAAATAAATTAATCGTTAGCTACATTACAGTTATTTATCATAAGGCAGTTTTTCAAGTTGTTTTCGCTGCCGCAAAAAAAAATATACAAAAGACATCCAATATAAGAGGCGGATTGTATACTGTTACCAAGATTGATTTAAGATTAAAGGGCTTTTTTCATTTCATTAATTATCTTTGTTTATATTTTTCATTGTATTTATATATTTATTTTATTTTATTTTATTGATTTCATTTTTTATTATCTTATGGGTTTTTTTTTGCTACTGGGAATGGTCGTTACCACTGCCCCATTGGAGCCTCTATGAAAAAACTGTATTGATATATACAAGGTGCGAAAAAAACTAGACCGATATATAACAGTACAGTTTTTTTCCTATATGAATCAATGAAAAAACTGTACTGTTATATATCAATACAGTTTTGAAATGCTCATTGAAGTGTACTGAGTATAATGGGTTGGAAAGAACAAAGGAAAAGCTCACAGCCATGCGATAACTATTACATAAAGTTTTATCAATATTGAAACTTCCAAAAAGTATCATTTGTAAAGATATAACCGAACTAACATTTCACGTAAATAAAGGGAGGTTATGAAAAATTATTTTCGATAAAGTCTCAAAGAAATTTTTCAAATAAGAATGAATGCATATATTTAAATGATTACGTATAATGTGCATAAGCATTTGCAATACGTATTTAACATATTTTTCGATGTATGGAAATTGTTTAAGAAGAATATTTATATACAAATAAAAACTTTCACATAAGTTTTGTTACTTTCTTAATTACAACATACAGGATCTGACATAACTAAATCCAATATCTTGATGTTTTAGACCTTTTATATGTGGGGGAGTACCTTGAAGACTTGTAAAGTCCAAATAGAGAAAAAATATATAATAAACAAAACGTTTCTTCTTGTGACGTGAAAATCGTCATATGAGCCGCGTCACGACAAAACCAACGTAATGGGTTTGCGACCAGCATGGATCCAGGCCAGCCTGCGCGTCCGCGCAGTCTGATCAGGATCCATGCTGTTCGCTATCACGTTCTCACTTGTAATAGGGTTGGTAAGCAAACAGCATTGATCCTGATCAGACTGCACGGATGCGCAGGCTGATCTAGAACTATGCTGGTCGCAAACGCACTATGTTGGTTTTGTCGTGACGCGGCTCATATTTCACTCATATAATTATACAACCACTCGTGATTTTTTTTTTCAATTTACTCAGTGAAAATAAATCCTGCACTTATAGAAAAGAAAAACTTTAATATCTTCTATGTACTTAACAACTTCACATAGGCTTTGTGACATATGTCAATGATCAAAATTTTAAAACGAAACACGTTTAAACAACGTCATCTTTCTTATTCAATCAGGTACAAAAGAATATATGTTAACATGCGATTGTACTGTCTTGGCATTAACATGATTCATATTAAAAAATTTACAAATCTATACGCTTTTTTTAAAGAAAAATGGGGAATTAACCTTCTTAGTTTTATATTAACATCTGTAAAAAACTATAAGTCAATCTTTTGAAAAGAGAATTGAAAAAAACTGAAAAAAATGAAAAGTGATACATTCAAAATAACTATGTTGTCATAACAACAAATCATTATCAAAAGAAAAGAAAAAAACATCACAGAGAAACATGAGGGAGACATATTAACATTTCGTCATGTGTTCCGTTCATATCTTAATTAATGACGTATTATTTATTGTTCTTTTCTAAAAAAAAAATATTTCCTGAAAAAAGACACCCTCATCGTAAAAGTATTCAGATTAAACTCATTGCGTCGTGGCTGAGAGGATTTCTCAGCGGACAAGAAAAAAATCAAGTGTTGTCATGAAATTATTAATTTTGAGGGCGCTGTAACACAAAAATGCATGATTTATTGTTCAAAAGCTACATAAAAACTAATCCAAACAGATACTTTCTTTATCGTTATATGTTTTTCGTTATATTATTCAAAGTTAACTTATTTACTTGTTATATGAGAAATATGGATGAAATAAAATGCGTATATTTATTTCCCATATTTTCACTGCAGAGAAACATTTTCCACAATCTTTCATTGGTGTCTTGTCGGACTACTTTCTTAAAAATTTACCAAATACCCACATTTTAAAAGGAAGTCTTTCAAATTGGAATGTCAGAAAAAAGAAAGAAATATATATATATAGAAAATTCAAGTGTTTTTCTAAAATTTTAGGATTTATTTTCATCTTGTGGAATGAAAATTATCATATTTTTTATCGTGGCTATTGTCAATCATGAAATATTTATTTTCATAACACTCAGTGAACATAAATCCTGTATTTATAGAAAAAAACGACGGATAAAAAGCTCATTGTATCATAAGAATCTTAGACTGTCTTCATCTTTACTTGTCCGGTATTACCCGAGCCTAATCCGATAACCATGCAACGCGACATTTATGCCAAACTCGTTCGATGTGCGTTTCACCTGCAACTCATGCAATGCGTGAATGTTGGTCATATTCAGATGGTATGTGAAATACGCTTGGTTATTCAACAGAATCTGAAACAGAATCATGTCAAAGTTTATACGCTATACACTCAGAGGCAGTTATAACCCGACACTTACATTTTTCGGTATAAATTGATTATTTGTGGAACAATTCAATATATAATACTGATAACTTAGAATTTTAATTACAATTCATTGACAAGAAAATAGAGACAATAACAAATAAAAATTAATATGCTACTGCAAAATGAAAAATCACAAAATGGCTGTAAATATTGTAACAAAATGAAAAGTATCAGAACCCCATGTATGTTAACCCGTTCTAATACTTTGTGTGTCATCCCATGGCTATAACAACGTGTAAACATCTGTCAATGACGTAGTTATTCACGAAAGCTAAGGAGAATATTTTTCTTTTACTAAATAAGGGCTTCCTCGAGATCTAGCAGCTCCTCCATCCCAAGTCGTCACAAGATCTTAACATAACACTTGTCGGCTGAAATGAACAGGCATGTGAGAAAGCGACCAGAAGCCTCTTGTAATTGGCTGGAACTTGAGCAAGCCTTTGTATAGGAATAGAAAATTGTGAGGCAGAGGGTTTTTACATTGTTGTTATATAGCCAATTTGGCGTACATACAAACTGTTAGAACTGGTTAACAGACAGATTAAGTGGGATTCAAAGACTGCTCATTTTGTTAGGATTTTTACAGTCATTCTGTGATTTTTTATTTTACAGTAGCCTATTAGTTTTTTTTTTATTTTCTTATCATTGAATTGTAAATATAATTCTAAGAAGTTCATATGTTATGGTAAATTTTGTATGGTCCAAATTTGAACAAAATCCTTCCACAAATAACATATTTATACTGAAAAATGTAAGTGCCAGGTTATAAGTGCATCTGAGTATATATCTGCTGCAAAAAAAACAAATGTTGGATTTTTAAGAAAACAAACTACACAAATGAATTTTGTATGCTAGTATATTTCATTCAAAGCGAATGGCACGTTTTTTTCTTAAAACAGCAGCATAAAGGTTTGTTCCGGTGTCTGCCTGAATGCTTAGCTGGAAGAGCAATCTAGTGGGGCATTCGAAAATTGAGTGTAAACTTGACCTGCTGAAATGCCGAGCTGACAGAGTAATGTAGCGGTAAATTCCTTAAAAGGTGTAAAAGTGCTCGGCTGTAATGGTCAGCTGGCAGAGCAATCTAGCAGAGCATTCTGAAATATACAGGAAAATGCTCGACTAAAATGCTAATCTGGCTAAGCAATCTAGCGGGGCAATCCAAAATATAGTGTAAAAATGTTCAGCTTGAATGCGGGGCTTGCAGATCAATCTAGCAGGACATTTTTAAATATAGTGTTAAAATTGCTCAGCTGAAATGCTGAGCTGGCAGAGCAATTTAGCGGGGCATCTTTTAAATGTTTAACTGGCTTAACAATTTAGTGAGGCATCCAAAATATGATGAAAAATGCTCAGCTGGCTATGCAATATAACAGGGCATTCCTGAATATATAGTGCAAAAATGCTCTGCAGGAATGCATCGCTGACTGGGCAATCTGGGTAAAATTTTATGTTGTGCAAGAAATGCTCTGATGCAATGCCTAGGTATTGTTGTTTTTTGATGTTGTTTTCTTGTTGTCACCTAGATCTATTTCACTGGTCTGCGAATGATTCTCAAATCCATGCAGACTTCCAAGATTTTTGATGCCAAATGAATTTATAACCTATTTTAAGTTCTTATAACCACAGGAGTCCATTACATTGGTTTGAGACTGATTCTGTTGCACTCGCAGACTTTAAGGAATTTTGGTGCCAATTGAGATAATGACATTTTTTACTTCTACGGACCCTTCGGAGTTAATTTTGCTGCATGAGCCCATTTTCGACTTCTAAAGACCATCTTGAGTCCATTGCTTTGGTCTGAGACTGATTCTGGGGTACTCTTAGACTTTCAGGAATTTTGGTGCCAATGTAGGTAATGAAATTTTCAACTTCTAGGGTGTTAATTTTGCTGCATGAGCCAAAAATCAAAAGTCTTAAATGTAATTATTTCCTCTGGCAAAAAGTCATCGAGTGCCTAAGAATCAGACGCAGAAAATGTTATGGACTCAGGAGGGTCCCTGGAAGTTAAAAATATCATTTTCTCCTTTGACACATAAAATTTTGAATGTCTGCGAGTGCCAAAGAATCAGTCTCAGACCAATATATGAACTCTGCAGCGTCCATAGAAGCCAAACATGTCATTATCTCTCTCCATTGGCTCAAAAGTTCCTGAAAGTCTGCGAGTGTCGAAGAATAAGTCGCAGACCAAAGAAACGGACTTAAGAGAGTCCCAAAAGGTCAAAAATATCATTATTTATATTGGAACCAAATTTTTCTGAAAGTCTGCGAGTGCCTCAAAATCAGTTGTAGACCAAAGAACTGAACTCCGGAAGGTAACTTGAAGTCGAAAATATCTTTATCTCCATTGGCAACCAAAATTCCTGAAAGTCTTTGAGTGCCTCAGAATAAATCGCAGCCCCCTGGATTGCTTAGCCAGATGAGCATACCAGCGGAGCATATTGTACACTATATTTAGGAATGCTATTATAGATTGCTCTGTCAGCTAAGCATTGCAGCAGAGCATATCTTGCACTATATTTTGAAATGTTCTGTTATATGCCTAGCCACCTGAGCATTCCAGCAGAGCAACTATATTTAGAGTCTAATAGAGTAACTATATTTTGGAATGCCCCACTATCTTGGCCTGCAAGCTAAGGATTCGAGCAGAGCATTGTTATACAATATACTAGATTGTTCTGCCAGCTCGGCATTTCAGCAGAGAAATTTTACACTTTATTTCAGAATGCTCAACAAGATTGCTTTGCCAATTGAGTATTGTAGCAAAGCAATTGTCTGCACTATGTTTTAGAATAGATGAAATAGCCAGCTGAGCATTCAGGCAGAGCATTGTTACACTTTATTTTTGTAGGCATATTATATTGCTCTGCCAGCTGAGCATTCTAGAAGAGCAGTTTACTCTCTATTTCAGAATACTCTGCTAGATTGCTCTGTCAGCTCGGCATCTAAGCAGAGTAATTTTATGCTTTATTTAAGAATGTCCCGCAAGATCGCTAAGTCAGATGATTATTCCAGCAGAAATATTTTTTCACCTATATTAAGGACTACTCTACTAGCTTGTACTGCCAGCTGAGCATTGCAGCAGAGCTATGTTGCCGTGAAAGCTGAGCATTTAGTAGGGCATTTCTACCTTATATTCCAGAATGCTCTGCTGAATTGCTCTGGCAGCTGAGCATTTTTTGCACAATTTTAAGGATGTCGCGCTAGATTGCTCTGCCAGCTTGGCATTTAAGCAGAAAATTTAGTACACTATATTTAAGAATGCCCCACTAGATTGCTTTGCAAGTTCGGCATTTCAGCAGATCATTTTTATACCGTATTTAAGAATGTCCCGCTGGATTGCGTAGCCAGATTAGCGTTCCAGGATTTGTACACTGTATTTAGGAATGTCCTGCTAGATTTCCCAGCCACCTGAGCATTCCAGCAGAACATTTTGTACCCTATATTTTGGATGCTCTGGAAGATGCTTTGGAAGGTTTCTCTGCAAGCTCGGCATTCAAGCGGCACATTTATTACACTATGTTTAAGAATGTCACGCTAGATTGCTCTGCCAGTTCGACATTTTTTAAACTATATTTAAGAATGTCCAGCTTGTTTGCTTAACAAGCTGAGTATTCCAGCATGCTTTTTACACTAAATTTAGGAATGCCCTGTTATATTACCAAGCCAGCTGAACAGTACAGCAGAACATTGATTTCCTACATAATTTGTAATGCTCACTGCTGACTTCTCACATACTGGGTAAACATATATAAAATTAGAAATTGTTTCGATTGTTACCCCTGATAAAAACATAACAAATCATACGCAAAACTATTCTAATTTTATAGAATATAATCATGAGCGCTTTATTAAAATGCAATAAATTAAACATCTTTTAACTTGTGGGTTCTAAAGTTGCTGGGGATTTTTATATCTATAAAGTATTTATTAGAAAAAATAAAAACATAATTATTTGTATTCATAAAAAACGCCTCGTGTCAAAATTTTTTAATACATTCCCGCGTTTTGGGAACATCCGCACAAACGTTACACCCTTAGATATGGAATTCATTTTGGAATAAAATGGTATACAATTCGAGTTATTTGGAGTGTATATTAGACCGTTCGTGTGATTATCACGGCACTACACCCAACCGTGTGAATATGCTTTTGTTGAATTTCTGAATTGAATTGTAACTTAATATATATTTATATGCTAAATCATTCTCATGAATAAAAAACATCGACAAATATATAGAAAGTATTAAAAATAAATATAAATGAAATAAAAAAGAATATATAATAAAATAAAAATGCCTTATCAAGTATTACCCTTGTTGGATTTGAAAGTACGACTTTCCGAATGCAAAACAAGCACCTTAACAACTACACAATCGGGCCATATAATATTCAAAAAACTGTTTTCCTTGTTGTGCGTGTTCGTATTTAGCTTTTTCCTGCCTACCCTATGTACTTTAAATTTAGGATTTCTCATTCTCGATCTATTTGTATCGATAGTATATTGCAAGTCTACAATATTAACATATTAAGCCACGCCTTTAATATCCAATATTGTTGTTACTGTATATATGTTTACTTGATGTTTCGGAGTTTTTGACTGTCTACTTGAATTAAAATATATAAAATATGATTAACAAGATCAAAAAGGAAAGGCGGCATTCAATGAACGAACGCAACTCCCACATGACCCAGCAACAAAAACCAGTTGCAAGGAGCCCAGGCGGACCCCAAACAAAAAAGGACAGGGCACAGAGCAGAGCACGGACAGGCTAATCACTAGGTTCATGGCGCCACTGCAAAAAGCAATTAAGGTTCCTAAGGTTTTTTTTTCCATTAACAAAAACTATCATCATAAATCTTACTTTCATGCAATATACCAAATCTAAAACACATAAATACCTGTCGATACGAGACGATATTGTGAGCTTTTACATAGAATTCATTTGGAGGTCAATGTACAAATTAAAAAGAAAATTATAGTCAAATTTCTCGAAACAAGTTATTTTTGCACTTAATGAAACTAATCAACAGAACAGACATAAGGTGTTTTCTGTGATTGTATGGCTTTTATTGCAACGAGTACAATCATGTCACTCCAATGCTGCTTTTACACTATGAGCGGATTCCTCACGTCTGTCGGACTCTTTCCAGATGCGATGCAATATTAACATAGAATTATCAAAAATGCATAATTTAACCTGGTTCTCATGCACACGAATTTGAAAGTTGCAAAATGTGATCATGTCATCCCATGAATTTGAAAGGAAAATGTTTACAAATGAAAATGATATAAAATTATTACTTCCCATAAAATTGAAAAAAAAAGATGATAAGTACTGTTTATTTCGTTTAATGAAAAAAGTCAATCGTTATTCTCAATAATATGAAAAACGTTGATTTGTAAAACATTGTTAAGCTTGACTGGGTCCCCTGAAAACCAAATAAAAACCATTACAAACTAAGCTAAAACTAAATCAAATTTATTGCACCTCACGTCAAATTATGCCGTGTTATTCAAGGATGAAATTTTACCTCTACGGATTCACTCTGTGATAGGACCGAAAATTTCAAAATGTTTGGTCCTATTCCCTTGATATCCAAATACTCTTCGGTTTTAACTCCAGTACCGTTACGCAAATCAGATTCCTCGGAAAGTAATATTATGCCGGAATCAGTCACAGTTCCCACAGAAACGAAATTGAAGTGACGATACCATCTGTTTGATATACGCGAGAAAGAAAACACGTGTTAAAACATGGCAGTAACTGTATATTTTGATATGTAATAATACAAACGATAACCATGATGACGAATATGATCGTGATGATAATGATGATGATGATAACGGTGATGAACATAACGTTGATAATTATGATCATTTTCATTTGATATATATATATATATATATATATATATATATATATATATATATATATATATATATATATATATATATATATATATATATATGGAAAAATAGTCACATCTGCACATCAAATCTGTCCCATATTCAGCCATGGACACTCCTCTTGAAGCGTATAATATTGATAAACAGAGTATTGAATTAGTAGTTATGCGATTTTGTAGTTGTACAAATATTGCCTTTTCAATATCTCCGTGTCCCTTTAATTATTTCATTTGAAAACAAGATATGTTTGTAAAACATGTATGCCCCCTATCGGCAGCCAATTAGTCATGGGATCAGTTTATTATGACTGACTTTTGACCTAGTGACCAAAAAAATGGGGTTAATTACTGGTCATGACAAGTCACTAGGTAATTGTGACCGCAAAAGTTAAGTGCAGCAATTTTATGACAAAGTTATTTCAAATATTACCAAATAATATATGCATAAATTTTATGAATCATATAGGCCTCATTAATGACAGCCAAGTTGTTATATTACACAAGACCTTGAAATGTGTATACCAAAAGGATTTTAGTTTAATAAAAAATATCAACCAAGGCAACTTGAGTTGTTGAGTTTTTGGTCAGAAACAGTCTTTACATACAAGTTTAATATGACATTGACCTTTGACCCTATATCAATAGGGGTTATCTACTGGCCAAGACCAATGCACCTGTGAAGTTTGAAGGTAAAGGGCCCATGAGTTGGGATATTGATCAGAAAGCGTTGTTACCTATAAGGTCAATGTGATCTTGACCTCTGACCCCTTAACGCCAAAAAATCCATTGAGGTCATCTTATGACCAAAAGCAATAAATCTGTAAAGTTTGAAGGTCAAGGGTCCATGGGTTTTCCAGTTATTGATAGAAAACCATTTTGAAATACAAGGTCAATGCAACCTTGACCTTTGTTCCCCTGACCCCAAAATCATTAGGGGTCATCTACTGGTCAAGTCCAATGCACCTACCAAGTTTGAGGGCCAACAGCCCATGGGTTATCAAGTTATTGATTGTAAACCGTTTCTATCGTTTTAAGTCAATGTGACCTTGAACTTTGACCCCTTGACCCCAAAATACGGGTCATCAGATGGTCATGAACAATCATCACACCAAGTTTGAAATTCCTAGGCCTAAGGGTTCCTTAGTTATCACTCGGAAACGGTTTTTACCTACAAAGTCAATGTGACCTTGACCTTTAACTCCTTGACCCCTAAATCAATAGGGATCATCTGCTGGTCATGATCAATCATCATAACAAGTTTGAAGTTCCTAGGCCTAAGCGTTCTTTAGTTATCACTCGGAAACCGTTTTTACCTATAAAGTCAATGTGACCTTGACCTTTGACCCCAAAATCGATAGGGTCATCTGCTGGTCATGAACAATCAGCAAACCAAGTTTGAAATTCCCAGGCCTAAGCGTTCTTTAATTATTGACCGGAAACTGTTTTACCTACAAGGTCAATGTCATCTTTACCTTTGACCCCTTGACCCCAGAATCAATAGGGGTCTTCTGCTAGTCATGAATAATGATCCTATCAAGGTTGAAGTTCCTAGGCCTAAGCGTTCTTTAGTTATCACTCGGAAACGGTTTTTATCTACAAGGTCAATGTGACCTTGACCATTGACCCCTTGACCTCAAAATCAATAGGGGTCATCTGCTGGTCATGAACAATCACCATACCAAGTTTGAAGTTCCTTGGCCTAAGGGTTCTTTAGTTATCACTCGGAAACCGTTTTTACCTACAAGGTCAATGTGACCTTGATCTTTGACTCCTTGACCCCAAAATCAATAGGGGTCATTTACTGGTCATGAACAATCATCATACCAAGTTTGAAGTTCCTAGGCCTAAGCGTTCTTAAGTTATCACTCGGAAACCATTTGGTCTACGGACCGACGGACCGACCGACAGACAAATGCAAAGCCATATACCCCCACTTCTTTGAAGGGGGGAGCATAAAAATAAACGACGAAATAATATCTCCCTCAATTATAAGGAATTGACAAGTAAATCATCATATAACCATCTTTAAAAATTGGAAAAATAACGTTTAAAATGGATACACTTACGTTATCGCGAGTTCGTGCGACGCATTTGAGAACCTGATACATGTCATTTCACTTAGGCTGCAAAATAGTTTGAAACAGATAGAAAATGAATTATATATGTATGGATGTATATACTTATTTAGAGTCATTTCTAAGAGTAGTGGAGTATACGAGGACCTGTTTATATATATCATAATATAAATGAGTTATCTAGTGTTTTCAAATATGAATAACAAGTAAGTGGAGTAAGCAGTATTGACCTGATGACAGTAATTTTTCCTATCGTTGTAAATATTTTCTACTTTTCCAGTGACAATTTCTGTTTTCAACCCTCTGGGTTATTTTTAGAATTTAAGTCAATTATGAAATGTCAGTCAATTCAACCTGTGTATCTCCCATGTTAGTTTCCATTTTATTTTATTCGATCTAGTACTGTACTTAAGAAAGTCTATCCAAATAACTTGTAATTTGTTTACCATCTAGCAGATATGCAAATTGATTTTTTTATCATTTATTGTTTAACAGTGTCTTATTTTCACTGCTTAAGTCACAGCACATAAAATGAAAAGATAAAGAGAAATCGGATCGCCTTGTCTGCAACCACGTCTAAATTAAAAGAAAAACTCTAATGAAATACTCCAATGTAAATAACACAAGATAACATTAAAAAGTATCACAGTTTAAACGATTATTGCGATTTATTATCACAGGGACCATGGTGTATTAAGAAAAATTTAAATATGAACATACAGTTATGAGTATGTAAGGAAACAACATGCCATAGATAACGCTATTAAAAAAGAGACAGTTTTTAAAGTCTTAATAAAAAGAATTAAAACAATTTAAAAAAATGAAACAGTTAACCTGAGCCGAAAAATAATTCAATAAATAAATGAAAACATATAAAATTTTCTTACAAGAAATTTTAAGAAAAACACTTACATGCTACTTAAAAAGTGACTTTTTATGACTACCTTAAAACAATGAAATTTATAAATTTCAGTCATCCAAGTTGGAAGACTGTTCCACAATTTAGCCCCAATAAAACTAAAAGACTTTGATCCAGACCTTTAACCTCAGAAAGACAATATCCTTCTTTTTACTCAGTCTGGTGCAATAAGAATGCATAGATTTCTGAACAAATCAATCACTTAAGTACTGTGACGCCATTTGGTTTTTAACCTTTAAAACATGACATAACATAATTTGATCAACTTTCTTACAAACTGGTAACCAATTAAGGGATTTAAAATGGGAAGGGACAATATGAACTCTGGAATCAAGGTTAAGAACAAATCTCATCATTTTATTTTGTGATGTCTGTAATTTATTTTTCAAGACCTGAGTTGAACCATCATACGAGACCCAGCAAGCATAGTTAAAGTGACACTGAATTAAGGAATTGACAAGCAGTTGTTTTTGGTATGCTGTGTAAGGAAATCTTTCTTACGGTAAAAGAACTTTAACCTGGTGTTAGCCTCCTGAATAACTGAGTCTGCCATGAAACCAAAGTACAGGTACTGATAAATAGTAACCCCAAGGTACTTGATAAATGTGGACGCTTCTATTGCAGTGCCGTTAAAATTTATATTTAATTTGGAATGTGACCTCAGTTTTTGTTTAGACCCAAACACAATCCTAAATGCAAGGATCACTTATTATCAATTAACCATTGACTTACTGAAGATAAATCTTCAGATACAGAAATTTCCACCTATGATAAACCTTTTCCAGAAACAAGTATTCCAGAGTCACCAGCATATAACAACAGTCTACTTTTCACTACCGCTAACATGTCATTGACGTAAATTAAAAATGGGAAGGGGCCCAAGGATTGAACCAATGGGGAACACCACGTGTTATACTTGAAGTAGAAGAAAAACTACCTGACACATCAACAAGCTGTTGTCTCTCAGAAAGATATGACCTAAATCACCTTATGATGTCATCACCAAGACCAGACGCTTGAAGCTCTTCATTAAGAGAATGGAATGGTCAACAGTGTCAAAGGCTTTCTATAAGTCTGACAGAGCCATACCTACCTCATTACCCTTATCAACTTCATGCCTAATGTAGTCTGTCATGTAAATTAGACAAGTATCAGTAAAGAAACAATTTCTAAAACCAGACTGGAATTTATACAACAGCTTATTCTCTTTAAAATATGTTTCAACTTTGTCATAAACTATCTTTTCAATTACCTTGGAAACTACATTTAAAATTGACACAGGCCTGTAGTTACCAACAGAAAGTTTTTCATTCTTTTTTAAAAAGGAGGACAACTCTAGCAGTCTTAAGATCATCAGGAACTACACCTTGGATAAGAGACAAGTTTACAATGTGGATTATAGGACCTGCAATTATAGGTAACCCATCCCTGACAAAACGGGAATTTATACCATCTAAGCCAGTAACTTTGCTAGCACTTCGTGAATTTAAGTATTTATAAACTTTTCTTTCACACAAAAGAGAAAAAAAACTATAAGGATAAATACCTTTTTCAGCATAAAATGAGTTTACAAAAACCTGACCAAATCTGTTTACACATTTAGGGAGTTTTTCAACAAGTTAGAGTTTTGTGTAAAAACAAAGACATTTCCTTCTGAAACATAGGGCCAAAACTGAATTATTTACTCTTCGGTTCCAAAGACTAAGTAATGACTATCTATAAATATTATATTAACATGAAAGGAAGCAAAGTTTGCAACATCATAAATAACTGTGATAGAACAAGTCTTTCGTTTTTTGAAAAAAATGCTTTCAATAAATTATTTCTACTTCTGCAATATCTAGCTAACGTGATGTAATGATAAGCATTTGTGGTCATTTTTCAATATACATGTATGTAGAAAATAAGTAAAGTAAGTAGTTTTGATGATTTAGCTAAATCATCTGATTATCTTATAAATGTTAAGTAGTTTGTACTTTCCTTTTTCTTATACATGTATTTGTAACATTTGCATTATAATACTATTTATTTTTGCAAAATTGTATATGTTTTTTTTAATAATACTTTAAATACTACATATAACCAAAGCATTTATAAAGTCACACAAAAATAACAAGAAAACGGAACATCTAAATAAAAACTATAAAATAGAAGTTGTCCTACTCTGAAGATACTCGCACAACAATGGTCATTATATTAAAGTGACATTATAACATTATTAACATAGTCAAGTTGAGATTAATTGACTTTATATTTCTAAAGATTGACTATTAAAATTGTGTTTGACCACCAGTTGATACTGGAAAATGTTCATGATAAAATTATAAATCTGCCAAAATAGACTGTCCCACTCTTTTTATAAACTGAGTGTAATAGGTAAATAGATAATAGATATTTACAGAAATTTTATTTGGATCTGTTCATTATTTATCGTAAATGGGAAGTAAATTACTAAATTATAAGGAATTATGGCAAAAGGAAAAGTCCCATTTGATGGGCATAACGTCACTTTAATATGCTTATAATTTGATTTTTATGTTTACGAACCATGTTTTTTCTTAGTTACAAGAAATTTTTATGGCATTGTCATGCAAACTTTGCTTATAAGTATGTATGTATCCAAAACTTAGACATAATATATGCAAGTTTATCAGTTTTACTTCGGTTGGGTATCTTACTTTTTTAAGATTCATCTTTTGTAAATTCACGATGGATGCCCTTATTTTAGAGTAACAGAGCACATTTTTCTCAGTTCAGATTATTCAGTTGAGCATAACCCTGGACAAAAACCAACAAATTGTATATTTTATTATCAAAGTAAAACACTGATTTAAACAATTGCTATGATAACAAAAATTCCTTATGTTTTGGCAGCTGACTTCAAAATCTCTTGATGGATGTGAAAAGTTATGGGCCAGGCGACCATTTCTAACTGCTAAGCTTCTGACCTTTGATGTTGATATTTGAGGAGGGGTCTTGGTTTTGTATATTGCACACCACCTTAGCAGGCTTAACATATGTGCCATTTAAAAGACAAAAAAGAAAGAAATAACTAATGCATTATATAATCTTAGGGCTGATAAGATTTTTTAACTACTGATTTTTGACTTCTAAATTTGACCTTGGCCTTAGAGATAGGAGAGTAGGTGTTCAGTGTTAAGCATGACAAATAGTCTGATAACGCCAATTTGCTTTATCATGACCAGGATATAAAATAAAAATGTTAGTTTAAAATCCTTCTTGAAGCATTAAATCTCTTATATCTCAGAAATAACTTAAAACGTCTTTTCTCCAAAACTTTGTCTGAACCTTTCGTAGAACCAGCTGGCAGTATAGATATTTGGGTGAAGTTGCTTATTATACACGATCAGATAAAAAGTGCTTCTAGAACAAAATATGTAAAGAAATGGAAAATCCGCTATCTAATGCGCCTTCACATATCATTTGTTGATTCACGTTCATTTAAACAAACAAGAAAATTTAGAGGACGTGTTGAAAGAAAGAACAAAATAGAAAATGAAAGAAAGAAAGAGAAAGAAAATGATAAAAATACTCACAGAAATGACTGCACTTCATTCCAATCATTTTGAACAGAAGCATACATGTCAAATCTGAAGCCAGGTTTGATACCTTTAGAAATTGGCCAGAGTATGTCATCAAATTTCTGAAATAGAGAAAAATTAGTAAAATTCTCAAAAATGGACATAATAAATGATGTAATAAGTGACAAAAGAATGCATGTGCATGTAGTCTTTAAGTTGGTTATTTCGGTCATTTAGAATCATTTTAGAATTCGATTTGCATTGAATCATCGTGACGTTTTATTATCTATGTACACAGCTGACGGATGTTAGCGACCGACATAACAATTATTAAGTTATAAGTTTGTTTATCTTTAAAACTAATTAGATATACTGACGATTGAAATATATCATACGTTTAAATATACAGGATAAACACCTAAGCCGACATCTGTGTCATGAGGAACTTGCTTAACTTGTCATATCATTTTTAGTGAACTTTGATAGTTGTACAACGAGTGGAATAAAAAAAGATAAAACGTCTATCTGGAAGTTTGTTCGTATAGCGTGTATGATGTAAAATATATGCAGCCCTGATAAAGATAAATACATTCATTTCATAGATTTTCTATTCTACATTATATTTCAAATGTCTAACCTTTTATGTCAGGCGACCGGATAAATCTGATAACATGCAAAGTTAGTGCACTGGTTCCATGCTTATTTTTTTGTTGCAAGACCATGATTTACAATCTTAGTTTCAGAGAAAAAGCTATTTCAAAAATACTTCATCAAAACAACAGACATCGTTCGGAAAACCAGTAGTGTTTAAACGTGCAGAAAATTTTACAAACATAAGACTGCTAACATATTTCAAAATACTTAACTTTTATCAGAAGGACTTTAAGAACCACAATTTCGTTATAGTTAAGTGCGATATATTGATATATAATAATTAGTACAAAGTACGTTAGACCTCATGACATTATCTTTAGAAAGTACCAATTATTGTATAGATATCAACCACCCTAACAAGGGGACATTAATTGCTGTGTCCTTTTGATTAATTTATGTAAAAGTCGATAATAACCACAGAGAAATAAGCCGTATTTTAGCATGCGCTTCCTCTGTCCGCTCATTTGACTTCAAAGTAGAAATGGCAGTGCCAGGATTTTAGTGGAAATTTAACGATATAATTGTCGACACATAACGGGGTCTTTACTTCCAAAAATCAAGCTCGATCCCAGCTTTTTTTCTCAGAAGTTTCAAACTATTGTCACAATTGACTGGTGAAAAATATACTTTTCGCGTACTATTATAATTGTCACGGTTCAGAACTGTTCACTATTAAGGGGAGAAGATGTGTAAGCGGCCCTGAACACCGCACTTTTGGGTCAAACGCACTTTGTGGTCCGACGCCAAAGTGCGTTACACTTCGCACCGCACTTTGGGGTCCAACGCACTTTTGGGTCAAAATCGAGAAATTGACCCCAAAGTGCGTACATTTCAGCGCACTTTGGGCTCAAAAGTTCTGAAGGTTTCAACTGAGTTCTGCTTAAATACTGAGTTCTGACTTATTTCCGATCTGCGACATTGAAATATTTGAGGTGGAGTTCAAGATGGCGGTTTGATGCTTAAGTGATAAAAGTTTCATTAATTTTATCACTTGAAATATCTAAAATTGTGTCCATATAACAAAGTATATTAGTACATAAATTGTCAATGTATCCTAAAATTAAAAGATGCTGCGAAAAATTATCAAGTTCTGTCAGTCATCTACTGGATAACTTTTTGTGCCATATTAAGCCCCATTTTAAATATGATGGGGATGAAATAAAATGCAGTTAATATTTTTTCTTAAAAAACTATAAAATACTCTATTGCAATGTTCTGGTGAAATATCCAGTTTCTAGATCAGACTATAAATAGTCATGTTTACAAATACATTATTTAGTTTATCAACAAACTTAAGTTTTTTGTAGGCTCCGTAACAACCGTTATGTAATATCGGGGGGATCGGGACCCCATCATCCCGTCTAAACCCCCCCCACCAGTGAGAACTTTACACTATTGTATTTTCTGATCGCAGATCAGGAAATACAATGCTGACATTCAATCTCTTGCACAGCGCTTCACGACAAACCTAACAACAAGTAGTTCTCAAAACAGCTTAAAATTAGCGATGTAAAAGGAAGAACTGTTTTGATTTTGTTACAAGTATCCAACAAATTACAACGCATTCAAAATTTAAAAGTAGTGTTGGCTTATAGAATTGTCAATAAATGCACAATCACAAATTACGCGGATTTAAATGAAAATGCTATTTTTAGCGATGTTGATTACCGAATACTTCAGATAAATCTGACTGTTGAGTAGTGGAATATATACATGTCAGACTGTATTGGCGAGAATATTTTTGTTAAATTATTTACATCAGTGTTAAACAACAGGTTTATCGTCAACAAAATACCTCGAAATTAATAAGGATTACAAACCCTAAAATTCTATAGAATTATTTAAGTTTATTCAGTTTTCTTCGTATAACTTCCCCGTGGTGCAGGGGTAACGTGCTCGTCCAAAGTGCGAGAGGTCTGGGGGTTCAAATCCCAGTCGAGACAACTATTTTTAAGTGTCTTTTTAAGCCACGATATGCAAGGATAAAGTGTGGCTGTCATAAAAAAATAAACATAAATGATTTTTTATGCAACTCTGGTCATGCAAAATTCCGTATGTATCAAACTCAAACTGTTACAGTAGAACATCTAAACGCAGTCACTACATCTCGGTGCCCTGCAAGATGAATTATAGTATATAAAAATAAACTTTTAACAGATATACAGTACGCTTTAGTTGCAAATATCAGAAAATACCACAGAGCTTGCAGCCCTTTGATTATGAATGTGTGACTACTTAAATAGTTTATGATATTTTTGTGTACTGCCTGTACGGACTACTACTTAAGGCCGGATCTACACCTAGTCAAGTTTCTGAAATGTCACATTTAGATAAGTTAAATAAATGGCCATTTCAACATATAATAATCAGGCACAATTTGTAGTGAAATGTCTTATTAAGATCTCCCAGTATTTATGCCTTTGTCTATACTAAGACTCTTATATTTCTATAAAATGTATAAATAAAATAAACGGGAAAATGATGCAATTAGCTAAAAACAATGGAGTTAATGAAAGGTGTACATTCTTTTGAAATAAATGGAAAATGTGAGAAAAAATATATTTTGAGCTCATTAATTGATACAAATTCTTTATTTGATGAAAGTTCTTTGCTCCTTTAAAATCCCTATTGATTCTACAATAAGTCAGGACACATGCTTTGCCTCTATTCAATACCTTGATTTTTGTTTACCATTGGCTTTGACTGCAATATTTTATTTGAAACAGCATGAGAATTCATTTTATTGATTGAATTTTTATGACCCCAAAGTGCGGTCGCTTGTCTAATGTTAAAAAATGCATATGTACCTTTTTAACGCACTTTGGGGTCGGACCCCAAAGTGCGTTTGATCCCAAAGTGCGGTGTTACACGGCCAGATAGCTCAGTCGGTAGTGCCGCGGTACGGTATTCCGAGCGTCCCGGGTTCGAGTCCCGGTCAGGCTGCACATTTTTCTCACTCTGTGACATTTGGCGCCCAACGGGGAACCGTGACTGGATATAGCTCAGAGTTTAGTTTACATTACTCTGTGAACGAATTTCAATATAGCAGGGGAGTATGTCACGGTTCAGAACTGTTTACTATTGAGAAGAGAAGATGTGAAAGCGGCCGGATAGCTCAGTCGGTAGAGCCGCGGTACGGTATTCCGATGGTCCCGGGTTCGAGTCTCACTCTGTGACATTTGGCGCCCAACGGGGGAACCGTGACTGGATATAGCTCAGAGTTTAGTTTACATTACTCTGTGAACGAATTTCAATATAGCAGGGGAGTATGTCACGGTTCAGAACTGTTTACTATTGAGAAGAGAAGATGTGAAAGCGGCCGGATAGCTCAGTCGGTAGAGCCGCGGTACGGTATTCCGATGGTCCCGGGTTCGAGTACCGGTCAGGCTGCACATTTTTCTCACCCTGTGACATTTGGCGCCCAACGGGGGACCGTGACTGGATATAGCTCAGAGTTTAGTTTACATTACTCTGTGAACGAATTTCAATATAGCAGGGGAGTATGTCACGGTTCAGAACTGTTTACTATTGAGAAGAGAAGATGTGAAAGCGGCCGGATAGCTCAGTCGGTAGAGCCGCGGTACGGTATTCCGATGGTCCCGGGTTCGAGTCTCACTCTGTGACATTTGGCGCCCAACGGGGAACCGTGACTGGATATAGCTCAGAGTTTAGTTTACCATTACTCTGTGAACGAATTTCAATCATAGCAGGGAGCTATGTCACGGTCAGAACTCGTTTATATTGAGAACGAGGAGAATGTGAAAGCGAGCCGGATAGCTCAGTCGTGAGAGCCGCAGGTACGGTATCGATGGTCCCGGGTTCGAGTTACCGGTCGCTGCAGCATTTGTTCTTCACACCTGTGAATGAATCGATTTTCTACGGAGCGTTCTCACTAATTTAATTATTGTAAAATCGATGAATGCTTAGTAAAGGAGGAAACTAAGCATAATGTACTCATTGTCCATATAAAGATCGGATCCTTAACTGAAGGAACGGCTCACTATTTCTAAATACAATGACATATCTGTACATGCCAATAGTATAGAATACCTTCAGATTGTGTGCGTGACTTACTTCTACCTGGCGTTGTTAACTGTTTCCATGATATCGTTTTCTGCAGTATGGGAATAACCATTTCTTCATATAGTCAGCATTTGCATTTCCTTCACATTTACCGGTCAAAGCGGATACACGGAAGCCATGTTCAGCATGCTATAATAAAGAACACACGACCAAATTTACAACGCAGTATTAATTTGAATTATTTTGCGGGGATGATAAAGAAAAAAACTTTTATTTCACTGGTTTAACTATTCTATTTTTACAAAATAGAACATGGTTAACCAAGATTGCTTTGTTTTTACAACTCATAAGCTATTCAAATTTTATCATTGGGAAAATAAGTGGGTATGATCTGATTTTATTGACCTGTCAATTATGAATACATTATAACACTCATTTAAATATTCGATCACACTTCGGGTTTGTACGTTTATTTTACGAGAATATAACTAACATTTTGAAAACTCCCACTAGCTTAATGTAGATTCTCGAAACATCCGCAATAGCACAGTCGGTTAAGTGATTACCTAATGTATGAGAGGTCCGAAGTTCGATCCATTCTTTTTAAATTCTTTTTAGGCTTATTCTTTCTTTATATTTAAGTATATTTTAATGAAAATTGTCAAGCGTTTGCAAAATTGTCTACACGGATATGAAACAACTAAAACACTGAATTGTCACGTTTTGTATTGTATTTTACGGCACTGAAATGACATTTATTGATTATAATCCAAATGAATTTTGAATATTAATTCTTAAACAAGTATAGTATTTACCAAAAAATGCAAAGCATATTAAAACAGAAAGAACAACCATAACTTCAAAAATGTTGGAAATAGTTATGAATAAGAAAAAAAAACTGGACATACGCTGTCTCGATCTTACAACACTTAGGGCATTAAGATATTATAATTATACCCGTAGTTTACCCTATTTCGCTAAAACGGTCGGTGTCAATACTTCATAGAAACAAGATGAATTTAATCACATCTTATTGCGTATATCTCACGGAATTTACCGAACATTTATCGGATATTAATATATCCAGTGCATTGACCGGAATTGACAGGTTAATAAAATCAAACAATAAGCTATGGTTACTGAAATTTTGATAAAATAGTAATTGTTACATACAATCTACTTTCAATCATACGCAATTGTAGCATAGGCCTTTACTCTTTTAAACGTAAATTATACAAATACTAAAATGTATTATTATTGTAATTAAAATAACTTTCCAAACTGTTACATATATAATAAACATGATAAATAAGACAAAATTAAAAAACCTTGCTTAAAAGATTCCCTGTACACTTCTTGAAGTCTTTGCTATGGTTCTTGACTCTAAAATATCGCGTTGTTATTTTAAAACCATACACTGCATAAAATATAATGCTCAGCCCGAGAACGAAAAATATTCCGTTTTTCAGAGAGAAATACATGCTGATCCTTGTTGTCTCCCAGGCTCACTGACACTCACAGTATTTCTGCAGATAAAATATGATAAGTCATTGTTATGTGCGGGCTGTCAATGAAGTTCTGTACTCTACACTGGGATTATTAGAGTTCCTATATAATATTGATGGAACGGTATTACCAGGTACGTATATTAATATACGTACCTGGTATTACATAGGTGCTTACTTTTTCTTATTTCAGTAACCCTTCCTGATTTTTATAACAAGGCCTAAAAAACGTGCACCTTAAGTGTCTTCGTCATTGCTTTTTCCGCAAATCCCGTCATAACTCTTTATGTTGAGCTATTTAATCTTATTTATGTTTATTGACATCAGAGTTTCAAACATTATCATGCATGTCGGCTGGATCAAATCACGTCAGAACCATACCGTTATTAAACTTTACACTCATTGGTTAATGCTGGTTGGTTCGAGGAACGGATTCGAGTCAGTGTGTTTTAATAAGCTTTTAATCGGCCCTTTCCGTCAAACTTCGGATAAGAACCTCCGAACATAATAGAAATTAAGAATACACAAAACAGATACGGTATTTCGCTTTTACATACACAAATAGTAATTTAATGCTTTGAGTTGAATGCTAAATGTACACCAATAGTTCGAGTTATAGTCCAAGTAAACCATTGTTTTTTAAGAGTTCGATGCGTTAATAACTCGGCCACTCATACGATTCCGAATTATTGCGTCACGTGTTGAATTGCGAAAAATTCTAGAAATTTCATGGATAACCCTTGTAAACAGGTTCCACGCGTTTTTCCGATTCTGCAAATTGACTTTTCGAGAATGGACTCTCTTATTCAAGATCAAACGTACGTTGTTCGACAGACAAGATTATTAATTCAACAACTACGTGAATTCAACTTCTAAAGACACTTTTTAGGATCAATCAGAGCGTAATTGATTATCCTTTCAGATGTTTCCGGCCTATTCTAAAATATAGAATTTCATATATATATGCATTATTTTCCGCAGCGAAAAACAAGTGTTTATATATTCAAACACGGATTTGTAATATAAATCCGTGATTCAAATGGTATCAATATATTCTCAGATCCTGTATAGATAATCGAGTTATGTATCTCATTTGCTTAAAAGCTTAAGATTTTCATTTTGGGTATTACAATATATCTGGTTATCATTAAATTCAATGTGTTCAAATATAAATCATGGTGTCATCGAGTGAAAATGGAACTTTTTATAACTCAGTATGAAACCTAATCTTAGATGTATCCAAGCGAGAACACGTAATTTAATAGTAGTTGCGTCAGCTTGTTTGAGCAAAACAAGATGCTTCCCTGATAAAGTCTACAATAAGCTCTCAAGAACAAATAAATCTTAGATCTTTAGAAGGGGGCCAAAACATTCCTGCTTTGACGCAATGAAAGTGATTAGATTTACAGTTGAACAACCATATTTGAAATTGAATACTCATTTCTAGCTGGCCACTTTTATATTCCCTCAAGTAAGAATAGATGTTATGGAATCACTATATATGACTACATATATTGGAGTACCGTATGTGTCATTTAAAAAGAACATTGTTGCATGTTAGATTCCTTATTTTGATTTGTTATCAAACAAAACTGTTTACCCTGAAGCATATTGTCGGTGTTTTGCGATTCAAGCATTTTTGAGGGGATTATGGCCCTTTGATTAAAAGTGAACCTGGGAAATTCACTTGTTGTGTTCTCAACTTCTACCAAATTTCGTATATGGGACTTTTACTGAACTTTTACAGTTGATTCATCATCAAGTGTCCTGGCGCACATTGTTAGTGTTTTGTTTAACAAATAAATGAAGTAAGTATCCCCGGGATAAACGTTACTGTGTATTATCTGGGGTATAATATAACTTGTATCCCAGGTATTATGATATAGTGTGGAGAATATTTATTTATTTGATAATATTCAAAAAGGAGCATAAATATTTGTAGGTGGTTAAACCACTGATTATCACTCCTGAGGTCCCGGGTTCGATCCTTGGTCACACCCTTGGGATTTTTCAGAGACACTTTCAGTGTTTCCCTCCTACCTAGAGGTGTACTTGGTAAGAAATCCAGGTAATCCTCGCATGTATCAGTGCTACACACCAAGGGGTCTATTCAATAAGAGCTAAGGACTTGTTCCCGGATTCCCTTGTATCTCATAGCTGTCTCTTTAATGTATACAATGTATACCTGCTTGGAGTGATCGAAAACGATTTTAAAGCAGTATGATGTAGAAGTAAATATCAAAATTTTAAAATGTATGCCTTGATTTTATATATATAGTAGTATTATACCTAAACAGTTTTGGTCCGCAGTTATTTTTTATGCCGTAAAGTAGTATAAAATGTAATGCACAAACTAAATTTGAATATTATATTTTATAAAATTCTTTTTAAATTCACATAAGAATAATCCATGAAATTTCCAACATTGAAAGTGATAACGCATTCAAATATGGTTACGCAAAGGATTTAATGATTTGAGTCAACAAACTTATATTTCAAGTTAGAATTGTATGTACTGCAATTGAGCTGTTAGATATTGAGACAAATAATATTTTACTTGTTTTTTTTACAACGTTTTAAATTTCAATTCCCCGTCACAATATAATGGAAGTGGATAAAATCGATTTGAGTTTGGGTATGTGTGTTTTATTTGAACGTTTGCAGTTTGATGGCAATCTCTTGGTTTAGACCCCTTATTATTTCAGGCAGTAAACTTGCTAATATAATATAATAACACTAGAAAAACGGGATGACTTATATATACTCACTGGTTTATACACCCGGGTCTAACTCCAGGATATAGCCAAAGAAGTGACGTTTCACAACGATGCGACGCAACTTTCACTTTTCATAAAGTTTCTACACGGAGATGTGCATGCACTTGTCTGTTCAGACGTTCTGTGGTAGTTTCAGATTTCTAACTTTCAAAGAGTCTGTAAATATATGGACTATCCAAAAAATTTCAGAATTGTTTATACTTAGTGTGTTACAATGGTTTGCAAATTATCTCTTCTAGCGTTGATCACCTTCTTAGGCTTCTATACTAATTACTATAGTACTCCCGCAGGTACCGCGTCTTTGCCCATTCCAATGTAATCAGAAAATGTGTTTCTTTACACACTGAACACTAGTTCTGGCGTCCATAACTTTATTAGTCCTATAAATATGACGTCGCTTTGAGATATTTTTGCTTCTGGGCAAAGCAACGTCATATCGAAATTGCTCAAAAACCCATAGCATGTTCCGCCAGAAAATCGGGCGGAACGAAAAACAATGAAGACAGCGAGTATTTACATATTTTTTTGACCTATTTATGAACAAAACTAAAAAATAAATACCTTTTGTCAAAATAATTAAACTGTCACATCCGAAAAATCATGATTAAATCCTCTCATGTATTTCAATTCCTTTTACAGCCGATAAACAAATGGCGGCCGTAAAGTGCGCGAAAATCTGATTGGCTAATTCAAATGCAAGCGTTTAACTGAGTCAGAACAATCTAACGGAATATTTTTTTAACGAAATAATTGCCCATGCACCGTCAGTGTGTTTGAATATATTTTTCCGTTCAAAAATTTGGAATCAATCTGTAAAGCACCTTGTTTAACCAGTATGGCTGATAGACAAAAACAGATTGATGTTTATATTTTATTTCAAATTGATAAGTACATCGTTTGACAGTTTTTGTGTATGATTGAGCATGAAATTGAAAGAAAATATGATAATCTTTTGAATAAAGCTTGCAAGGCAGGACAATAGACATTTTTGGAATTTTTTATGATGCTATGCGTTTTTGAGCAATAACTATTAGACGTCAGGCTTGACCGACAAAAACTATAACAAGCCTGTAACGTCTAATATATTGGACTATAACTTTATATGTCGCTTTTATTTTGACGTTGTGCAACAGTAAAGTTATGGGTCAACCCTATTTGCAATAGCTACCAGAATTTTTGCAGTTTGTGTGCCATACATAAATACCTAATATGAAATTAGGCAAAACCTATGAACGGGGAAGTCGTTAGAAATTCCTTTCATTTTTTTTCCGTTTTAAAGGTGTCATTTGGTATTTCATGCACCGCTTCCGTTTTCACTCGGTACACTCGATGTTTATTAATATGAAATTAGGCAAAGCCTATGAATGGGAAGTTGTAAAAAAAATTCCTTTCATTTTTTCCGTTTTAAAGGTGTCATTCGGTATTACTTGCACTGCTTCCGTTTTCACTCGGAAGACTTGACGATTATTATTGATCCGAAAAGTTGAGATGTGTTCCGTTATCGGACGCAAAGCAGGTCCGGACTTTGACTTCCCCGTATTATAAATCCAACATGTTTTGGTACAATGTCTGTTATTGAATAAATACACCGTTATTCATATTTTATAATTGCAAAGTCATGTTTTCAATTAAAAAAAGCATTTAGGTCACGGGTCACCAAAATTAATGTCATGCAAAGGTTTCCGAACCTAAATTCTCGCTAGTCACATGATAATTAGGGCAGCAATGGCGGCAAATTTTATGAAATGTGAACCCACTGATAAACTTTGAGGCATTATTTCATAAATCTAACGTTCTGTGTTCAAAAATATTGATTGAAGTGTCCCAAATATATCTACATTCTGATTGTACTTACTAACTTAGAACAGCATCTTGATCTCACCAGCACATGTAGGTTGTTATTGATGTAACAAAATTGTTTCATGGTAAAGGTTATTCATAGAAGCCTTGAATTTTGTCCACTATTAAGATTCTTTTTGTCTTTAACACGTTGTCATTTGCTGTCAGATTTATAGCTGTTTTCAGGAATTATCAAATGTCACCAGACTGGTATAATTGATAATTTGTTACATTTTAACTCCCATAATGCATTTTGTTTTACGAAATTAAAACCTGAGCCTAATCATCTATAAGATGTATGCTTTCTGCATATATATGTACTTTATTCAGATAAGTTTAATACAGTCACATTGGTTCTTGTCTTTCTCTACAAATGGTTTAAATGGTCTGTTTATATTATGGTTAAAACTCATCTGGCATGGATTCAAAGGGAGTGGGAGGTGCATCCATGATTCCATCGCACATCCTGAATATAATACTTATCATGTTTAATGGCAGTTATTTTTAGCTCACCTGTCACAAAGTGACAGGGTGAGCTTTTGTGATCGCTTTTCGTCCGGCGTCCGTCCGTCCGTCCGTCCGTAAACTTTTGCTTTAAATGACATCTCCTCATAAACCACTGAGCCAATTTCATCCAAACTTCACAGGAATGTTCCTTTGGTGGTCACCTTTAAAAATTGTTCAAAAGAATTTAATTCCATGCAGAACTCTGGTTGCCATGGCAACCAAAAGAAAAAACTTTAAATATCTTCTTTTAAAAAACCATAAGAGCTAGAGCTTAGATATTTGGCATGAAACATCTTCTAGTGAGTGTCTACCAAGTTTGTTCAAATAAAAGCCCTGGGGTCAAAATTGGCCCCGCCCCAGGGGGTCATTGATTTTCCCTATATGCATATAGTAAAAACTTAAAAAATCTTCTTTTAAAGAACCGTAAGAGCTAGAGCTTAGATATTTGGCATGAAACATCATCTAGTGAATGTCTACCAAGTTTGTTCAAATAAAAGCCCTGGGGTCAAAATTGGCCCCGACCCAGGGGGTCATTGATTTTCCCTATATGCATATAGTAAAAACTTAAAAAATCTTCTTTTAAAGAACCCAAAGAGCTAGAGCTAAGATATTAAGCATGAAACATCTTCTAGTGAGTGTCTACCAAGTTTGTTCAAATTAAAGCCCTGGGGTCAAAATTGGCCCAGCCCCGGGGGTCATAGATTTTCCCTATATGCATATAGTAAAAACTTAAAAAATCTTCTTTTAAAGAACCATAAGAGCTAGAGCTTAGATATTTGGCATGAAACATCTTCTAGTGAATGTCTACCAAGTTTGTTCAAATAAAAGCCCTGGGGTCAAAATTGACCCTGCCCCAGGGGGTCATAGATTTTCCCTATATGCATATAGTAAAAACTTAAAAAATCTTCTTTTAAAGAACCCAAAGAGCTAGAGCTGAGATATTTAGCATGAAACATCTTCTAATGAGTGTCTACCAAGTTTGTTCAAATAAAAGCTCTGGGGTCAAAACTGGCCCCGCCCCAGGGGGTCATTGATTTTCCCCTTTATGCATATAGTAAAAACTTAAAAAAATCTTCTTTTAAAGAACTCAAAGAGCTAGAGCTAGGATATTTAGCATGAAACATGTTGTAATGGGTGTCTACCAAGTTTGTTCAAATAAAAGCCCTGGGGTCAAAACTGGCCCCGCCCGGGGGGGGGGGGGGTCATTGATTTTCCCTATATGTGTATAGCAAAAACTTAAAAATCTTCTTTGGAAAAACCCAAATAGCTAGAGTTTAGATATTAAGCATGAAACATCTTTAAGTAAATATCTACAAAGTTTGTTAAAATAAACGCCCGGGGGTCAAAACTGGCCCTGCCCCAGGGGTGACATTGTTTTAAACTAGATGTGTATAGTAAAAACTTTAAAAATCTTCTTTTAAAAAAGCCAATGAGCTAGAACTTAGATGTTTAGCATGAAACATCTTCTTATGGGTGTCTACCAAGTCTGTTCAAATAAACAAATAAAAGCCCTTGGGTAAAAATTGGCCCGGGGGTGGGGGGCCTATATACAGGTGAGCGACCTCAGGGCCATCATGGCCCTCTTGTTAAGTTTATTATGAAAAATATTTGAATGTCTTTACCGGACAGAACATATCAAAAGTGCCCCCAAAATGCACCTTTTTACGCTTGAATTTCAAATTGCCAGGGAGGCCCTTCCTTCCAACATTGTGACCATAACCTCTCAAAGATTGGCAACTACTCCAGAAGCCGACGGCCTGGCCAGGCCAGTGCATTGTCAACCAGCTTTCTCCTCGGGAGCACCACCTGCCAGAATCCTGGAATCAGCATCCGCCATTCTGTTACATGACATTAATTATGACTTAAAAGCTGAAGGTATAATATAAAGACCACATGGTATAGAGTCACAGATCATGTTTCATTTGCCAGTTCCTTTTGGGCAATATGGGAAACATTCAAAGGGAGGGAAAAAACAAACTGTATGTTTTAATGTGCTTTCAAATCCGCAGTCAGAGTTTTTCCCAAGGTAGTTCAAGGCCAACTTCCATGTCTAAATTATGGGAGACTAACACAGTAATTTGCAAAGTTGGAAGATAAATTTAATGTAAATAGAATTTTCTGGTAAACTGCATGATTTTAAAGGGGAAAGACAATGCTGCAGAAGAAAACAGGAGTGGGAGCATTCTATGAAAATTAAATTTGCAAATTTTCTGTCTCTAATTTCTAAACAATAAAAGGATATCAAACATTTTATGGCAAAATATAACCAGATTAATCATCAATTTTACAAAGTATGTAGGCACTGCTTTGTAATAATGTTTGTGTATTGGCCAATATTAGAAAGACCACCTGAAAATAACACAATCACATTCAGTTTTATGGTTTGTGGTGGAACACAGTGTGAAAATTTGACAAGATAATCAATTTTTAGCTCGACTTTTCTATGAAAAGGGGAGCTATCCTACTCGCCCCGGCGTCGGCGTTGGCGTCACACCTTGGTTAAGTTTTTCGTACCACCCCACTTTATTTCAGAAGTATTACAAGTATGGCTTTGAAACTTACCATACTTGTTCACCATCATAACCTCCATCTACAGACAAGAGTACATAACTCTGTCAAGGTTTTTGACAGAATTATGGCCCTTTTTTGACTTAGAAAGTGTATTGAGCTTGGTTAAGTTTTTTGTACCACCTCACTTTATTTCAAAACCATTGGAGGTATTGCTTTGAAACTGACCATACTTGTTTACCATCACGACCTTCATCAACAGACAAGAGGACATAACTCTGTCAAGGTTTTTGACAGAATTATGCCCCTTTTTGACTTAGAAAATACATTGAATATGGGTAAAATCCACTTATTGCCTTAACCCTTTGAGATATTGCTTTGAAACTTTTAATGCTATTTCACATCATTACCCCCATCTGTACGCAAGAGAAGGTAACTCTGTCAAGGATTTGTTTTAAAAATTAAGGCCTTTTATCGACTTAGAATCTTGGTTAAGTTTTTAGTACCAGTCCACTTTTTGACTGAACTGTTTGAGATATTAATTTGAAAGTTGGAATACTTGTTAACAATCATGATTCCCAAACATGTCCAGGAGAAGGTAATTCTGTCAAAGATTTTATTTGAATTATGGCCCTTAACTGTCAATGTTTTGTATTATAGGCAAGCACTAAAAAACTTAAAAAATCTAAAAAAATTCATTCCTATCCACTGAACCTGCAGTGTTCAAGGGTATCACACAATTCAGTAAAATAATTCTTCACTAAATATCTTAATGCTCATGGCCATTGTTCACTTTAAAAATACAGAGATTCTTGTATTGCCTTTTACTGCAAAAACTTTTTTTATTGGCAAGCAATAAAAAAGTCGAGCGCGCTGTCTTACGGACAGCTCTTGTTATGTATACTTTTAAGGAAAATATATCTAAACTATATTTGTAGAAGTGCAAAATGTGAAACAATATCAAAAGAAAATGAAGAAAATAACAATCTGGAAAATGCAGGAAAATTTCAGATTTGACTTAATGAGTAATCATTAAAAGTGTCAAAGATCTAAACTGAGATTTAAGATACTAAAAAGAAAATACTAAGAAATAACCATTTGTATAAACATACAAATTATGTAAGGTATGACCCCGACAGCCTTATACATTTTACAGGGAAATAAACAGGGTTACCTAGTTTGGGCCTCAAAAAACCCCCAAAAAAAACATAACTGCACTGATTCATCTCTATACTGTTAAAGAAATATATGCTACGTTTTGTGTCTGGTCAAAAGGTCAAGTAGACTGATCCTGTCTATAAAGTTTCCTTCTCAATATTTATAATGGTACTTCATAGTCATCTTGTTCAGAACTGCCTAAGTCTGTAGTTAATGGAATAAAGATAGCCAATTAGTGAATCATATAGTTTTCTGTTTGTGTTAAAGGGACTCCACTGAGTTGTTTTTTTATATGACGGGACTGGAAATAAATTTTTTGAGATTACTGTTCCGTTTAGTGTGGGTCTAATTCAGTATCTATTGTACAAAATTTCAGATCATTCACTCACTGTTTTTTCCCTAATAATTATTTCAATCGTGAAAAATGACCCAAATTTAAAAAGCGTTACAACTCTTTTCACTTTATAAGATATATGGGATAAGAATAGCACCCAAGATGCAATTGCCAATTTATTTCTAAGTATATTTCTCGATGATCTTTGGCATATTTTTCTGTTTCAAGTGCCCAGGTTGATTTATGTAAGAAATTCAAATTTTATGTGTTTTAGGTTTTTGGGACCTCTTAGTGGAGTCCCTTTAAAGTAATATGTCCAATTAAACCAAGTTGTCTGTTAGTCTGAGAGGAAATTGTCTGAAATGTGTGTCCTACATTATCTTGTCTAGATTTCTTACTTACAATTAAGTGCACTACATTATCAGCTGTCAAAGACTATCAAATCATTGTTTACTGTCAGAGTGCTAATTACCAGAAGCAGAACTTCTAAAATAGATGTTCAGTTGTTGTTTTTTTAATAATGTAAAAAATTGTAATCTTATGAATCATTGTATACTTTTATTTTCTCGATGTTACTTTAGTAAAGTGTGGACAAAGCATACTTAAAATGTACTTTCAATAGTACATTACGTCATTTATTACATGCCCGAAAGAATTTCATATACCCCCTGGCGTCCGTCTGTCCGTCCGTCCGTACGTCCGTTCGTTAGCAATTTGGTTTCCGCAGCATAACTTAAGTTCCATTTGGCCCACAGTGTTCAAACTTCATAGGATGATTGTCCATATTGGGTAGAAGACCCCTATTGATTTTGGGGTCACAATGTCAAAGGTCAAGGTCACTATGACCTTAAAACTGAAAACAGTTTTCGGAGCATAACTTAAGTTCCATTTGGCCCACAGTGTTCAAACTTCATAGGATGATTGTCCATATTGGGTAGAAGACCCCTATTGATTTTGGGGTCACAAGGTCAAAGGTCAAGGTCACTATGACCTTAAAACTGAAAACAGTTTCCGGAGCATAACTTAAATTCCATTTGGCCCACAGTGTTCAAACGTCATAGGATGATTGTCCATATTGGGTAGAAGACCCCTATTGATTTTGGGGTCACAAGGTCAAAGGTCAAGGTCACTATGACCTTAAAACTGAAAACAGTTTCCGGAGCATAATTTAAGTTCCATTTGGCCCACAGTGTTCAAACTTCATAGGATGATTGTCCATATTGGGTTGAAGACCCCTATTGATTTTGGGGTCACAAGGTCAAAAGTCAAGGTCACTATTACTTAGAAATTGAAAACAGTTTCTTTAGCATAACTTAAGTTCAATTTGGCCCACAGTATTCAAACTTCATAGGATGATTGTCCATATTAGGTAGAAGACTCCTATTGATTTTGGGGTCACAAGGTCAAAAGTCAAGGTCACTATGACCTTAAAACTGAAAACAGTTGTTGGAACATAACTTAAGTTTGATTTGGCCCACTGTGTTTAAACTTCATAGTATGATTGTCCATATTTGGTAGAAGACCCGTATTGATTTTGGGGTCACAAGGTCAAAGGTCAAGGTCACTATTACCTTAGAAATGAAAATAGTTTCCGGGGCATAACTTAAGTTCCTTTTGGACCACGATATTGAAACGTCAAAGGATGATTGTTTTGTGAAGGAGTTAATACTTTATTAAATTCCCATGTCTTACAAATTCTTCATCTTTACTAAAAAAAAAATCACTTTCGGGCATATAATGCTCCGCCATATAATGCTCCGCCTAGCGGTGCTCTTGTTATGTATTTTTTGAAATTATTCAATAACTCATTAAATTTGATTCTTATTATTTCAGATGAAATTATCAAATTAAATAAAAAAGAACAGAAAGGGAACAGAGGGCGTGGTAGAGGGAGGGGTCAAGGGCGTGGCCGTGGTGATGGCCGACCAGTACGTGGCAGAGGTGGCGGTAACATAAGAGGTAGGGATGACTATTTTTTAAAAACAGGACAACAAAATACACTTTATTATATTCCTAGCTAGGATAGACTTTGGACATTAAAGTTTTATACATATATATATTTTTTACTTGAACAGTATTGCACGACTTTCTTTGTGTCATTTAACCTTGACCTACTGAAATTGTATGATGAACTACAGTTTGCCGTGCTGGCTGGTTCTACCCATGTGACCAGTGTAGATTAGATGGCACATTTAGATGGTCTGATCTTCGTCTGCACTATTCAGTCAGTATATGATTCCAGATTGAAAGGTAGAGAAGTCAATTTTAGATATTTATCTTGGTAAGGTTTAATTTGTTCCTAGATAAATGAAATTGAACCCAAGCTGTATAATAGTTATAAAGTAAAAGTGGGAACAACACATCACATGTAGCTGGTTGGTTTATGAATTTATTTCCAGGTTTTTAGGCATAAATATACCTTTGGGCTACCATTTCACTCTGGATCAAGTGTGAACTAAGAAATTATTAAATCAAATCTATTGAGAGCTTACAATTCTTTTGTAAATGGTTATGGCCACTGGTCCTTGTTGCTTGGTTATGTTGGGGTTGCGTTCATTGAACACCACTTTTCCTTGTTGATCTTGTTTACCATATTTTTGGGATAAGATGTACCCATCAGGTTAGACACTACATTTGTATATTAGTGGCATAAGATCTTTCAGCTACAGTGGCTGCTACAATGTAGCAAACAGAGGGTTAACTTTTGTTTGACGGGCATGAGTCTACCCTTGAGTCTGTCACTTATGCTTGGGATCAAGTTTGAACTAAGAATTTATTAAGTTTTACCAATTCTTATGAGAGCTTAAAATTCTTTTGTAAATAGTAATTTTTCAGCCCAAATTCATTGTGCATTTTTTTTGTGTATTTGTTGCATACATACATTTTATTTCTAAGGTACACTAATTATAACCAATCGATCGTTGCGAGGTCAGAGAAGGGGCGGAGCTAACAGAGGGATAAGAAGGGGAGGAGCTATCACAGCTGTAAGGGGAAGGAACAGATATAATCAAGTAAAGAAAACAGGGACCAATCCATTAGATAGACTGGTAAAGATTTCTTTTTTAGGGGATATACTGTACCCTTAACTTGTAATGGTTTTGCTCTGCTTTGACTTTGGAACAGTCCAAAAGAAAGCTACCAATTCAGTAAAAGGAATTTGTTTAGTGCCATAAATACATTAAGTACAATCATGTTTGAATTGGAGCTCTGAGCAACTGAATTAGAATACCTACAATCTATACTGCCTGTGATATATTTTATTTTGAATAAAAGATAGAAATTCCTAGGTAGAATCACTAGAATGTTACAGTTGCCAAGTACTGCAGCTTTACCTGCTATGATGACCTTTATTGGTGTTGTTGTTTAATCACTTGGCCCTTATGGTTATAAGTTAATCAATGCCTGTTATTGGTCAGTTTGGTTGTGTGATTGAGCTATTCAAGCTCACTTGCAGAAGATTTATGGTACTGTGGATATTCAAATCCCTGCCTGCATCTTAGTTAATTCAAGTTTACTGTTTGCAATAAATGCAATAAAAGCTATGATTTACATTATTAAGAAATTTTCATTATCAGTTTACACTTCATTAAGAACTTATCTGCCAGAAAAGAATTTGTTCTATTAAAATATTGTTCAGATTTTTAACGATTTTTCTTTCCTTGCAGAATAGTGAAACTGTTGGCACACAACAAATGAGAGGTAGGGGTGGAATTCGGGGAAGGCTTAGAGGAAGAGGTGGTCTTAGGGGCCGGGGTCTAAGAAGAGGTCAGGGCCAGGTCAGAGGTCAGGGCCAGGTCAGAGGTCAAGGTGCTATAAGAGGTCAAGGTCAAAGTATAGGTACAGGACTGATAAGCTTAAATAGGCGGAAAGAACAAGCTATAAAGAGTCTCTTGAAGGCCAAACAGACATTAGCGAGTCTTAATGCAAGACAGCGAGAACAGAAACAAAGTCGAGGACTTTTAATAAACCAGAGACGAGGGCTACAGGTATATATTAACTGATTGAAAATCATAAATTTCTTGACTTGTCAAAGGTTTTAGAATGAGTTTTAGGAAAGTTGTGCTCAAAATAAGAAAAAAATGTCAGAATCATCAAATTCTTTGCCTGGCCATACTTCCAATTTAAGAAATGAAATATCAATCCAGGACTGTGTTTTTATGTTAAAACTGAGGCTACAGCCTTCCATTTATGTATTTCATTACATGCAGGTATTCCTTCAATAACATAAATTATTATGTTTTCTTTTATTGAAGAATTATTTTAAAATCTTAAAGTAAAATGCCTTTTAGTCTATCCTTGTATTTTTGACAGAACGAAACGCTGTCCGAATCTAATTTATACATGTCATTGTATGTTTTATGTAACATTGTTTTCGATTGGTTGGCTATTGCTCAATATACAGTAAAGCCATTAATTATTGGTCTCTAGAAATAGACAGTTAAATTTGGCTTCAATCTTTATGAGGTAGTTTGTTTTGAAACAATATTGCAAGGTGAATATCCTTTGCTATTAACCAACAATTGCATTATGGAGAAATTTGTATTCATATAAAAATCCCTAAAGAATATTCAACTGCTAATTTTAGTAGGTCTAATAGTGCCTCCTCAGTGCTTTAAATCGAAATTTACAAATACCATCATTTTGATTAAGATACTTTTGTTAAAGTATGATTTTATCAAGATATAAACAGATTTTCAAACAACAAACATTCTTATCATATCATAGCATAACATCTTTCCCAAAAGAAATATGAAAATATACAAACCGTTTTCAAATTATCCCTTTCAATTTCTATCTGCTTGAGGGTTAAGGGTTGCCTTTAACAGTTGAAGCATCAGAATTGCAGCCCCCATTTATCCCTGTGCCCTCGTTAGAGACGACAAAATGGGTTTGAGTTACTGGAATCCATGCACCTCTTATTCCAGCAGGTGAGATGGTTTTTGACCCCTGGTGTTGCTTTAAAATTGTAACACCCGAGGTTATTTAAAATCATCTTCTGGTTTTGGCACCATTTTACCTAAATTGTGGTTGTGAGTGCTAAAAACCAAACAAAACAAATAAGTTTTAATTTCTGTGTTTACCTTTACAAATATTTTACACAAAGAAAACAATTTTAAGGGTAAAATTAAATGACATTTATTATATTCAGCAGTCATGCTTTTAGAAGAAATTTCTGAAGGGAAATAGCCTAATTAAAAAACTTCCTGAAGTTTGCACTTCCTAAAATATTTGTGAAAACATTCTATTATCAGACATTCAATTAGTATTGATTGAACTTTACTGGCTAGTTTCTAAATATGCTGCAGAAATTATTTGACATAATTGTTTGCACTGTAGACATTTTTCTTAGAAATGCTTCACAATAAAGATTTGCTTGTGGCAATCGTATTTATCGCTGTCTTTTCTTGTTGTTGATAATTTCAAAATTAAGCTTAAAGAAAGTTAGAAAGATGATTTTAACATAATCATAACTTTTATATTTCAAAAATCAATTTTGCTATGCACTTTTGTTTGGTTCAATTGAGAAGAAACCTCATCATTTTATAAGAAATATTTTCTAAATATAAACTGTCTAAATAGTGAACAGAACAAACTATGATCACTGATGTCATAGGTAGAATCAGTTGCTACTAGAATGGCGAGGGTTAAATCTATACCAGTGTAACATCAGGTTGGGGTATTATTTACAAATTATTACAAGATCTAAGCAGCTGTAGCTGGTAACAATGGGTAACAGATTGCTATATTCTTACTGTTATATATTCAAACATTACTACAATTATGATGAATAGAACAAAATAGATTAAGCTACAAAATAGTGAAATAGCATAAATTGATTGATTATGTGGTGTGTCTAACCAGATGGCAGGTTGTGCTAAAGATAAATCAGTTAACCTGAAATATTGATACATAATTGTAATCTCACTAATCAGTATACCTGAAATATAGGTATAAAAAATCTGCTAAACCAGTAAATGTGAAACATTTATATATATATTATAAACCAGTTAACCAGTTACCTGAAATATTGATATGTTAAATGTAATAAACCTGTTATTTTGATATATTGATATATTTAATCTAATAAATAAGTTGGCTTGAATTATTGATATATATTTCACGGGGTTCACTTGACTTTGTATAGTAATACCCCCGAGCAAATGGCAACTGCTGAGCCCCGGTAAGTTCCTTATTATGGTAAATTAAGGTGACAAACGTTTTTTAAATCAAAACAAAACCTAGCATATCATATGCGCGGAAATTTTCTTCAAATGACGATACAAAGTGCATTATCCTACGTTTTGTGGTTTTTGAGAACATTGTTTGAATTTTGTGATAATTGCACATGCAGCGATAGTAATTCGCACGAAGCGGTATAATTTGGTACCAAAATAAATGAAAATAAGCTTTCTTTTTGCACTTAAGACACCAAATCAATCATTTTATTGACATCATTCTCTTCTTGTAGAAGTCCATATAAAATTTTGTTCGAAGGTCTGTAGCCTGCAAATGTTCAAGTGTTAAGTAAGTAAAACAATCAATTTCTGGAAAGTAAGTCGCACGAAAACAAAATTGTAAGTTTAGGATATTCTTCTTTTCTTCTTTTTTGGGGGGGGGGGGGGGGGGGGGGGAGAGCGCTATTTTTGAGGCCTCAGAGGCAAAATCTAAAAAGGCAACTGTGACAGAATTGATATTTTATCACACGTTAGTACCCAACGAAAAAATCCAGATTATTTATAATTGTTTTGTTATATTTCTTATTGCAGACATCCACCAACAGTTTGAATAAATTAGGTCGAGGTGGGGGGAGAGGTAGAGGTGGGAGAGGTAGAGGAGGGGCTGTGAGAGGGGGGCTAACTAGATACAACAGCAATATGTCCCTTACCTCAGTCGGGTCACAGTCACAGAGGCGTGGACGAGGTAGAGGTAGAGGTCAAGGTCAGCAAGGGTTGAACCGCACATTTAGTGGTAGTTTGGTCTCAGTAAGTGGCATTGGAACCTCAGGGAACAGACAAAGGAGAAGGTATTGCAGTAATAAAATTCTAGATTGACACAATTTTAACCACCTTTATGATATGCATCCTTTGGCTTTAGTTTTGCTGAAATGGTGTTTAATTTTTACATGTGATATTCCTTTTATATATTATCATACCGAATGGCATACATTTCTGAGAATTTAAAAGTTCTGAATTTTTACATCTCTCTTTTAAATTTATTTAAGTTCTGATTATAAAACCATACCTGAAAGAGCAAATTGACACACTTAGCATGATCTATTCAAAATTTTTGGATAGCAAAATGTAACTATGTTTCTGTGTTGAAAAGGGAGACTAGCATGCCTCTTTATATCAAGAAACATTTTCAGAGTTACCTGCCTTAACTAGTGACCTTAGAAAATATAGTACATGCATTACTTGTTTGCTTCATCTACATCTATATCATACTGCTTTAAAATCGTTTATGATTACTCTAAGCAGGTATACATTGTATACATTAAAGAGACAGCTATGAGATACAAGGGAATCCAGGAACCAGTCCCTAGCTCTTATTGAATAGACCCCTTGGTTCTTTTACATGCCCAGTGTATAGCACTGATACATGCAAGGATTACCTGGATTTCTTACCAGTACACCTCTAGGTAGGTGGGAAACACTGAAAGTGTCTCTGAAAAATCCCAAGGGTGTTACCCAGGATCGAACCCAGGACCTCAGGAGTGATAGTCAGTGGTCTAACCAACTGAGCTATCGCGCCACTTTTTATTATTAGTATATGAACATTTGTTATTATTTATAGATGGAGACAACCAAAGACAAATGACTCCTCATTATTGACGATATCTGTACAAAATTCACCGCCAGTATCGTAAGTGCAATACTTCTATTTTGATACTTAGCATTTAGTTAAAGAAAAATCATTTTATTTGTTAGACAACAATATATTTCTGTGTTTTGCGTACCATTTGATGTAGGTCTGGACCAAGTACTTATTAATAGAATTAAAAATGGCTTTTTCTTCAAGGGAATAGTCTATTAATAGTAAAAGTGATATTAAACACTTGTTATTTTAAATGCCAGCATTTGCGTGAGAGGAACACTTAACAAACTATCTAAATTATGTAGTTTTCAAATAGTTATGAGAGTGCTTTGATACGCTATTCTTCTGAGGAAAAAGAGAGAATACACCTCCTTGTCCTTTCTTAACAATTATCATAATTATTAGCATTTTAAAAAAATAGAAACATTTATTCTGTCTGCATTTATTATTGTTTTAATTTCTGTCTGCATGCAATACTGCTTTATGCAATCTAATTTGGTATATGTTTTTTTTTGTTTTTTATTAATTTACAGGAATTTGTAATTTTTATTATGGGAAGGGGGATTTTATTTCTAAGCTGAACAGATTTTTCGTTGTACTATAAAATGCTATAAAATGACATGATTGTCAAAAATACATACACTGGTGTGGTGGTTCATCCAGTTTGGTTTTATATAAATAATGTGTGGTGTGATATCCAAATTTTTTTCTGCATTCATTTTAAAAGTGGGAGCACACTGTGAAAGTCTCTGTCTGTATGTCTGTATGTTTATATGACACCTCTTCCTTGTCTAATCAACAACTTATGAAGGAATAAGCCTTGGATTATATGACTTGGTTGGGACATAAATTGCTCATGGTCCATAGACTACCCCTATTTGTAAGGTCAAGGTCACTGTGGTCTTGATCCTAAATGATTTGTCAGCTCAATAGATAGGAACCACATAGGCCAGCAGTCGAAGATTTTGTGTGGAGGTTAGTTGTGACCAGTAGATGACCCCCATTGATTTTAAAGTCAATAAGTCAAAAGTCAAGGTCATGATGGCTTAAACGACTGAAATCTTGTTTGACTATTAACTAGAGAACTCTTTGATCTACAATCATAAGACTGGAGTTTAGAATGGTTATGACTAGAAGATCACAGGATCACAGCCTTTGTAAAAATTGAAGTTAATTATAAGCTGTTTTCTCTGAAAGCTTTAAACGCTAGAGAATGCCAGAATGTTCCAATCACTAGAGAATGCTTTCACCTAATGTCCTAAGATTATGTATGGAGGTTAGTCATCACTAGATGCCTTTGTTGATTTCAAGGTCATTAGGTTAAAGGTCAAGCTCACAGTAGCCTTGTCCACAGAAAGCTTTTTTAACCAATAACTTGAGAATCGAAAATATTTACCTATTTACTGTGAATAATTAAAAACTATATAGTTTTCACTATTTATCTAAAAATCTAACAAGTATTGTGATTATTATATTTGCCATTTCAATGTCAGAGCTCTATATTTGATTTAATTTTCACCTAATGTTGTATAATTCAAACAAGTTCACTATTACTGTGAACTAATTGCTTTTGGTGTGAATCTTGTAGTTTCTGTTTTCCCTGTAAATACTTTAATGGATCAGTAATGACTGTAATGGACCAGTAATTATTTTCCTGATACCAAAAGCATTTTAAATTTGTTTCAGAAAGCATGTAAAAGCATATAAAAGCTTTTACGTACTTTTTGTACATCAATTTTCATTTACTTTATTAGAAACCTCAGATGCCAATGTCTTGTTCTCTATAAAAGTTCTTTTAAGACTAAATTGTGTATAAATTAAACTTGTATGTGTTTTTTTTATCAACTGTATAGTCAGAATCGTAATTACAATATGCCTCCTAGCTTATGTTCGCAATTCTTTGTCAAAAAGTTTATCCGGTCAGAGCACAAATCTTTGATGGAACTGTTAGTATCACTAAATTTATAACCATTACACAAGTTTTATTTCATTCTATGTTTATTTTTCAGACCAAAAAGAAGGAACAAATTACCAAGGTACAATGTACCTAACAGATCAGACTCGAACCCAGAACTGCAGGCTCAGATACGGGTATGCATTTTCCTTTAACAAATTCAAGAATCTTTAAGGCACATTATGCCACAGAAACAAATTAAATTTACTTTTTTAGTCAAAGCAAAAATGAATTAAAAATGATTATATAATGGTTTTAGGGAATGTTAGATGTTTGTTACTTGAAGAAAGTGGCAATAAATGTGAAACAATTTGTTATAAAAGTAGCAAAATGTAAACAAAGTAGTGTTTTGACTTCCATACACAATATTAATTTACTATAACTATACTTATTGCCAGTAACCAACAGATGAAATTCTGGTAATTGACTAATGAGTAACTTTTTTGATACTTTAAAAGTACACCAAATTTAAAAGTTTTGGAGAAATAAAAAAAAAGAATTTCTGAGGCATAATGGGCCTTTAAAGGTTTTCTGTTTACCATTTACTTTATATATTTTGACACTTCCAATATTTAGTTGGGACTGTGGTGGTTGACTCTGTAGTTATGGTGGCTGAATATGAAATACCTTTCCCTAACTGTTGTTGGTTCAAATCCTTACAGAGTCTTGGAATTCTTTCAAGTGAAAAGGCATGTCATCTATTAATATGTTACAAAAGATTGATGGTTTTACTAAAATACCTATATGTGAATGAAATAATGTTTGTTTGTGTGCCTTCCAGTAAAGCTAGATTCTGTCCTTGAATTGGCAAGGTCCAGTGTTGGGCTCATAAGATATGGTTCTTTTAAGAAAAAAAAGCCTTGTTTACCATGTCTACCTACCAAACATAAAAAAACAATTACCGATATGAGTGATAGTTCTCCTTTATCAATATGAACCAAAGTTACAAGATAGATGTTGGTCTTATGTAAACACACACACAATATCAATTTTAAGTAAAATTAAAAAAATTTTACCCCACAATAGATACAATACATAGCATTATGGGATCATCATTGACCTCTAGTAATCTAGTCATAATTGTCATAATTCTTGCAGAAGGTTATTGAAACATTTTGAGCATTTGAACTAAGTGGGAAAGCAAATTACCTTGGAATCAACCATAATTAACCAGTTGAATTTGTGAAAAAGATTTTCCCTCCTGGTTTAAATATGGAACATTCCATTTCACATGTGGTTTCTGTGTATTCTTCCTTTTCATCCAATCCATTTGAAGTTTATGGGATTTAGATATCAAAATACAAACATTGAGCCACCAACAGATTAGCACATGGTCAGACTGCATGTATGTGCAGGCTGACCTGGCTCTATTAGTATCAAATAGGTCATTTCAGTAACAGCCTATTGAAGATCACATATGATTTCTGTTTTTCAGAGCTTGAAACCAGCAGTGTCTACGAAATACAACTTCAAGAAATCTATGTTTGCTCAGGCTTCAGTAAGTATTACATATATTTCTTATAGGGATAAAATGTTTGACAATAGTGAAGTAAGTTTTAAACAAAAAAATATTACTGATAGTTACATGATTTCCTGTTCCTTGAATATTTTAGGTGTTAGATTATATTACTTTCTAACAGTAAAGTGACAATATTTGGTATGAAACAGTATGGTTCTCAAAATCTTACTTGGAATCATTCTTCACTATCAGTTAGGACGTCTATGACCGTGTGGTTAAGGTCATTGGCTTCAAACCACTTGTCATTCATTGCTGTGAGTTCGAATCTACCCAGGGACTTTGGATTCTTTCATATGAGGAAGCTATTCAACTAGGTTAGGAACGTTGGTGGTTCTACTCTTGTTCCAGTCGTGCCTGAAATAATGCATGGAGATACACCTGAGATGTTTCCCCTACCAGTATTGCATGGATGTTACCTTAAAAGTGTTGATGTGATGTAAAATGTAACAAAAATGTATACAAATGTTCATAACAATGTAAAAAAAAATCTCAAATTCTGTAAGCACTTTGGGTCATGTTTATCTCATTCGGGCTATATTCTACCGTAAACCCATTCAGCAACTTGTATGACTAATAATATCCATTTGTTTCTATCTTCTATGTAGTTAAAAGCCACAAATAGTCAAATTTACTACAGACAGAGTGTTACATTTACTCTTTACACATTAAATATCTTATATAGACTTGTCGAGCTTCCATTTTCAGAATTGTTTATTATCAGTTTTAGGGAAATCAAGATGAAGAATTTTAAGTTAGTCAGCTAACAATATAAAGCTTGGTCAGACTGTAGGACTAGCTCTATACTAGCAGCAATGGGTTATCAGTTAAGATTCCAGCAGGGTAAATGTTAACATGGGTAAAAGTTTTCAGGATTATTCCTAAAATTCAGGTTTTTCAGTCTCCTGAAAGCCTTCTATTTCCTATGTAAAACTATAGGAAAAAAACTGCTTAATTCAGGATTTTCAGGATTTTTAAAATTTCCAACTTTTACCCATGCAGTTACTCATGAAATCACGTGTCTATACTTTTTCAGACATCAACATCCCTAAGTGACAGATTCGCATCCAGTAGCGCCACATCACCTAAAGCAGAAAGTGTTATGACTGACTCCCAGGGACGCAAAGTTTTCTTCTAAATTTAGTCATGTGTCATAGCAACTTAAAGGCTTCCATTTATGTAAAAGAATACCATGGACTTAGCATGTGATAATAAATGAAAGTGATTAGTGATTTTATAAAGTGAAGTTATGATTTATTGTGGGTTTTTTTAATTGGACTAGAATGTTCCAATTACAATGAAATTGTACAACCTTCGAAGATAAAAGAACTTCATCTGGGAAAGAATTTCAGGAGATGTTTTTTGTGTAATTAGAAAAAAACTTCAGAGAGGAATAAATCAGATTTGTGACCCACAGAACAGTTGCTTACTTGTTAAGAATGCTTTATAAGGGGGTGATAAGGTGTTATTGTCAAGTGGCGTGGTTTTAAATGACCGGAATACTGTTTAAATTACATAGTTCTCTTAGAAAATGTTTTAGCATTGTTTCATTGATGGTAAAGGGTAAAACGTGTGATATGAAAGCGGAAAAGGTTGGTTTTTATGATGGAAGTTTCTGAATTAGAAGGGAAGAGGCATGTTTCTCGCCATTTGTTTTTTAACATTTTATCATGACCAGGATGAAAGCTTTCAAATTTAGAGCAATTATCGGGGTGAATGCTCAATTAAAATTTTGAATGAACATGTAAGTCTTAATATAGCATTTAATGCTCAGTCCCATTCTCATCATCATTTTGACTTAATATATGTGTTTGTGTTTTTATAATCACATGAATGTTAGCTGGGAAGACTTATGCCCCAAGACATTAGTCATAGAATAGTTCTAGGGTATTAAAAGATACAAGTGACAAGAATCATGGGAAATTTGTTGATAAGTTGATTAAAATTTGATTGTAGAGTCATTTATTTCATTCATTAATACTTACTGTAATTTTGACTCACTATGAACATCTGCTTTTAAATGAATGAGCAATATGATTTTATTCAACTCGTTCAATAAATTTAGTATTAAATCTACACTTATTCAATATCCGCTATATCAGTATCCTATATTCAATATATAAGCGCAAAAAGATATGAAATAAGTGGAATCTTCACACCTCACACTATTATCATGGATAAAAATACTTCACAAAACAACCAGCTAGGTTATGGAATAAGTGTTTAATGAACATATCAAGTTAAGAATTAATATGTTCTTTTGTTTTATTCAATTATGTTGTGTTTACATGTAGATTTATTTATCTATCATCCATTTTAGTATACATGTAGAATAAATTGTTTTTTCTTTAAAGGTCTTTTAGTTTTTATTTATATTAACCATTTTGTTTTTCTTCAGCATATTTGTATTTTAGCGGCATGTCATAAGATGAACAAATAAATTTTAAAGATTAATCAAACTTAATAGATTATGAAATAAATGAACTTAGAAATTTATAATTGAGCCGCGCAATGACAAAACCAACATAATGTGTTTGCGACCAGCATGGATCCCTGCGCAGTCTGATCAGGATCCATGCTGTTCGCTATCAGTTTCTCTACTTGTTATAGAGTTTTTAAGCGAACAGCATGGATCCTGATCAGACTGTGCTAATGCGCAAGCTGATCTGAATCCATGCTGGTCGCAAACGCATTATGTTGGTTTTGTCTAGGCGCGGTACAATACATTTACATGTATGTTGCTTTGCAGGTTTTGAGCAAAATTTGTCATCAAATAATTTATAATCACCTTATTTTCTACCATGTACTTTTGACAACTTACAAGACATCATAAATAATTTATGTGGGTAATAAGTGCTAAAAGCTTGCTAAAATTTCTTTATTTGTACACCTGGCAATATTTTTGTGACTCATTGAAACATAAAAAAGGAAAATGGCCTATATGGCATGCTGCTACTTTAAATCTTATTTGATTTATTTAGATTATTATTTTACTATTCATTGATCTCTTTATTTCAAGATATTTATACATTTTGAAAACGAAGTAAAACAATGTATTTGAAATTGAAGTAATGAATTTAAGTTTATTTTACATTTGCAGATACCTCCCTTTTATTATTAGCTCGACTATTCGATAAGAATAAGTAGAGCTATTGCAGTCACCCGAGCGTCGGCGTCGGCGTAACCACTTATGTTAAAGTTTTTGTAATAGTTCAAATATTTTCAAAGTCCATTGACATATGGCTTTGAAACTTTGCACACTTGTTCACCATCATGACCCCAACCTGTAGACAGGAGGAGGTAACTCTATCAAGCATTTTGACAGAATTATGCCCCTTTTTCGACTTAGAATTTACGTTAAAGTTTTTGTAATAGTTCAAATATTTTCAAAGTCCATTGACATATAGCTTTGAAACTTTGCACACTTGTTCACCATCATGACCCCAACCTGTAGACAGGAGGAGGTAACTCTATCAAGCATTTTGACAGAATTATGCCCCTTTTTCGACTTAGAATTTACGTTAAAGTTTTTGTAATAGTTCAAATATTTTCAAAGTCCATTGACATATGGCTTTGAAACTTTGCACACTTGTTCACCATCATGACCCCAACCTGTAGACAGGAGGAGGTAACTCTATCAAGTATTTTGACAGAATTATGCCCCTTTTTCGACTTAGAATTTACGTTAAAGTTTTTGTAATAGTTCAAATATTTTCAAAGTCCATTGACATATGGCTTTGAAACTTTGCACACTTGTTCACCATCATGACCCCAACCTGTAGACAGGAGGAGGTAACTGTATCAAGCATTTTGACAGAATTATGCCCCTTTTTCGACTTAGAATTTACGTTAAAGTTTTTGTAATAGTTCAAATATTTTCAAAGTCCATTGACATATGGCTTTGAAACTTTGCACACTTGTTCAACATCATGACCCCAACCTGTAGACAGCAGGAGGTAACTCTATTAAGCATTTTTGACAGAATTATGCCCCTTTTTCGACTTAGAATTTACGTTAAAGTTTTTGTAATAGTTCAAATATTTTCAAAGTCCATTGACATATGGCTTTGAAACTTTGCACGCTTGTTCAACATCATGACCCCAACCTGTAAACAGGAGGAGGTAACTCTATCAAGCATTTTGACAGAATTATGCCCCTTTTTCGACTTAGAATTTACGTTAAAGTTTTTGTAATAGTTCAAATATTTTCAAAGTCCATTGACATATGGCTTTGAAACTTTGCACACTTGTTCACCATCATGACCCCAACCTGTAAACAGGAAGAGGTAACTGTATCAGGCATTTTTTTTACTATCAAGCACTAAGAATAGTCGAGCATGCTGTCCTACCGACAGCTCTTGTTTGATATTGGCAAGTTTTTCAAAATATAATTTGAATTGTTATTATTTTTCAATCACAGTTATGATTTCAATGCCTATATTTGCCAGTATGAATACAAAACAAATAGATAATATAATATATATTATATTATTTTGAAATATTTCTTAACATCAAAAAAAACAAAACAGCAACAGTGATAGCTTGCTTAAATTAAGTATAGCAGAATTTTGTAGAATTACCTCCCTTGTTGCATTCTTGAGTTTATTTAATTTTAAACTTGTAAGTAATTTAATTTTAAACTTGTAAGTAATTTAATTTTAAACTTGTAAGTAAGTAACAAAGGATATGGTATGAGGGCATCTAAAATGCAAGGAATGTATATGGTATTAAAATGAAAGTATTTTGCTGTATATATTAACTTAATGATAATTTACATTCAATTAGATGTACAACAATAAATAAAGTCATAAGTTATTTCATGTACAGTGTTTTCTGTTTGTTTTTATGGCTTTGGTGTACGAAATTCTCAAAATCAAGTTTGTTTCAAATGCATTTGAATGTCCACTCAGTGATTTGTTGCTGTTGTTTTATTTTGGCCCCAAAGATTAATAGGCTCTTTGTTGTTAGCACATGGTCATCATTTCTCAGAGGTGACAAGTTGTCCGGGATCCATTGTAATTCACAATATTTTTAAACAATCTCTCCTAAACTGCATTGTGGATTTTGACCAAACTTCGCAGGATTAATCCTTGTATAACTTGATCCAGTCATTCAATGACTACAGGTTGTGAAACATGTAATTTAGGTTAATATATGCAAGGTCAATTTACTAAAGGAAAGTTTCTCTCGGGAACTAAAAATAAACTTTTAAATGATTTTTTTAAAATCTTTTTTCCTCAGAACTTACAATGTTTACATGTAGCATGGCAATTTATTAAAGTCATAATACAGGAATAAGCATTTAAATCTTAAGTGAAAATATATACTTTAGTGTTAGACATGTTGCATGTTACTTTGCCAAATAGACTTTTTCAAAAGTTTTTGCATCATGGCACTGTATGTTGAAAATGCCCCTGCCCTAATGCGACCTAATGATATTTTAGAAATATGACTTTTACTAGCAATGGATTTTAGGTGAGCAGTCTAGGGCCATCATGACTTTCTTGTTTAAAAGTATGTACCCTTATCACAAACTCTTTTTCTCACAGATAATACAATAAAATGTTCACAATTTATTTTAACAATGCATGATATATTTTTTGTTCAACCATATATGTTTTATGTTCTTATTATGCTAATTATTTTATGTTTATGTGTGTACTTTTTATCATGTAGGTGACTCATGTATCATAAAAAAAGTTCATTCATAATGTTAGAAACTTAAATATAAAAATAAATCATCTTTTTGAAATTAGATAAAATCTATGTTATTAATATTTCATTCAAAACTGGAATACCAATATTTACTTGATTAACCCCTGTTAAAGGTTCTTCTCTGTCTTTTGTGCATTTAATGTGAATTTGACCAGGTTTACATTTGAAATGACTGGTAATATACCTTTATGATCAAAATGATAAAATTAATCATTAAGTTAATACTAATTTATTTTAGTTTGATTGTGTTGGAAGCAACTACTCTCCACATCAGATTTCTAGTCCAATGTTTCAACACTTGTACAAAAAATTAATCATCTGTCAAAATAGAGTCTTGATAGACTTGAAATACAGCTTAACTGTAAAAGTAAAAAAAAATCAGGATTATTCCTGAATTTCACAGTCCCAAAAGCTCTCTTTTTCTTGATATAACTACAAATTAAGTTGTGCCATTTTCAGGAGACTTGAACCCTTCACCTTGTATTTATGGGGCTGGCTCTATGCTAATGGAATTGGTGAAATCATTGTTGTAATAGCTAAATACTAGTGAGCTGCAAGGCTAGCGAGTTAATGTTATACTTAATATTTGAAGTCAATTTTTAGCCAAAATATTACCTAACTTGGTTGAAATGAAAATGTAACTATTTTGGGACGGTTTAAATAATTGAAATAGCAATGACCATTTGTAAAGATAAATATATTCTATAAATTATCATTGAACAATCAATAAATAACATTGGCTTTGTAAATAGTTATGTATAATTTTAGATAGTTTTGTGAAATAAGTTTTTAAATGAATATTTACCTACATTATGTTTAGTATGTGGACAGTTTATCATCTTTTGGTGAAAAAGAAACCCAAACTAACATTTGTTAAATGGATAAGTTATTTAGGGTATGCTTCAGTCAAATGTTACTACTGCCTATCCCCAGCGGAAAGGACGGGGACCCTGAACTGCCGTGTACATGGTGCAAAAGCAATGCACGATGTTGGCCAGGTATATGTCTGGTTTGGTACACAGATGTCCTGTTCTAGGTTTTGTTTTATCTCATAACTTTATTTGATAGCTTTAATGTCTTATAAACTTAGCAGGTCCAGTGATTATGTTTTGGGTTTGGTAAATGAAAACCATACCTAGGTTCGGTAAATGAATTTATAAGCCAAGTTTTGTAAACAAATTATTGGTTAGGTAGTAGGCTTGGTAAATTAAAAATGTCAAAGCTTGGTAAACGGATAACTTTTGCTAGATTTATTGTAAATTCAAACTTGGATATATCTTTGCTACTTCTGGTCTCAAGATGCTTAATATTTAGACCTATAGTCTATATATATAACACCGGCTAGGTAAATTGACATATAAACTAGTCGCATTGTGGGGAGATAGATGTCAATAATTCAACCACGATGAAATATTATATTTCAGTTGTAATTATGAAAAGTTATTTTCAGTGACAATACCGTGTTATTTTATATGGTTTTATGATTTACATTTCTGCAGCTGCAGATAAATTGCGACAATATAAGAGTGGTGTACACATAACATTTCTTCAGAATAAATGAGGATAGAAATACGATCAGACCCGTGTTGAAACATTATATACAAAAAAAGAAACAATGTACATGTATCTCAATTTCTATTTTTAACCACGCTAAATATCTTAACTGGTCAGTCAATCTTTCAATATTACACATTTATTAATACGGAAAATTGTTATATACATGTGTACTGCCTGGATAGCAGACGTTGCAGACTATGGGCAGACGACACGGATTTGCCGCCTGATCTTTGTTTACACATGTTGGTGCATGGTAAAATATGATGCCGTAAGAAGTCAAATGGTTTAAAATAGTATTTTTTGTGTGTGAGAAATAGTTCTTTCTACTGATGATGATGATGATTCTATTAGGTTGGCAAAGTCATGGATATAGGAGGGGGCTTAAAACATACAAAAGTTCGAGTTGGGGGTACAATACATGTATTTCTGTGATCTCTATGTGTATTGTTCATCCCTGTTCTACGGCTAATATAATAATAACAATATAATGTGAGGAAAAAGTTGCTAGTTACTTAAAATCAGACTTAAAGGGTGTATATTTTAATATACTAACTGTCCTAGCAAGTTAGTTGTTTACATGTTTATGTTAAAGGAGCATGCTAATTTTCATAATTGAGCCGCGTCATGACAAAACCAACATAGTGCGTTTGCGACCAGCATGGTTCCAGACCAGCCTTGGCATCCGCACAATATGATCAGGATCCATGCTGTTCGCTATCAGTTTCTCTATTTGTAAAAGGGTTGGTAAGCGAACAGCATGGATCCTGATCAGACTGCGCGGATGCGCAGGCTGGTCTGGATCCATGCTGGTCGCAAACCCATTATGTTGGTTTTGTCATGACACGGCTCAATCTTAAAAATGTATTTAATTTACTCATTGCAAACAGCACTTGCAATCCACGTAATTAAATTACCCAAAAAAAGGTCAAAATAAACAAAAATAGCCCTTACTGCGTTAGTAAAGCAGTAGAAATACTGTATGGTGATAACTGATAAATACTACAAAATCAGTCTTTAATCGCACATAACATGCAAATTATTACTTGAATCTTAAATTGTTTTACTTTTCTTAAAACCTTAGTTTATTTTACTCAATTTTATTTTTTCGTGAAATATTTTGGCTCATCTGGAGGCATGCAACTTTAATAATAAAATGTCCCCTGACAATAGTATTACATTGTCACGTCTATGATCCCGCATAATTATATTTTGCTCGCTTCACGGAAACTAATAAACGTGGTGCTGTCATTATTTTGTTTTCCTGATATGATTTTTATCACGACACAAACGTTTATTTTCCTGATAAATAGACATTGATGTATTTATTGGAAATGCATTCAGCACCAGCGTATCTTTCCTGTTATTGACTGTATGGCACAGTTCGTTATAGCAGATCTAATTTCTGTCGTGACCTGAAAAAATTATTACAGCAATAAAAGAGCGGTACTCGTGATGCTTGAAATATGATGACTTTAAATTGTAATGAAAAGAAAACTGCGTAAAAAAATAATGTGATAATATAGACCAGTGACGTAATCATTGTATATTGTACTCTTGAATAACAATATTTTAAAATTCAGTAAGCCTAAATGATGGTAAAATAAACTAAACTTTCAGAACTCTTCAGGGTGGAAGATCACGTGCCATTTGTTTATGTTGTCATTGTGTCGCCGTTAATGGAGTTTGCTAATTTGTCTATATATCTGTCAATATTTGAACTATTATTCCAAGCAAATATTTTCCGATTTCATTGGTACATATTTCTCCAATGTAGCTCTTGTACTTTTTTCGATAAGCTTGCAGTTTTTGTTACACATATTCTATTCAAAATATTCCCCAATAATACATTTCTGCAAACGTAACGGGGGTGGGGTTAAAGAACTACAAAATAGAAAGTTATATTCCAATAGTTTCATGGAACATTTGACCAAAATTTCCTCGATATATCAGACATGTTGCATGTTGTACCTGATGATTCAGGACTTATTTTGTTTCACATATATTTCCATCAACCAATTTTTTTCACGGAAAGCACTACCCGATTTCGGGGTTCAAACTCACTAGTCCTTTTCTAAAAAAAATCTTGTAGAACTAAGAAAAGGTGTGCAGTCTGATCAGGAAGCTAGAATATGACGTACTTGAAAATAATCAAATGTTTATTTAAAAGGCCTTTTGTTTATTGAATGAATAGCTGGACAATTATCTGTATTATAAGGTACATGTACAATTGTATGATTTAGGACATTATAAACTTTCAAACATTTCTGATTTTAAATTATTTTCTACTTTTCGTAATTGTTTTACCTATATGTTAACTACATTTATTTTCTCTTTCAGCAGAGAATTGCTCGATCATTCCTTCATTTGTATGTATCAATTTACCTTAAATCTTTATCAATATTTAAACGTAAACGTTGTCCGAAATGGTTTTTAACGTGGTCCGTTAAGTCCACTATCCGATTTGTCCTTAAACTGTATATGCTACCTACTATTTCAGACAAACATTTCTTTTAAGCATTATACACATCTTAAGCAGTTTGTCCGGTTTTTACAAAAGGGGGGAGTAGCTTTTTGTAAATAAGAACAGCATTATAAGTAAACCGGGGGCAAACAATTACGTCTCTTCTATGTATGGGATTACATAGCGCGTTCAAATTCCACCCATTGTATACTTTATCAATGGATATTTCACCTTGTAAATAGTGCGGACCAATTTAACCATACCGCGTTAAGTGAAGCGAGCTATAAGAAATTATTCCGTATTATCAACATTCTACCGTATACTGGATTTACAACATTTCTGACGAAGTGCTGTTTCATTTTGTGTGCTACTTTTTTAAATTTAAATATTTATTTGTTTTTTCTTGCATACACATTTTAAACTAAACCATGTGGAGCTATCGAGTGTTTTAGTTAGGAAGTTTAAAACGTTGTATTGTGCACAATCATATTTCTGTTAAAGGATTTGAATGTTCATGTCTGGATTTGTGTACATGTTTTAATAATTTACGGTAAGCAATAAGACTCTATCTTATCATGTAAAATCAATGGTAATAAACAATATTTACTTAAACAAGTGGGTAAAAGAATTGTTGCAATAAATCTAGGGCAGTGCACTAGGATTTTAAGGTTAAACAGACCTGCTTAACTTGATTACTATCTTTTTATACTATTTCTTAAGGCAAATGTTCATAAATTTACATGTTTTGGCAAATGTTTTAGGTAAATAGGTAGCATGTTTTTTTCTTATTTAAATAAGGTCACTAGCTTATAGAGGGCCGAACCAGACGTGCTATAGAGTATAACTGCTTAAGTTTCTTAATAAAATGTTATTTCTGCTTAATAAATAAAATTGCCAAAATTAATATAAGCATAATTATTCGTAATAGATCGTGGGAAAATATAGAAAATATATACAACTAACAAAAAAAAAAGTAAATTATTCAATAAAACGTCTTTCTATGTGACAAAAATTTATAGGGCTTGAAGCTGAAAGAAATGTTTATATGTAAATAACTAAATATACATGACAGGTCGTGTCTACAGTAAAAGTGAAATCGTTAAATAATGAAAGAGTTATTTAAGAAATAGTTAAGGTGTTAAGCTTGCCCAGGCGTAGCCGCCTAAAAAATCTATTTGAAGTGGTTAAAACGTAAAACTTGCCGATTCGATTTTTGACGTGTTTCAAGGTAGATTTTTATCAACAAATTACTGTTAAGGGCATGCATCCATCATCGACTTGTGCTAAATTTGGTATGTCTCGCTCATTAACTGGTTAGTGACATAATTATCGCCTTAACGAACTGGAGTAATAAAAGGACATCTATTGAAAGATATAAGATTACTGAAATTGATGCAGTATACGTTTAGTTTTATATAAGGATTGACCATACATTGCATCTGTGGTGATAAAAACCAGGAGCATTTCAGTATTGAACTTTGTGTTTTTAGCCATAATTTCTGCGTTGATAAGGCACCCTTCCATTTAATATTTGTATCATATCGGAACACCCATGCTATGATAAATATGGCGTGTTAAAATCACATTCAACTGTGTCATTTAAACGTTTCCTTTTTTAGTTGTAGCCAATATCGATCAGTGTACGTATATCTTCGCCTGAGAAGATTTTAAAATAATTCACTGCGTAGTTCAGAACTGCCTAGAAAACATAACAGCTTAATTGCTCTAAACAATAAAGTAATTCTTGCTAAATGACAACCAGCGTCAAGGAAAATGTACGTTTTTGTGTTCGTGAGAGGGGGGCACTTTACTTTTGAAATTTAATTGTCAATTTACGTTTTTGTCGAAGGGGATCTTTTTCCTTTTGAAAAATTATGTCAATTGGACACCTTTTCTTTTCTTTCCGTCGAATATTCTTATAAAAACGTTCTAAAAACAATGTTACTTATTTGTTCGTTTTTTTTTTTATTTAATGGTTTTACTTAATACCTTATCTGTTACATTTCATTATACGCCACATTATACGCCACAAGTTGTTTTTATGCGATTATAAAACGATAAGTATTTATATGACCTATATTTTTATGTTCTTTCGTTGGCAGTTATTCATCTGTGAGAAATAATAATAAAAGATTACATGTTCACGGTCTCGGAATGCTAATTTATTGCTTAATATTATAGTTTGTTGAATAAATAAAGTAAATTTTCACGTATCAATACTAAATATACGTCTTAAAATGGAACTTTATATGTTCTTTAAACCATATGGCAAAGCTATTTTTAAGTTTAAGGTTTAAGTTTACCAATCTTTTATATAAGACTGTTAAAATTAAATAAAAGAGACAAACAATATGAAAGGTGTATATTGAAGCATATAAAAGAGTTGTTTAATTTGTCCACTACATGAAAGCTTTTTATAAACTAGGGTTTATTTTCGTTAATACTTTCTCACTCAGCCACTGCTGTCAAGTAAAACTGAAACCAGAAAAAAATATAGAAAGACATAATCTCTAAAGAAAGCCCAACACGACACAATTGAAAATTCTGCAGGTTTGATTTGATGGAGCCTGTTCATGGACGGTAGTGGTAATTGTAAACTACCGCCCACACCCCATAGCACCGGCTTCAGTTTGACAGAAGATACAATTGACGATAGACTTTGTGTTATGTCTATCTCAAATAAGGAACTCGACGTTTTTAACATGACGGGACTGGAAATATTTTATTCGAGTTTTGTGTACCATCTGATGTAGGTCTTGACTAACAGCTTGTGTGTTAATTTTCATATCACTCTCTCATACATACTCAGTACATGTGTCCAAAGTAATCAATTGTATCATGGAAAATGACCCAAATACAGATAACTTTATACTACGTTTTAGCGCCATTGAATATATTGGTAATACTTGATCTCATATTTTCCACTAATATTGCCTAGAATTGATTACGGTTATCATGAATCCGTAATTGTATGAAATAGGTTTACAGATACATTAAGTGGGGTTTTAGGTATGGGAAACACGAAAAGTTCACTTTAAAGTGTTGTACCGCTTCATGGACGAGAGATTGTTTAGGCGATATTTGTAACTATTCTTGTAAGTAGTCCCGCGCCTTTTGTGAAAAGTCGTTAGACCTTACAATAAATTAAATATATATTTACACTAGACTTTTTCATAGATCCCAACCTCAGATTAAAGAAGATTTAATTATAGATTTATAAACCTATCATTTCGCAGACCCCTGCGTGAATTCTTTAAGTATACAATTCAAATCTGTTTGATAAATCTAATCGAATTTAAAATGATATGATAAAATAAACAAAAACAACATGATTCGGAACACTGATATTACCTTTTTCTGTGGCTAAAATCTAATCTATGATATTATTCTATAAAATGTAACATACTTTATTTTACAGATTAGATCTTTTTATTATATCTTGTCGTATAGCATAACAGTAACATCTGTACACAAATGTTTTATGACATTCAAAAATTATAAATACGACGTATCAGTAATATAAATCTCTAGGCAACCGACATAGCTCAAAGGGTTAGAGCGAGAGAATTGTATTCATTGTGGGTTCGATTCCCGGGCTAGCCAACAAAAATTACTTATCAGTCTTCTGGGTGAGACTTTGAATCGAGGTCCCATGTATTAGTGCTCAAACACTTGGCATGCTAAAGAACCAGGATCGAGAAGCTTCTTGAATTGTGGCATCTTGATGTATCTGTATCTTGCACTATTCTCCAAAATATAAAATGACTTTTTTCAATTTTGACGTGTTGGGCTTTCTTTAGGGATTCTTATTTTCTCTATTTTATACTCTTCTGGAGGACTCGCTCATATGGGCAACAATAAACGTAAACTTAAACTTAAAACAACTATAAATATCTAGATGCATTAATATACATACGTACGCTTAAGTGAATATCCATATATTTATTCATAGGAAATTTATTTGCAAGTCAGATATGTATATTTTTAAAGATTAATACAATTTTCTCAACACCCACCATAGGTTTTCTATTATTTATCAATCACGAAATCACTATATCAAAGTAGACCAGAAAACCGAATCTATTCATTCGACTTTCATATTAGTCTGTGCCCATATTCAAATAATCTATTTATAGTAACAAATTGTTGCCCATTGATTTAAAATGATGTTCTGTAAATCGGTTTGACATATCGGTAAATATTGATGGTTGTTAATGATAAACAGTGATGAAACATTGTTGTTATGACAGATGTCTTCCACTGATCAAGCCTCCAGGGATTATTTTTTATCAGATTGCGTGGTTACAATACATTACAAAACTTGGTTTACTATGTTTTGTGCTCTATATCAATCATGTTCAAAGTAACCCATACTTAAATCGGTTTGTCCATCGTTCTGTTTAGACAAAACTATTTATCTGTTCAAAGAGAGAATTTCAGTTTAAGTACTGACTGAATAGCGAATGGTGCTGACCATGATCCGACGTCCCGGCACGGATGTACCGGCTAATATTGGTCTGCACCCGTCGTATGGGCAAAATCTGTTGCCGCCATCAGGGTAAGGGTTAAGTAAGATAATAAGATCCTTTTTTCTGTTAAAAACCGAAATTCATTCCATTGAATGGCCACAAGAAGTATAGTAGGTTCGCATAGGCTAACAGATGTAAGTCTAGTTAAAATTAACAAAATATCTTTATATATATCAAGCCAGATAGACTATTTCTTATTTTTAAATTGGCCGATACAGTATGCTTAGAATTAAAAAAAAACACACACACAATAATTCATGAAAATGATATAATTGTATCATTTTATGGCTGGAACCATATCACAATACATGTTGTTGTGCCTGCTACAACTCTTTTAACAACTGAAAACAAAATTTGATAATTTAATGGAAAGTATCATTTACATTCCATGTAGATCTCTCTATTTTTTCTGAATTTCAAGGAAAAACATCGAACAGTCTTAATCCTGGTTAACCGGTTGTGTTAAATTTTGTTTAATAGCTTCTGACGACGTAGTATAATCTAAATATAGCTTTTTTCCAAGAATAGCCCTGTTTGATTTAACGAACCATTGGTTTTTATAACTTTTGAAAATGTTAGCATAAATTAAATTTATACTTTATTCAATAAAAAAGAACAGAAAATCACATAAGACAAAAGCTATTGTCAACGTATACCAGCTGTACATTGCACGTTTAACAGTAACACGAGCGTTTGATATTTCACTGCTTACAAAGTTACTTGTTTGTCTTAAAATCAAACCAGTATTTTTTATCGTTGTGATTGTCGATTATTTATTTATTCATGCGTTTTAATGCACTCGGTTGAATAATAATATCATAAAACATCTGAAATCAACACACAAAGTCGTAAAATTTTAATTTAGATTTTAAAAACAGTAATCACATTCTATTTATGAACTCGTCACGCTTAAGTTGATGAACATGGTTTTGATAACCACAATGGACCCATTTTACAAAATTGTAACAAATCACGATGTGTTCGCCGTTGTTCTGTTACACTGAGTTTAGTATATACAAATTGAAAACTAAAGGTTTTCAACAATAAAAGTTGCTTAACTTTCCAGCAATTATTGAACCTCATATACGTATCTTTCTCTATTTTTTCTTTACTATTTTGCTTAAAAGACAAAAACTTATTGTGAATATGAAGATCTACTCTAACTTTTGTTTCACAAACATGTTTTTATTAAATTACTTCTTTTCTGAAATACAACAGTTTCAAAAAAACATCACTTGAAAAAGGAATTATAGGAATGTACGTTTATACCGAGGCACTGGTGAAACGAACATATGTTTATAACGAGCTCCTGGTTAAACGAACATACGTTTATAACGAGCTCCTGGTTAAACGAACATACGTTAATAACGAGCCCCTGGTTAAGCGAACATACGTTTATACCGAGCTCCTGGTTAAACGAACATACGTTTATACTGAGCTCCTGGTTAAACGAATGTACGTTTATACCGAGCGTCTGGTTAAACGAATGTACGTTTATACAGAGCCCCTGGTTAAACGATCATACGTTTATACCGAGCGTCCGGTTAAACGAACATACGTTTATACCGAGCCCCTGGTTAAACGAACATACGTTTATACCGAGCTCCTGGTTTAATCAACATACGTTTATATCGAAATATGTATTTATCGAACATACGTTTTAATCAACCCCATGGATTATGAACGTAAATGCCAGTGAACCCCAGTTATTGTAATCAGAATTGTTGTTTTTATTGTTAAAGGCCAGCCACCTTCATATATTTGTTAATTTATCATTTTATTATGTAAAACAAACTTAAATAAGTTTATTTTTTCTAAGTTGCCAGTAAAAGTATCGGCAATTACTTAAGTATAACCTTAGCATGAACATATTTTAAGTTAGATCGTTATAAAGGACATTATATAAAGTATCTACATGTAGTTATATTAATATTAGAAAACATAGATCCGGCAAACAGGCATAACAATACCTTTTGTGCTCTTATAAATTCGTTGGTTGAAGAAAGTTTATTATGCAAAACAAAATGAAATATATAACACAAAAGAATCATTCCATGTTAATATGAATAACCGAAAGGTATACTGTATTTAGAGATACCTACTTTCATTGAATAAAACAAAACTGGGGTATCAGCATATCTTTTATTTTAGACTTAATAACACTTAGCCATATAAAGTCAGTAAATAAATAATCTACCGTCTATCAACTTTAAATATCTTCCTAATATATGATATAAGTATCCTATTTAGGAAAGTGTTGATAGTTTTATCTCTTGAATATCTTTTTCCCATTGATTTATTGTGCCTCAATGTATGTACATTATGATAAAACTACACCCTTACGCCGTTCAGTTTTCATTTTGAAAACTGATTACATTTTATTTGCAACCTTTAATCTTTTTTTTTCAAATAGCAAACAGAAATTTAAAATTTGCAGTTAGTATTGGTTGACCTTAATTATATGTTTTGTATTAGATTATTTTCCACATCTTAATAATGTAAACAGTTAAAGGAACTCAACTGAGGTCCAAAACCCTAAATACATGGAATTTGAATTTCTTACAATTATCGGCTTGGACACTTAAAATAAAAAGATTTGCACAAAATGATTACGAAATATACAAAGAAATATATTGAACATTGTATTTTTGTGTTAATGTTAGCCCGATTGAGTGACGCTTTTCAATTTTGAGACATTTTTCACAATTAGAATTATCAATATGGAAAAACGGAGTGAGCGAATGATCTGGAATTTTGCACACAAGCTATCGGTCTAGACTTACATTAAAAGTTAAAAGTGCATGGGGATATTGCGGACGTTTCGGGCATTTATTGGAAGTAAGCTTTGAAAGATAGATATGCCCCGATCAATCTATAAAAAGAAACAGCATTTTTCAATTATCGGTCTCTACTCGTATGACACTATTTTAAGTACATTTTATGTCCTCGTTTTATGAGTAAATTACAAGTATATGTATATTGTACATAGGTATGTTTTTATTAATCTGTAGCCCACCCATTCCCTTCAAAAGTATCAACACATTACCTTAAACAGACGAATGTTAGGATTAAGTGTATGGAGAAAACACATTTTAGTGCTTTGTATGACTTAAACTTTTGTATGAAAGTTGGATTGTGTGACTAACATTTTTATGAAACTTCGACTGTATGACTAATACTTTTGTATGGAAATTGAATTGTGTTACTAACGCTTTTCGATAAAACTTGTATGAGTATCAATTTTGTATGAAACATCGATTGCATGTCCAACCGTTTTGTATGAAAAGTCGACTGTATGACAAACACTTTTTGTATGAAACTTTGTATGACTAAACTAATATATGAAACTTGAATTATATGATTTACACTTTTTTTATAGAACTTCGATTGAATGACTTACACTTTTGTATGAAATTTAGATTGTATGACTATTGTATGAAAATTGGATTTTATGACTAACACTTTTGTATGATAATTGGATTTTATGAGTAACACTTTTGTATGATAATTGGATTTTATGACTAACACTTTTGTATGATAATTGGATTTTATGAGTAACACTTTTGTATGATAATTGGATTTTATGACTAACACTTTTGTATGATAATTGGATTTTATGAGTAACACTTTTGTATGATAATTGGATTTTATGACTAACACTTTTGTATGATAATTGGATTTTATGAGTAAACACGTTTGTATGAAAATTGGATTTTATGACTAACACTTTGTGTATGATAATTGGATTTTATGAGTAACACTTTTGTATGATAATTGGATTTTATGACTAACACTTTTGTATGATAATTGGATTTTATGACTAACACTTTTGTATGATAATTGGATTTTATGAGTAACACTTTTGTATGATAATTGGATTTTATGACTAACACTTTTGTATGATAATTGGATTTTATGAGTAACACTTTTGTATGATAATTGGATTTTATGACTAACACTTTTGTATGATAATTGGATTTTATGAGTAACACGTTTGTATGATAATTGGATTTTATGACTAACACTTTTGTATGATAATTGGATTTTATGAGTAACACTATTGTATGATAATTGGATTTTATGAGTAACACTTTTGTATGATAATTGGATTTTATGAGTAACACGTTTGTATGTAACTTGGAATGTTAAACTGAAACTTTCGTATGAAAATTGGATTGTGCGACTTACTCTTTTATATGAAGATTGGATTGTATAATTTACTCTTTGGCAGATTGATATCTTATTTTCATCTGTAAGCGTCTATTTCTTTCATCATTAACAACCGTAAAGCATTGGGTTCAAATTCATAGTGAAATCAAGAAAATGAAATATCTGTCCAAAAAAAAGAACACACACAACAAAAAACACGTCCCGAAATATATCTGCCAGGGTACAGAGAAATCATTGTAATCAGATATGTATATATTTCATTGAACAGGGTATAAATTTTCCACAGCAGGAAGTTTATATAGAACTATCTCATAAAATACAAATATTATCATTGACAGGGGAAAAAAAGCGGACGTGTGTGTACATTCGTAAGTAGTTTGTGTACAAGAATAAATATTTCTTTTAAAGGAATTATACTATTTTACAGACAGGTTGTATTAAATTATTTGAAAACAAGTTCAGGGAAGGAAATATTTTCAGGGTATATAATTTGAATACACGAGTGTTGTCCTAAGCTCGAGTATGACTTGTGCCATCATTTTATGTCGTTGTTGTTGTAGTTATTGTTTTGGCTGCACACAAATGTTGAACTTACGTGGCGGGACAAAAATGCTGTACTTACTAAACCCGGCAAAGTTACTAGTTAATATTTTTGTTCTTTCGTTCAGAACAACAAAAAAAACAAGCAAAAAACAGACAGACAAACAACAATACAAACACCCAAAAACAACAACATCTTTTATGGTACAGATTAACGGGTTTTTTAGTATATTTTTAATTTCAAAGTATTATCAATATCTTTATGATATATTTGCAGGATTGCGGTATCAAGACGAGCTTCTTCTACCATTGTGTCTAATACATCTACGAAGTGTCAATTTACATCGTGTAACATTTCATTGTACAGCGGTTGTAGAGAAATCTATACTGGTATTAGTGAAATGGGATGACAAGTTGGAATATATCGAACGTTTTCCCTTTATCATCAACGTAAATAAAATTTAAAAAAAAAAAACTAACGAAAACCAAGTGTTGGATTAGTAGGCCCTATTTGAGGGTGGATTACAAATACTGATAGCTATAGAAATGAAAATTAACACGTTGGTATAATAAAATACTAAAAAGTTCAACCCTATTTTGAACAATAATTTAAGGCGGTGGCTGCTTTATGCACTGAATACATTCATCCATAAATTACATCGTTTATTAACAGATGTGATGATATAATGTAATACAAGGTTTGGGTGGAGAGAAATTACTACTCTGACGTTATTATTTACCCCATTATTTGTGTTAAACTGCTTAACAAGGTGAAAATACTACAGTATGAAACATTAGAGCACAGTTTTCACGGGATAAATCGCCGAGCTTCAGGACCACTTGCTTCCCTCCAAAATGGCGTCAGCGGACGCTGGAAAGGTAATGTTTTTTTACAATTATAATTATTCCATGCTGATAAGTACATAAAATTGAAATTTAGATGGAGCAGACGTTATTATTGGCATCTATTAGTATCTACACCATTTCCCTCTTAAAAGTAGAGCTAGATATTATCTTTAATTATCCATTGATATTAGAGTTATGTGAAGAGGTATACAGTTTTAATTATTGGTAAAGTTATGTTTAGTGCTGTAAGTGGGACGAAATTTAAATGTGTAATTCATTTGAAAACTTCGTAAGCTAGGGGTATCCAGCAAGCTAAGGAAGGTCAGCGTTCTATTCAGGTGCACACGTTTGCTTAATACAATGTATATAGTGATGCACTAAGATACGTCTATTATCTAACTCGCAAAAAAGAACATATTAAATAACGTGAATTTCAAAAGTTTCATAATTTTATACAGGTACCTTTAAAGCTTAAATATCACATCCATGCTTTCCGAATGATTATAGTCTTAAATCCATTTTATCTGGTCAAGGACTATCAGTAGGGGATTGTACTTATTGAACAAAATGTTATTAAATACGGAGGAACAATCTCACTATTGAGATGTGAACATAACAGCAGTTTATCCTGCATAGCTAAGATGTTAAGGTGTTTAAAAGGCTTAATTTCCTTGTTTTATTTATTTCTGTTTTGGTTCAAATACCCTTTATCCACTCTAAAACGTGTGGGTTTTTTTTTGTTGTGTATTCTGATATGCCATAATGCATGCGTTAAATATCGTATTTATTTGATCAAAAATTGTCACATTAATTATTTACAGAATTTTACTGATCTTACAACTTTAAATTTTTATCATACAATAAACACCTTGAAATACCTTGGGAAAATGATATATTCAGCAGAAAGACGTTATTTTAACTTAATTTCAATAAATCGGTTTATTTTTCATTTCAATATTGACAAGCCTGTTGAACATTGCATAGCTCTATTGTGATATAAGTTTACACTTCTATATTGTTGAGTGTAATATAAACCCCGATTGCGGTAAAATAAAACTTATTGTGATCATAGTAGACATAATGTGTGCTTTTGTATGGTCCTGATTCTCTTAATTACTCTTTATCCTTCAATAACCAGATTTCCTCTCTGTTAGTCATTTTTCTTTTTTCTATTCATTGAATATTTGCATTGTATGTATACTCTGGAACATATCATATGTACACAAATCAATGCGTTCACATAATTCTAATGTATTGAGGTAGGAAATGAGTTTTGCAGAACAAAGTCAAACGCAGTGTCACTGTACTGTAAAGTATCGCTACTTAAACGATGTCGTCTGCTTTACATCCTTTATTCATTGTTAGGCGTTAGTCATCAGATAAAAGGTTCTCTTCATCAATGTACGAGACAAATGGCGATAAAATTTCGCTACCCCGCTCACACCGTTATGCATATATTGTCCTCGTAGGCTTAGTGAATGCTTATCACGGATGTTGCCCTTCTTTTGGGAATCATTAGTTTGTGACTTTTCGTCAGTTATTGGCTTTATTTTTGTCCCTTGCACTTCTTTTGCCTTGAAGTGTTTGTTTCCATTTAAAAGCCAGGCTCCATGTCGCAGTTAACTTCAACAGTAAGCAAGTATTGCGCTTAACTAGGGTTCATATTTCAGATTATCAAGAGGCCTTCCTTTTCAGGTTCATCAGCATAAAGGTCATGCAACTCTTTCCTTAATCCTTAATTATACGGCACATCACACCAATTTTCGTGTCTTTTATCAATAAAAATCCGAAAATTTTTATTCCGAAAAATTATTCTAATATATGTTCATACTGTTAAATTATATGTAGGCTCTGAAAAATCATGGTGTGCAACATTGAAACGTGAGATGATTAAGTCTTTTTATGTTAAATTGCAATAATTACGGGACAATATTTCTTTAACAAGCTGTCGCTTAAAGCAAGTATAAGGGTTTTATTCAATAAAAAGGCAGGGTGCAACGGGAAAATATACATTTTTTTTCGCCCCGAATAAGGGTTGATTTAATATCTTTGAAGGATGTAGGTTTTCACACATCTCAATGTATTCATAAAAGATGCAGGGTGCATTTGAAAATCAGTCATTAAATAATGTCGCGTCTATCACGTACTTCTATAAAGAATTCGTTGAATGATTGCGACGGGATTAAAAGGTCATATATATGTATATCGAACGGTAGTGTTTGCTGCCTTAAACACCCTACAAACAGTATAAGATTGAAAAAAGAGTCCTCCGCATCACTGATTTCTATTCAGTTTATAATGTTTAATGTTACTTTAAGAGATTGTACACTTTTAAATCAGTCGTTTAAGACTGCAAGGAAGTACAGAATGGTCAGTTTATGTACAAGTATCACATGCTAGCACACAAAATAATTGTCTCTCCTGAAATATATCATAAGGTTACATATACAACGAATTTAGACTGCTTTTAATATTAATGATAAAAGGAATTTTTTTATTAATATCAAAATTCCATGATACATGTAGTATTACTATCACTGGAAATATTAAACCACAACTATTGAATTTGCCCATAAGAAGAAAATAAAACCAATCATAAAATAGATAGATATTGTATGTTCTTGTTACGTTGAAATTCACAATTAAAAATTATCAATATTTTAGGAGGATGGCCAACATCCTATTACTCGCCAACAAAGTATTGTACCGGCGCCGCCGGCGTCGGCCTTTGGTGATGACGACGAGGATTATGCACGTGTAACAAAACAACAAAATGACGCGGAGAAGACGAGTACGAAATCTGACAAGGCAGATATGAGTAGAAACTTTGGAACAGCCACATTTTCTAAATCATCAAAAGGATTCGAAGCCATGGTAAACCTAACTAAATTATCGTACAAAATGACTGTTGTTTTGGCTAACACCAGTTCACATGTGTGTATTTTGTCATAGGTCTGACGACAGACGTTTTGTACCCGGGTTTTTAAACTTTACATGTTGTTGTTCCTTTTAAAGCCCAGTTATGTCTTAATTTGAAGTTTTCCAATTCAGACACTTGTTTCATCGAGAAAAACCAACCAACTTGAGACATTTGGGTCGCTTTATTGTTTTTAATATCATGTGATCATGTGTTGCACTCGGGATTCGAACTGATGGGCTCTGAACACGTTGATATCATTATATTTCTATAATATTAAAGGCAAGGTTAGCTGGGTTTATAACCTTATATAAAAACTGTTATGAATTCGGGCAATTTATTTCTTGTTAATGGATTTTTGTTATGTTTTATATCAATTCAGTAGGATACGATAAACATCTAAATCGTTCCGAACATGCGATATGATAGAATGTTTGATAAGGGATATGAAATGATGTATGATTGATATGTTTATGATAAACATGATGATATCATCTCAACAATACAAATACCTACCATACATTGTCACAGACTGTTTAACATCTATTAAACATGATTAACAGCCCAATCAAAATATGAAATTTAAGAAAATTTAATTTATTGTCATGTTTTTTTATTTAGTTTAATGACAATTAATCTGTGTGTTTGAAAATTTATAGCAAGCAGTTGTCGAAATGGAGAGAAAAGGTTCAACTGTAGAAAACGATGCTGATTCGTCAGGAAATTCCACGGATCAGTCAACGGACCAATCAGACGAGAGAGGACCAGCTTCCGTTAGCAGCGGAAGCGGAAGTTGGCAAACGTTTGCACGCACGAAGTTTTCGGTGAAAGCGTCGTATGGTTATTGTTGTGCGCCCTTACAGCAACCACTGCTAGAAAAACGGGACAAGAGTGATCATTTGGTAAGTATAATTTATATAATTTATATTAAGTATAAAAATTATTTATAATATGAAAAAGGCAAAGCCTCAAAGCGAGCTCGATGTACTTTTAATGTGAAATAGTATGAAATAATCGCTCATTTTTATTTCAAATGCAGTGACAAGTGCGTGTGATGTTACACGTACTGTGTTAAATATGGCTCCGCCCCTGTCGTTAAATGAATAACGAGTTTTGAAAACGTTGATAAAACTTTGTTTATTTTATTTCACTCTATAACTTTTCAAGCGAAACAAAGATTATGAAAAGTGAAATAAACGTATAACTTAAAACGTTTGCGACATTTAAATAGCGTACTTAATTTGTTTGTTTTGCACCTGCTGTTTGGCGCTACATTGTGACGTCACGTAAACAATACTTTAAACGTTTGTACAGCGTTAACGACTGAATAAAAGATATTGGTGTTCGGATTCATTTTCTTAGTTAGACCATTTTCATTCATTCTAGATAGTTTTCACAACAAAATTCGACAAAAAATTGTTTTAATTTATCAGATTTTTCAAACAAAATGGCGCCTTCAATTTTCATTTTACATTTCCGTTCGATATTTTATCGACAGCTTCCGTTATTCTGGTTTCCTGTCCAATTATGGTTCCCGTAGACGTGCGCGGGTGACCAGTCTACACATCCGTTTTCAGTCAGAATTCCTCAGTTTTTATCGTTATCTTTAAATTCGAAAGGTTGCGATGTGTCCAATTCGGTACTTCGAACGAAAGTTTTCAAAACAATCACTTAGCAGGTACTCGCGTTACCCTTCGGGCTCGCTATTAATATGAAAGGCAAAGCCTCAAAGCGAGCTCGATGTACTTTTTACGTGAAATAGTATGAAATAATCGCTCATGCAGTAACGAGTGCGTGTGACGTCAAACGTACTGTGTTAAATATGGCTCCGCCCCTGTCGTGAAATGAATAACGAGTTTTGAAAACGTTGATGAAACTTTGTTTATCTTATTTCACTCTATAATTTTTCAAGCGAAATAAAGATTATTTCAAGTGAAATAAATGTAAAACTTTACACGTTTGCGACATTAAAATAGCGTACTTGATTTGTTTGTTTTGCACGTGCTGTTTGGCGCTACATTGTGACGTCACGTAAACAATACTTTAAACGTCTGTACAGCGTTAACGACTGAATAAAAGATATTGGTGTTCGGATTCATTTTCTTAGTTAGACCATTGTCTTTCATTCTAGATAGTTTTCACAACAAAATTCGACAAAAAATTGTTTTTATTTATCAGATTTCAAACAAAATGGCGCCTTCGATTTTCATTTTTTATACACAGCTTCCGTTATTCTGGTTCCCTGTCCAATTATGGTTCCCATAGACGTGCGCGGGTGACCAGTCTACACATCCGTTTTCAGTCAGAATTCCTCAGTTTTTATCGTTATCTTTAAATTCGAAAGATTGCGATGTGTCCAATTCGGTACTTTGGACGAAAGTTTTCAAAACCATCACTTAGCAGGTACTCGCGTTACCGTAAAGCTCGCTTTGCGAGCAGGCCCTTCGGGCCAGCTCGTCGAGCTCGCTATAATTACTGATACATCATGATACCATAACATTTCAGGCTTCACTAGCGGCATGGGTCACACTGCTAAGAATTATGGGAGATCTACCGGAAATGGACTATGGCGAAACGTTTGCAGTTGCTGGGGTAGGTTGAATGACACTAAATAATGTAGACATTATTCGATAAAAACCTATTTAAACGTCGATATAGAATTAAAACTAGTTTATTTCTTGGATTATTCCTCTGGCTGAAAATTGTTTTAATGCGTAAATATATAGAATAAAAATTACAAATGGATTTAATAATAATGACCTCATTTTCTAAACAGTCCTTGAAAATTAACATTATACGCAGAAGATAAAAATGACTTGGTTTTTTTTGCAATTTTCAGCAAACAAAGCCTGTTGTTCAGCTAGTACGGGATAATTTTAATAAGAAATACACGAAGAAAGATATAGAGGATGCTTACAAGAAATACAGTGATCTGGTAAGTTGGTAAAAGATCTAAACATAGCATCAATAATTATACCTACCTAAAACTCTACTGACATACCAAGTTTCAACTAGTTATACCAGAATTGTACTGGAATAATTAATTGTTTAAAACTGTACAAATAGTTTGCTTATTTGGTGTGTTTGAAAAATTGTCATTTTATTACAATCGCCTGACACCACAAATGGTAACCCATATTGAACAGTCATTCCGCACGGATGCCAGTAATTTCACGTCTTTTATAGGACTGTGAATTGTATCTTTTTTACAAACAGTTGGTTCTATAAAATGTAAGGAGTAAAGCACCGTTATACGGGACCCTCGTTTTTCAAAGTCTTTGCCGAAAGATCATTTAGAGCCAGGGATTCGAACTCCGTCCAATATATTTATTATCAAACAGGTTTACTCCTAGACAACTCAGTGTCAACTATCTTTCATATAAATTATTGTAGAACTACCCAATTAGCACCGACGTAAATAATCACCTTTAAGAATTTGAACAAGGTATATACATATATAAATGTTTAAATGTTAGTAACATGTCAGTTACTAAATGATTTACATATGCCAACAAATCTTTGCAGTCTTATTAGAATCTTTTTTTACTTATTCTCTTAACTATTGACGTGAATTTGATTACTTAAAATATAAATCAGTGCAAACCAAATGTAGAATGTATCAGAACTTGAGGATTTAGTTAACTATTTATTTGAATTACACGCAGTCACGAAGAGTTGCTTCTGTCATTTAATTTATAAATTTTATTATTTTAATTGTTTTGTTGTTGTTTTTTTTTTCATTTTATTATTACATTGATTCTGAAGTTAACATTAATTTAGCTATTTCATTGTTATAATTTTTTTTCAGTTCCGTGATCCAACAAATTCTGAGATTACAAACATACCGTTTCTACAGGACAATAAAGAGTCCATGTTAGAGAAAGTACAATACATAACAGCATTGGGAATTTACAAAGCTGACCTCAGGTAAATGATTATGTTTTTAAACGTTATGTTTAACGCGGGAAAAAAAACTAGAATTGACACCACTGAATGTACAAAATGTTAAAGACGCCGCGCTATATTGTATAAATAAATCCGCTTTCTGTATAAGTTAATGAATATTATTACTTATAAATTAAATGAACTGTGTCGAGTGTGAATTTAGACTAGTAATTTCGATGAATTTTCATCTTCACTGACTTGAGAGTTATATGATATCGTATTTTGGGATCTATATGTTAAGAGGCCAGGGATAGAGGAACATGCATTATTTGCAAGGCACGAAAGTGCAGGCAAACATGTCTGTACTGGAGACATGGGTAATGCATTCTAGAATTCGTATTCAAACTTTTTTTTATCTTCTTTTTATTTTAATAAATGTTCTGTTATTGTGGTCCCCTTTGGTGTTTCGAAAAAATCATACTATTATCTGCCTCATTTTTGATAGCAAAATCTTGCAGTCCGTTATATTGAATGCTTTTTGCGAAAATTCTTGTACCGCCCATTGTAAAGTTTGTTTGTTTGTTTTATTTTACGCCTTTTCCCAACAGTATTTCAATTATATAGGCGGGTAGTTTCCTAACCATGGTTCCATGAGAGTTACACCAGTACTAGACTACCTTCCTCCGTGCTAAACTACCAAAGCATCTCCCGGGGATCGAACCCACGCCAGAGATGTAACTGGATTAGAAGTCATCGACTCTAACCCCTCGACATTGTAAAGTAACAAGATATAAATATTCCGTTATTATTCTTGTATTTTCTTGTTTTCAGAGACGAGTTATACTGTCAGGTCTGTCGACAACTGACCAACAACCCGTCGAGAAATAGCTGTATACGCGGCTGGGTTATGATGTTTGTGTTTGCTGGAAGCTTTCTACCAACGGAAAAGGTCAGTTGAAAAGAGTTTAGCATTTTAATAAGCAATATATGTAAAGCTAATGCTAAGGGCATTTCCCTTTCCCTATTTCCTACCATTTCTATTTAGAAAACAATAAAAACTGTCTTGAATTTAATTAATAAACGTAAAAACGACCGACAGCCTACAAAACAAATTGACTACGTGTGTCTCTTATGCGATACTCTTTTAGCACAGTCATTGTAATTAGCCAGTAATAACATCAGTGGTATAAAACTTTGCCCAAATTCTTATAAAATGTGAATGACAGTCTGGCCTATTTTGAAGTTAAGAAGACCGTGTTGAGGTGACTGTGTTAAGCAGACTACATTAAGAACAATATGTTAAAGACACTCTGTTTAACTGTGATGAGGTGACTGGGTTCAGAAAACTATGTTCAGGAGACCATGCTGATAAAAATGTGACGTGTCGGACTGGATTTTCAACATACTCTCCACAACACAGTCTCCACAACACACTCTCCACAACACAGTCTCCTCAACACAGTCTCCACAACACAGTCTCCTCAACACATTCTCCACAACACACTCTCCACAACACAGTCTCCTCAACACATTCTCCACAACACACTCTCCACAACACAGCCTCCACAACACAGTCTCCTCAACACACTCTCCACAACACAGTCTCCTCAACACATTCTCCACAACACACTCTCCACAACACATTCTCCACAACACGTTCTCCACAACACACTCTCCACAACACAGTCTCCTCAACACAGTCTCCACAACACAGTCTCCACAACACACTCTCCACAACACAGTTTCCTCAACACAGTCTCACCAACAGTCTTCTTAACACAGTCTAAGGAGACTGTGATATGGATACTGTGTTAAGGAGATTTTGTTTAAAAGACTGTCTTGTTGAAGTGTTGTGAAAACTGTGTGTGTTAAGCACTAATTTGAATACAGAATATTAAATTTATAACATTCATTCTTTTTCGACCGCATTATAAGATATTTCACATTATATATAAGCTCAACCCTTGGCGAAATGTGTAAGCAAAATGTTACTTAAAACTTAATAGATAATGATAAATTTGCAAAAAGTCAAAACATATTCTAAAAAATATTTTGATTTTGTGTGTTTAAATGTTGCTTTTTATTCATTTTGCAAATTGCACAGTCTAGGTTTCAATGACAACGATCTGTTAACATAATTCTAACAAATGATGATCTAATTGAAAGGAACTAACAACACAAAACACGCTTTTCATCAATGAAATCATTGAGTCGTACCGAATTTCCAGATAAAGAAACTATTTTAGTGAATTTGACATTGAGGTAAAAACTGTCGTAATTTGATAAAATGATTTAAAAAACTGTTTTATAAAGTCGCAAAATATGTGAATGAGTTGCTTGAAAAACAGCTTCGTAACGCTGAATAATGTCATTTTCAAACAGACTTAGAATTACTTTTTGAACAAAAAGACAACTTGCAAAAATACATAAACTGGTTACATGACAGGTAGAATAATCAGAGCTGAATCTCTCAAACTGATATATTATGTTATTTATGTTATGTTGTGTTGTGTTATGTTTATGGTTATGTTATGTTATGTTATGTTATGTGTTGTTATGTTATGTTATGTTATGTTGTGACGTCACTTTACGTTATGATATGTTACGTTACGTTATGTTATGTTATGTTATGTTATGTTGAAATTACAATAATTTGGATTTACTGAGCATGCGCAGTTAATTCGATTTTATATCCGAAGTCGAATTTGTTGAAAGAATTCTAAAACTTAATATTTTGTTTTCTCTTGTTTTTTTTTTAAGTTTGCCCCAATACTTCTGAACTTTCTTCGAGATGGACCTACCGAGCATGCGCAGAGAGCTGAGAGATTGTTAAGACGTACGTTTATGGTAGGGACAAGGGGTCAGCCACCAAGCTGGTTAGAATTCCAGGTAAAATAACGAATGTAACAAAAGATGTGATTTTTCGTTCTAAAATGATACAACGGTAAGAACTAATCGTTTCTCAAAGAATGGTTAAATAGTTTAAGCTCTATTGATCGAACAGGATACGTGATCTCCTTACACCATTCCGAGCAATTTATGAAAATTGTTGAAAGAGATCAGCCGTCGAGCTAAATGGGCTCTAAGCTTTCTAAACAACACAACGTTACAAAACTTCTGTAATTAATTTTATTTGCTTGGAAATTAATATTGCTATGAAATCAATATGAAATCTACAACATTTGTTTTTACATGTATCTCCATAGCAATCATAAAATATAAATCTGCAAAAGTATTGCATGCATAAAATATATTAAATTACCTTGAATATTTACCTTGAAGGGACCGAATGTGACCCAAGTTTTGACACCAGTATAGACCTAGGCCGGTCTGAACTTTCGTGCAGTTGACCAAGCTTTAATACTTTTGGTTGACTCACTTTAAATTTTCATCTTGACATCCCCAGTTATGATAATGAACGTTTCCAAGAATGGGTTTACACTATACTATTTGGCATGCCATTACGTATATTGTCTTATAAATATCAAATATGCTGAGCAGCACAGATCTTGACACCTGGACGCTTTCTTAATAAATACAAACAAAAATGATAAGGAATGGGAAGCGCTGGGTTTGTTGAACACTTTGTGAGCATGTATGCATCATAAAGGTATATACATACAATATATTAATTTTTGTCGTCTGACAAGACGAGGTTTTTCCACATATGAAATTATCTATTGAATTTAAATGTCAAGTTGTTGATTCCAATATTTTGTTGCTTTTCAAACTGCCGACGTATCAAAATAAAAACTCTTAAATAGTCTGCGTCTCGAGGTAAAGTGATCTGTTTGACAAATATTGCAGACGACATATTTAAATCGATAAAACATTAAAATGTTGAATTAAATATAAAACCGTTTCCAAGAAAGAGTGAAATTGTTAGGTTATTTTTTCGAAATACATTTAAAAGGAAGTAAATTCTCTTACCAATGTACTGACTGTACAAATAGTCACGTGACTGTCTTAAAAGTACGAATTCTGACATGGAATCCGGATTAAAAAGTAAAGAACAAAAATTCATTCAAAATAAGCAGGCATTAAGATGCCATTTTAGGCCTCAGATTTATACAGAAAGTTGGTGCAAAACTTTGAACCTGAAATGTTTTTTATCAACATTTTGTCTGGCAAAGAAATAGAATGAAAACCTTCAAGTACATGTTTATTGTAACTTTGATATTATAGGCTTTCTTATAAAGTGTGTTTGCTTTGAAACCGCTCAATATTATACTGTATGGCCATGTCGTATTTTCTCCCCGTGTAGCGAAAGTACGACAAAGTGGTGTCATTGTCGTATTATCGTGCTTAAGCATTGCGCCCTATGGAGCGAAAGTACGATAAATTGATGACTTTGTTATGTTTTCGTCCGGCACCCCGCGGAGCGAAAATACGACATGACATACATTAGCCACCATAATACTGACTTTTGGAAGAAATGGTTATAATGAATGAGCATATCTTTTATAAGTTGTAACCCAAAGACTAAGAATATGATGGCATTGATAAACAAGGGTTGTTTTCTACAATGTATACATGCATTATGATAATATAACACTCAGGTATATATGTCTTATTTATTCTGTCGATATTTATTACTAGTTTCGTACATATTTATGACATTTAAACGATGTAAATAATGAGTATTTCATGCATTGAGAGGAAAAAACTGCTCTTTTGATATCATATTTGCAAAAGACCACAAAATTTTTAATAAACTGACCTTAAATTTGATGATGTATGCATATAAAATGACCAAAACTTATTTGATTTACACCTATTCAGTGCTTTTGATTTGCAATGTACGTGTTCTGAATTCGGTAATATTTAAAGTAAATAATAATGACTTTATGCATACTAAAATATGCCTAATATTTCATATTTCATGAGTGACCTTTCTTTCCTTAACACCAACACAATATATTAAGATTTTTGGAGAATTTAAACATTTTTAAATGTAAACATTCTCTACGATATTTTTAACACTTATATCTTACATTTTATACAATTATCAATTATACAAAGTTCAGACATGACATTGAATGGTATTTGCCATATAAAGAGAGAGTGATATAGTAAACATATGGCACACATCACTCTCTGGTTCGATCCTTTTTCAGGCGGCCAAAAACAGCAAGCCAATCTTATTGCCTATAATTCTGATGAACAGTAACCGACTACTGGTCGAAACGGACACTGCAACAACCGTGAACGAGCTGTGTTCACAGATCAGTCAAAGAATTGGTCTTCGTGACAGAAGCGGATTTTCTGTGTACATTACTCTTGGCCATAAGGTGAGACATTCTGGGCTTCTTAAATCAATAATAATCAGAATATATAAGAGGTTCATATTCAAAATAACGGAAATCGAAAGCTGATTCAGGATTTATTCAGAAACATAATTTTTAGGGCTTTTTGTGCATTTATTTTGCTAACTAAAGCATGTAACTATGTAAAAGAATCTTATTAATCAGTATTTAACAATATAATTCGAAAGTCAAGTAATTTGTCCTATGGCACTAATTTTCTAGCAAAAATATCACACTTGAGCGTAGAACAAATGTGCTAACTTTAAAACAATTGTAAATAGGGAAAAGGATAACAATAAAAATGTTTTTCTTTTTTTTTTCAGATTGCTTGCCTCGGCCATGGTATGCATCGAATAATGGACGCCATTTCAGAATGTGAACAAAGCACTAAAGAACAGGGCATGCGCGAAAGTAGTAGTCAATGGCGGTTGTACTTCCGGAAAGAATTCTTCACTCCGTGGTATGACCCTAGTGAGGATACACAGGCCACGGAGTTAACATACCAACAAATCATGAGGGGTGTGTCTGTGGGTGAATACAAGTGTGAGAAGGTACCGTAGTTTCATCTAGACCCTTTTACGTTGTTTAATAAATGATTGGCCAAGTTTACATAGATTTTATAACATTTGGCGGGAAAAGTTAATGAAAGTACATAGGCGCAGATTTATGCGTGTATTTAACCTTAGAAATACAATCATTACTACAAAACTTTAAATAGCATTGTGGAAGTTTTCACAGTCAAACCACATTTCCTTTATAAACATGTATTAGTAAAAATACAGGAACAGAAAAGTGCATTTTTCAAACAACCTTTTTCAGGATAATTGCTAATCTATAAAAACAAGATATGTTTGTAAAACATGTATGCCCCCTATCGGCAGCCAATTAGTCATGTGATCAGGTTATTATGCATGACTTCTGACCCAGTGAACAAACTATTAATAAGGGTTATCAGTTATCTAGTATCTACTGGTCATGACTAGTCACAAGGTAATAATAATTGTGACCCCATAGGTTGTGTGAAGCAATTTAAGTTATTACAAATCTTACCAAATAATATATGCATACATTTTATGAATCATGTAGGCCTCATTAATGACAGCCAAGTTGTTATATTACATAAGACCTTCAAATGTGTATACCAAAAGCAATTTTAGTTGAATATAAAAATATCAACCAAGGCAACATGAGTTGTTGAGTTATTGGTCAGAAACTGTCATTAAGTACAAGGTCAATATGACATTGACCCCTTGACCCAAAATCAATAGGGGTCATCTACTGGTCATGACCAATCATCATACCAAGTTTGAAGTTTCTAGGCCTAAGCATTCTTTAGTTATTGATCGGAGACCATCTTTATCTACAAGGTCAATGTGACCTTGACCTTGGACCCCTTGACCCCAAAATCAATAGGGGTCATCTGCTGGCCATGACCAATCATCATACCAAGTTTGAAGTTCCTAGGCCGAAGCGTTTTTTAGTTATTGATCAGAAACCGTTTTTACTTACAAGGTCAATGTGACCTTGACCTTTGACCCCTTGATCCCAAAATCAATAGGAGTCATCTGCTGGTCATGACCAATCACCATACCAAGTTTAAAGTTCCTAGTCCTAAGCGTTCTTTAGTTATTGATCAGAAACTGTTTTTACCTACAAGGTCAATGTGACCTTTGACCCTTGACCCAAAATTCAATAGGGGTCATCTGCTTGTCACGACCAATCATCATACAAAGTTTGAAGTTCCTAGGCCTAAGCGTTTTTAGTTAATTGATCGGAAACCGTTTATCCCTACAAGGTCAATGTGACCTTGACCTTTGACCCCTTGACCCCAAAATCAATAGGGGTCATCTACTGATCATGACCAATCACCATACCAAGTTTGAAGTTCCTAGGCTTAAGGGTTCTTTACTTATTGATCGGAAACCGTTTTTACCTAAGAGGTCAATATGACCTTGACCTTTGACCCCTTGACCCCAAAATCAATAGGGGTCATTTACTGATCATGACCAATCACCATATCAAGTTTGAAGTCCCTAGGCCTAAGGGTTCTTTAGTTATTGATCGGAAACCGTTTTTACCTACAAGGTCAATGTGACCTTGACCTTTGACCCTTGACCCCAAAATCAATAGGGGTCATCTGCTGGTCATGACCAATCACCATATCAAGTTTGAAGTTCCTAGGCCTAAGGGTTCTTTAGTTATTGATCGGAAACCGTTTTTACCTAAATGGTCAATGTGAGCTTGACCTTTGACCCCTTGACCCCAAAATCAATAGGGGTCATCTACTGATCATGACCAATCACCATACCAAGTTTGAAGTTCCTAGTCCTAAGGGTTCTTTAGTCATTGATCGGAAACCGTTTTTGCTTACAAGGTCAATGTGACCTTGACCTTTGACCCATTGACCCCAAAATCATAGGGGTCATCTACTGGTCATGACCAATCACCATACCAAGTTTGAAGTTCCTAGGCCTAAGGGTTCTTTAGTTATCACTCGGAAACCATTTGGTCTACGGACCGACAGACCGACGGACCGACGGACCGACAAGTGCAAAGCAATATACCCTCTCTTTTTCGAAGTGGGGGCATAATAAATGTTTAGATTCTAGAATTAATGATAAAGATATTTCATAACGAATCAATCTGGAAAGCAAATATGAAATAGAATCAATTGATCATATTTATCAACAAAGCAACAACAAAATTATACTTGTACAGCCCTTTAGAAATATTATTTCGCAAAATTATATAAGTGCGCACACTCGCAGAGCAAAAATAAAAGAGAACATTAAGCTATCTTTAGGTTTTACTACCCAAATTATCCACCAAATAATTGTTACTTATTTTTTTAGGACGAAGTACTGGTGCTGATGGCTGCTCAAAAATATTATATAGACAATGGTGCAGAAACTGACGCGACGAAAATAGAAACTTTTGTCAAATCATGGCTACCTAAAAGTCAAATGGAGATCAAAGAATTGTCGTACTGGGTTGGCAAAGTGAAATCTGAAATAGAAAATGACTTCCTGAAAGACAAACCACATAAAACGTCCTTGAAAGCGGATATAGTGACATTTGCAATGAACAAGTGGTACAACTTGTTTTCTAGATTTTATGACGCCTCTAAGGTGCAGGGACCAAATATATCCTGGGCGAATATTATATTAGGAATTAATTGTAAAGGATTTAACATAATGGATGAAAGTGAAAACGTGAAAGTGCACCTTTCATTTATTGAGATTACACGAGTTGCCAAAGGAAGGTTTGTATATTGTTGCTTTTTCTTTTACCACTTTTAAAAATATTTAAACATCTGTTCGGCAGTTTTCTATACTTTGCTCCGAAAGAATAATTTTCAAACAAACTTGTGACCTTCTATCCCGGCTTATTCTAAGTACATTTTTCAGTGGCTTACTATATATCTTTAAAAACTTTACCAAGCTTAGAATTTTTAACAAACCACCCCTTATTTTTAAAGTTATTCCATTCGGTGCGTTGTATGACTGAAACGCATCATTGCTCACACTGTTAAACGCATTTAGTATTGTTAATTTCTTATATAATGTGACCAGTTTTTTTTTTTTTTTTTTTTTTTTTTTTTTTTTTGCTTAAGTAAATATCGTAATATTTCTGCCCCCATTATGACGACAAGTCACGGCAGTATTGCTTACATAATACCTTTATCTGACATTATACGACAGCTTATGCTTCTGCTGAATGATTTACAAAAAAATGTACATTTTTGTATTCTTATTTAGACAGTATACCGAAAAAAAGATTATAAAACACATTTATGTTTCAGACATTCAGTGACAATATCAACAGTACAGGGTGATGACTATACCGCGACAACAGTGCATTCCGAGGATCTTTATACATTGATGACGTCATTCCAACTTGGGCTTAGGAGAAGATCGATGTATGCAATTGCTGTCCAAGATGCCTCACATTTCGGTACAAATCGCAGAAATTATTTTTATGATTATTAAAATGGATTATTTATATAACAGAATGTTCACCAGTTCAAAATCAGTTAAAAGAATATATTGAAAAAAAGTCCTTTTTTGTTAAGACAATTATCTTTTTCTAATAACAAAATTGTTAACTTTAGACCTTGAAAATGATTGCTTCAATTGATATAATAGAACATCGGCTAGTTTGCACTACTCGTTATCCTAAACTGAAATATATTTTTTTACCTTCAACAATAGTCTTAAATATAAACACATATATACGCACGGATAACTCTCATTAAAAAAAATAAACGATAACTTCTAAATGCAATATGTATATATATTTTCAGAAAGTGCAATAGGTTTTGGAATATCAAAAGGAGATTTAGTAAAATTTGACAAACCTTATGAGGAATATGGTGAATCGGATGTATACACCGGAATAACAGTGACCAATGGAAAGCACGGAAGTATACCACGTGACCTCCTGTACATTTTGCCAACCACTGAAGAGCCACCTGCAAATATTATGGTGAGCCTATTGAAAAAATATTTCACGATAAATAATCCGAAACATTTTAAATGGTAGCTCGTGAGAACTGAAACCATGTGCAATTAACTTAAAAATATTTGGTTATTATGTCAAGAGGAGAATATATAAAAGAGAGAGAGAAAATAAGGCGTTAGTAATGTGTTCAACCGTTTCCAACATAAACACATTATTTTCATACTAGGTATAGTTCTTTAGCAGCAAGATAGATAGAATGCCATACAGAGTGACCTAAAGCGTACCGAGCTGTTATTATCCGATGAAAGAAAACCAATAGTGGTTTGTTTTTACAATTTACTATGTAATGCACATTTATGATTGTGTTACATTTTGAAGAATTCCATAATTGAACATTTTGAAGAATTCCATAATTGACAATTTCATATTTGTTAATAATGCAGAGACAAGTTAGTCAAAGATCAACGGATTTGCTTCCCTTGTAAATAAACAGAATTGAAAATATTTCAGTATTTAAGTCTGTCATAAGTAGGAATAGTTTCTGTTACGGTGTTTTCATTATAAAACAACTGTTAATACGGGTATGTACGAGAGTGTATTTGAGCCGCGTCACGACAAAATCAACATAATGGATTTTGCGACCAGCACGGACCCAGACCAGCCTGCGCATCCGCGCAGTGTGATCAGGATCCATGCTGTTCGCTTACAAACCCTATATCCAGCAGAGAAACTAAAACCGATCAGCATGGATCCTGATCAGACTGTGCGGATGCGCAGGCTGGTCTGGATCCAGGCTGGTCGCAAACCCATTATGTTGGTTTTGTCATGACGCGGCTCATTTGTACGGTTCTCATTATCCGTAGGTCTTTTTGTCGAGTGTATTTTAAGATGTGGATGAAAAATTTCTTGTGATTGCATTATTTCAGGGTATGTTAACGGTGCAGTTGAGGAAAGAAACACCAAGTTTTGTACCATCAGGAACTGCTACATCACAGAATGGAGCTGAAGGCCATACACTTCATAATTACTCCAAGACATACTTTAGGTAAGTTAATAACGAACATAATCCAGGTAGATACAGGGCCAACACCGAGCTCATAAATAACGCTACGCTTTAGTCAGATTTGGTCCAAAACATACTTTAAGTAAGACTACCATTTACGTTTTATAGGAACACCAAGGTCCAACACCAATCTAATTAAAATGAGCTCCTTATCAACCCTACGCACTACATCTGAACTTTAGTCAGATTGGGCTAAACACATACTTCAAATAGGACTATAATTTACGATATACAGGAAAATACAGGGAACATTATGACAACGTTTAATATATTTTTGTTGGAACATTGCTTATATACTGCTGCTAAAATTGATGACCATAAAATAAAGGTTTTCAATGACTTACGCATGAATATTCATTAAAGATGAGAAATTTTACTTCATTCATATTGATATTGCATCAAATACTTACTCATCATGTGGTTGATATACTCATTACATCCTTAACGCTGTTGTAGATTCCTGCAGATTTCAAATGTAACACTAGCAACTTGATGAATGAACAATGGAATGTCCGAAATTTTGTAATGCATATTCATTCGCATTATGCCAGATGATTTTTATCTACTATAGACAGGTGTCTGAGAAAAGCTCGGTTACAAAATTGCTGTCCAAGGCTTCACTAAAGAAGAAAGACAAAGATGTGATATGGAAGTTTACGAAGGAACCGATGAAGAAAGCCTTATTGAGACGGAGCAATCTAAGAGATGATCTCAGAAAAGCAGCTATAAAAAGCTTTACAGATATCCCTTTTTTGTGAAATGATAGAGATGTATGATGAGTTTTGATACTGCTTTGATAGTTACAACAATGCAAAAAATTCAGCATGTTATAAAATATTATTGGAGCGCAGTGACGCGACGTCACTGGAGTTCATAATTATATGAAATGTATATTCACACAATTGATGAAGGTATTATCTCGAAACTATATGTTATTCCCGTAAAGAAAACATTGGAAAAACAAAACAATATGATGCTCATACTCTTATAAGATCAGACTATTTATGATAACCTTAGATGTTCAGTACCGAGTTAATTCTCTTTATCGTCGACTAACCAATGATTTCATCGTATGTATCGATCTTTTCAAAAACTTTGTCAGACTTTTAAAAAGCTGTTTACAAGCATTATCTGCTTCGGTTACATTTTGACAACAAAGGAGCAGCATGGCAAACTTTGATAATTCAATCGATCTTCAAGCATATAAATAACTTATGATAAATACAGGCGATGTTAAAAACTTTTATTGATAAGACTAGAAATGAGCTATTATAGCTTACAGTTTAATGTGGCACTAACTCGATAAATTGCATCATTATATTTGGGTATTTCATGCTGTAGCTTACATAATGAATATATGTATAAACACTTTTATTTTAATGTATCTATTTCTCATAAGATCAGTTTGTTATTCTTAACTTTTGTTACCTATCCAAACATATATGGGAGACGCCCTAAATAAAGAGAACACCCCTGCAAACGAATTACTAAATGACAATGTCATTGACATCGCAATGAGAAACGTAAGTTCAGTTTACCTTTAAAATAGCAGCTAAAACATATCATTAACAGTTGATCCGATGTTCAAGTTTTACTTTTATGATATATATTCAAGGTTTTAAGTAATTTTATAGATACTATTAGGAAATATATCTTTGAAATATAATTTATTTTGCTGCTGCATTTCAGATATTTTTATAAGGAAGTAAAGTTGTTTTGTCATTTTGAACATCAAGGAATAGTATGTACACATATCAATTACTAGTTGAAATCAAAGAAATATCTAGGTTGAAATAACTAAATGACACGATAGGTGTAAATTATACTTATGTTTTACTTACAGAAATATCTACGAGATGAGGTGTTCTGTCAGGTGATGAAACAACTCACAAGTAATCCAAACAAGTAAGGGTTGTTTTCTTCGTGTTCTTTCTTCTTTTTTCTCTCTTCTGTTTTGTGTAGTTATATTCCTTTGGTCTGTGGAGATCATTTATTATATTAGAATATGTGTTGAGGATTGAATACTTCTTAGGTCGGTGCCAGAGGGGCATAAAAAGTTTTGCGTTTTCATGGTTTTATCAAGATTCGGTCAGATCAAGCTAGGAACAGTAGATTTCCTTGTTTTGTCCACATGACGCTATGGGAATTTCAGGACAAATCATTGAAAGCAAAGATAAGCTAGTGGCCAAGTGGAGGATCCCTGATACTTGCATTCTGTGCACATATATTTAATCGAGTTTAAAATGAAATGTATTTTAATATGCATGTATATATCTTACTTTTTCAAACGCAATTATACGTTAGCTTTAATGTGTATGACCTGCAGGGATCATTATGAAATGAATTCAAAATTGACCACTGGTTTGGTTGCGTTTATGATCCAGAAGAATGGAACATTGCAATACTTTTCATGCCAGTTATTTTTAATCTGCAATAAATTATTACCTGTAACAATATGTTGTAATTACCTAGTACTTAAACTTATGTAAAAACACAATGCCATGTTTGATGTTCATATATTATACAGATTAAGTGAGGAGAGGGGTTGGCAGTTGATGTGGTTGTTGTTAACTTGTACATATCCACATAACGACCTGTTTGATGAGCTGGAATTATTTCTGAAAACCAACCAAAATGTGTTCGCTAAACGTTGCCTTGCCAAGCTTCATGCCACAAAACGGTAATTAGAATAGTACACAGCTATATGCCTCCAGATGAGCCAAAATATATCAATAAAACTAAAAATATATCGAGAAAAATAAACTGAGCTACCAAAATAATAATTTAAAATGATTCACGTTAAAAGTATTAATTTCCATGTTATTTGCAGTATTTTTACCATATATCTACTGCTTTCTTACACAGTAAGGGCAATTTTTGCATATTTTGATCTCATTTTTGTAATTTACATTGGTTGTAAGTGCAGTTTTCAATGTGTATAGTTTATATTTTACTTTTTTTATGCATTTTCAAAATTTTCATGAAAATTTATATGAATCTCGAGGTAAATTGCTTTAATTAAGAAATATTAATATGACTGCATAAGTATCCTGTTTAAAATTATATAGAATTTTAATTTACTGTTAAATTCATTATTGATTTGTGAAATGCTTAACCATTTTTTATTTAGCACAATGTCATATATTCTAACCTATTTTGAATACGTCGTAGTAAAGGACAGCCATAATTACTGTGTAATTCGAAATATGTGTACGAAGCATCTTGTTTCTTACATGATTTACAAAAAGGGTTAGTAGATTATTCAAGCTTATGTTCATATTATTATGGAACATATCGTTTGTTATTGGTATACTGATTACCTAACAAACAATGAATCTTACAACATACTTCTGGATGTTGAAAGATCTAAATATTCATGTAAATTTATCTGCCTTACTAATGTAAAATAAGACAATGCTAAGTATAATATGTAATATTTTTGCATGTTATCATAAAGAAATGAATTTAGGTAAGTTGCTTAGGGCACATCTCTTGCTTTTTAATGATCAAAACTCAAAACAGCTTCTGCTAAGTTGTATATTAATACAATATCTAATAATCATTATCAGTAAACACAATAAAAATATGTAAATTTATGTTATGATATAGATAAAAAAAAACATCTAATGTGTTTATATTGTGTTCAAGTAAACAATAAAAAAGGCTCAAGGTACATATATTCGGATAAAAGATTTATGTTATGATTAACTATAGAGTAATTAACTATTTTACGATTATCTAACTTTGCATGATTGATAATACAATGTATAATGTAATGGATTTTACAGGAATATGTATACGTTAAGATCCACTATTATTGTAGAATGTTTATATTTCAGACCCATGACCAATTGCAAATATGGCGTGTAATGAATCAGTCAAAGTCATATTCATATATTTCTAGCAATAGATTACCGCTTTTAGAATAAATTTATAATGAATATACATATGTATAACTGTATATGCATTTAAGAATAATAGCTTTTTATCTATATTTAGTAATATGATTTTAGAGTAACCTTTTCACCGACATTAATTCAATACAAGTATCTGCAAAACAGGTACATAATTTTGTATTTCTAGGGTTTAGCTTTTTGTCTGAACTAAAGCGTAGTCTTCAAGAAGTGGTAATAATTTAAACAAAATGAATTTCATATGATTTGTGTATAGTCTGTTTTTATTTGATTGTAACAGTTTTCTTATTCATTGCTTTTATACATGTAGCACAGTCACTTGAATACACGAATCATGAATTGAACGAATTTATTCTATATACCTTTCTTCAACTTGACGCTCTTTCAGTCACCTTTTTATCATTTTTACATAAATATAAACTTATTGTAAAGAACCATTTTAATATAAACAGTGTTATTTAACTTTAACTTCAAGAAATTTGTCTTCAAATGTTCACGTTTTTAGCCATACACATATTTTCCTTAAAATCGATGCCATCTGTTGGTTGTAAACTTATATTCAATTTGGAATTTGAAGAAGAACTTTATAAGATTTGATATCTTTCATTCTAATCCATTTCCACAGCGTACATAGCTGAATCTGTATATCATGTATTGTGTTATGTTTAAACTAATGGAACAAATTTGCAATGATTTGATGCAACTATGCATATTCAGTTCCCGCGCTATTTTATTAGTGGTTCCAGCTTTCCACCATGTTTGATTTGCAATGTCACATAGTTTTCAGATTATGATATGTGAGGGACATAGAAGTTGTTTAAATATGATCACGATGATATTTGAAACAACAAATTAAAATGTATTTCATGTTAAAATGCTTATTGCTTGTGAAAGACATTAGTGGGTTTTTGCTTTAAACTTAGTTAGTATTACTACTTTTTCCATTTGTATTTTTGTATTATTATTTAGCTTGTATAAGACCTGGCGTTTTAGCTCAGCAAATGTGTCATAATGTAACTATATTGACACTGTACTGAAGACACTTCTTAAATTGTTTACAGTTTTTATTTTTTTTGTTTTTAGTATGCCTTTTACATTAATGTCACTAAAATCTACTTTTTTCCTGCGAATTTCATCTTGAATCACATTGTCTTTATCTTCTTTTTTCTTCTCTAAAACTAAATTATTACTTACCATATAATACTTGAAATTAACAGTGACTGGATTGTAATATATATAACAATTAAAAATGGTATATAATGGTTATTGTAAGATGTTTAATGATGAAAATTGTACATATTTACAGTGAAGGCTGTCGCTATTCTCCTCCTCATCAGTTAGAATACGAGGCCCTGAGCAACAAACATCCAGCAATTGAATATACCATTCTATTCCCAGACCAAACAACACAGGTAATGCTTAATTCATTTGCCTTTGTCTGCCTTTATTTTTTGGAATTTAATTTGTTAGTTTGTCGTTTTTCATTTGTAAACAGAGTTGAAATTTGTTGTTGAACATTAAGGATTTCTAACCACCATGGATCAGTCCCTGTCAGGAGCAAGCCGTTGTTCCTTTGAGCAAATTTTTATATGTATCACTAAGTACTAGCTGGTGCTGAAACAGATTCGAGAGTGTGTCTTTAAGCTTATAGCTTCCAACACAATCGAACTTAGATAAATCCTGTATAAACTTAGAAGGTTCTGAACACGTTGAATTAAATCCACATGAAAACATTTTTACTTTAACCAAGCTGGGCAATATTAAGTAAACTATGGATATAGAACAAACATAATTGTTTAAATTCTATAATCAGAATACTTCCAAACTGCTTATATGAAATAAATATGGTATTTTGACTTAACAGCGAATTTGTAGAACTTCTGGCTAAATGATTTTCCTGTTAGAAATAGCAGCATAATGTTTTCTTCCGGATAATTTTATTCTGTTTAAGTACAGTATGCATGTGTGTGTATATATAACAGATATTTCATGTTGAAACTTTGCCGAGAATCCAACATTTTATTATGGAAGAAACATAATTTTACTGTTGATAAATATTATATAAACCTTCATCTGTATATCCTTTTAAAGCTGTGGTATCATTTGTTTCTAGGCTTTAGAATCTCTCGAATCCGTTTCGGAACCAGCTAGTACTTAGCAATGTGTACAAAGTTGCTTGTTATATTTTTCTGCTCCTTGCACAATTAAGTGTTGAAAATCGAGAACCGCTCATGTCGGTGCATGGGGGCTTGAGGGATGTTGCACTTATTCATTATTTCTCATGTACAGACTCAATCAAACCCAGTCTGCAGTTATTAATGTAATTTTGTTGTGATTAATGCTTCCGAGGGATCATTGTGATTAATGCTTCCGAGGGATCACTTAGTTTCCAGTTTTTTTTTAACAGAAGGAATTGATGAATAAACACAATTAGTTTACAATTGATTTCATATTTCTTGTTCAAAATTGCACACAACAGAGCTCACTTATCATTGCTTATTGTTATAGACGATAGAAGTGGACTCCAGTACAAGAATGTGTGACATACACCAGAATATAGTAAAAAGATTGATGTTGAAACATAGTCAAGAATATGGTTTATTCTTTGGTCTGAAAGACAAAGGTAGGAATCATGTACTTGTTTAAGACAATGATAACAAATATCATATACTGTTTTGACGGAGTTTACAATGCACACTGTATACCAATTGTCATTATTTGAAGCGGGGTAGATGATAGTAAACATCCTAAGTATATATATATATTACCGGTAGAATATGTATTTATTTTTGACGTGTATGTGATATTACTGGTGATTATTTAGAAATATCAATCAAATTTATTTTTCATAAAATTGTTGTTTTTTTTCTAAAGTAATATGTATTGTAAAATTTATTTATTAACACTAACAATTATCATGTATGACACTCAATGCTCCAGACCAAAAAGCAATACGTAAGTAATCACACTTTTATCTGTGTAATTAATTTTGACATGCATTTATATTATGTACATTATATGTTTAGTCTTTAGTGCTGCTACCAGTCTAATATTTTTATTATGTTATGAATAAAACAATATAATCTGTATGCTATTTGTGGGGGGAATCAACGTTGTGCTAGTTTGCTGCCTGCATAAATTCACTATGTATATTGCCTGCATTGATTTTGCTTTTCCATCCTCTAATTCATGTCTCTTCATCTGCTATTCTTTTAAATTACAAACAAGTGTTGTTCATTTGGCTTACTCGGATCATATAGTATCATATGTTTAGGGTCGTTGACTTCGAGAGACTTGCCATTTCGAATCCCGTCAGTGATTGACGACGCTATCCTGCTAGCTAACATAATGGTGTTTCTTCTCAAATGCTGCCCATCCGTGCATTAAGTAATGTACGGAGGGATACCTGAGGTCATACACTTGAAAAGTTGAAAAGTCGCCATAGTACCTTTAATCTGAATTGGTCTATAATGGAGGGTTGGTAATACCATAATACCATATGTTATATATGGATGTTGTTGATAGATACAAAAAAATCAAACCAAAGGCAATAATTGTGTAAATTACTAGTCAGAACTTAAATTTAAAAATTGAAAATGCACATTTGTTTAAAAAAGCACACCTGCAGATTTGTGCCTAATTTTAGTATTATGGTATGCAAGAAAACTTTAGATCCATGATCTGATAATGACATATCAATACATGTATATAGCAGATAAAAAAGTGGTTAAGAACAAAATGTTCTATTCAGCGTTTATAATGGTCATACTAAATCACTTTAAAACACTTTCAACATTTCGTTTTTTAAAAGTATTCCATCCAAATAATACATTTCTATTGTTTTTTTAAATCAGTTTTTGGCGAGTATGCCCATAATAGACCTATCCACTTTAAAGTGTCAGTGTGGCTAGTCACTTTAATCCCAACAGAAATAAGTAAGGAATATTCAGTATGATCATAGGAACATTTTGCCAGATCGCTTAACGTTTTTTTTATTTATGCTATGATTGCTTTACATGTTGGAGGATACAAATATCATTATGAAATTACTCTTATGTCATTTGCACGATACAAAAGTATAATATATCACCTGCAGGTATTTTTTTTATTATTTAATACATCCTGATAACAGAAAGTCATGTTTGTAATTGTTAAAGCTGTTTTACATGTTTTAACCATCATTTTTGTTATCATTTTCCGATATGTGTACCGTACCTTTTTAATAATTGCTTTCAAACTCTGTGATTTTTTATGCATTTTTCTTCGTTCTCCGTGTACGTTTGTGTCATATGTTACATTGTAGAAATATATGTTGAGAACTATATAAGCCTTATAAATAGGTGCAAATTATTACTTATAGCGTTTTCAAGATAAAAATAAGTGCAATTTAATAAAAGTTTGTCTGGTTCCAGTACGGAATATGATGTTTTATAAAATTTGCTCTAGAAAGAGGTTAGTGTGTAAAGTTAGTTCTTCTATTATTTCTCCATCCTTATCACAAAAAGATACCATTGTGCCAACGTGCCGGTACATGTAGAATCATTTTTGCAATATGAAATGGAACATAGGAATTAAATAGGGATTTAATTTAAAATGATTTATGTTTCAAAGAGTTCTCTGCCGACTCGGGTAAGACTTAAAACTTTACTAATCACAAAGAGACTTTGTTTTGGTTTTATTTATATGCAGTATGAAGCTTTTAATATTGTTTATCTCTATTTCATTTAGGAAGGGATTCAGAAATCTTGATTGTTATCCTCTAACTAACCAATACTTTTGTGTCGGCTGTATTAATCAGTTAAGATAAGATATGGAATCAAAAGTGTTTTAACAATTGCATGTTAATAACTGAGCTGAATATGGTCGTTTCTTTTACTATATGGAAATATTAGATCTTGCTGAGGGAACTATATTGATAAATTTATTATTGACGAAGTATTAAAGTATACTTGTAGTGAATGGCTCTCTATGTAACCTCAAGTATTATATTTACTTGAAAGTTTTGTTTAGAACATAGTGTGATTTTCATTATCTCATAAACAAATGACATTTTTATGTAAACATGGCATGGGTATTTGTCCAAATTCAAATTCGAAGCAGAAAATGTGTTTTATAACATTATTTATAACATAATAATAAAAGCATGATACGCTTATAGAATTATACAAAATAATTGCTTCGTTTGCATGAATTCTAAATGTATTTTGCATGTAATAAATAACTGATAACAAATATGTCTGATCTACAGTTTACAACTTAAACTTGAATCTCGATATTACTATATACTTTATATATTGCATGCGGGATAGTACAAGGTGATGAAGTACCTCTGCAGTTCTTTTATTTTACAGTGCGTTTTAACAATGCCATTTTCAAAATACGTATTAATGCTTCCTTCAAACTTAAAAAGAAGAATTGTACAATGTTAACTGCATAACAATACAACAAGAAACTTACTCTCAACAGTTAAAAACATTATAATCTGACAATCCTTGTTTAAAGCAATAAAACTAATTTTCAATGCATTTGTATGAGTAATTTGAAACAAAATAAACAAGAACAATGAAAATATAAAATTATATGCAAATATTTAGTAATATCAGTAGCTATATTTTGTAAAAGACTTTAGATTTGATTAAAATGTTTGAATGAAGTAGTACTGGTTTAAAACAAGTAAAGTTTACAAACTATGTTTTATGTAATTTATCTTTATTTTAATCAAATCTATTTTATGTACCTTTATTTTTTATATAATTACCAAACATGTTAACAGATTTCGTCATTTATACTGTAGTGCAGTACACTTTACTCAAATATATTACTGCGCAAAAAAATAATTCTTTCTGTTGACTTAAGTAAACTTTGAATCTTTGAATAATTATCCTAAACTGGGTATCCTACCTTGAATCTCACATGTCACAAGATTTATATATTAGTAAACAATAATATAGCTTTCTGTCTTTTTTCAGTAATAAATGTTTCATACTGGGACTATTTCTTCGACCATTTATCACACATTCAAAAATACTATACAAGAATGCCAAGAAAACATTCGGCGGCCGAGGATGGTAAGTAATTAATGGATAAAAATTTAATAATATCTATGCCTCTGAGTACGTAAAGAGTATTCTGATTGTTATTGAAACTGGTCGATTTATACAACTTTTTTTTCTTTTAATTTGAATAACACCAAATACGTTTTGTTCAGCTATTAACACATACTAATAATTACGATATATTTGAAATATGACCGGTATATATAATTATTAAGATATTAAAGATCAACACTGGATATTCAATTTACCGTTATTCATTATACACGAATGTATAATGATATTCGACATTTGAGAGTTCAGACACGTAGCCAAAATTTTGAATCCTAATATTATAATATAAGCACTTTTTTGGCAAAAAGGGGACACTGTATGTATTATCAATAAATATGGGGCTATAAATATTTTTAGATGGAGTTTTGAAATGTTTTGAAAACTGAATGGTCCATAGTGAATTCAAAATAATGAAATGATATACTAATAGATTTTAAGCTGTTAGAATATGTGTAATTTTATGTCAACTACTTATAATGTCTTAATTTTAGATTGCCTGAAAGATCTTTTTTTTTTTTAAATAAATTGAATACTTTTTTGTCTTTATCTGTAAATGTTTCCCTTTTATGATTCTCTATGTTTTTATAAAGTTTTGTACGTGCAGAAATGATTATATTTTTATGTTTATATAAACAGTTTTATATATCACATAATATATTGAATTATTCGACCACTTTACTTTACAGCACCTGTTCCACCATCACCTCCACCAATGTTGATATTCATGAAGAAAATCTGGATGAATTCAAACCCAGGCCAAGATAAGCTTGCCGACATCAAATTCCATTTTCCACAAGTAAACATTTATTAAATATAAATACGTATTAGCTGAAATATAATTACGGATTATATGTACTTCATTATAATCTTATTTCTTTTGTGTAACGAGCCAGGCGAAGCCAGCAACAAACTTGTAACAATAACAAATTTATTACAGAAAAATTATTAAGAAAAATTAAATAGTTTATGTTTACAAGTACCTGAAGTCCGAATAAAATTTAAATTTCTAAATGTCTAATTTGTAAATGTCTAGTCTGATCCTAGAATGACCCCTTTTTGAACAGCACAGTTAAATCCAAGTTAAATCCAAGAACACTTTAGAATAAATTCCCACAATAAAATCCACAAGAATATTTTAATCTATTTTAAAATCCAAGCTCCAATAAATTACTTTATATCAGAATGAATGATACTCCAAATGTAATGATGACTTAAAAGGTAACTGATGACTTAAAAGATAAAGGAAATGAAAAATGTCCCCTTATATAAAAGCGAAGAACATTCCAGATCAGCCTACAGTAATCATAATTAGTAAAGAATAATCTGGAAATTTCTATCTAAATATAATGCACAAATCATAATCTAGAATTTTCTACAACAGTTAAGAAACTTCTAGTACATACATGTAGTTTATGTTCTAAAAATAGAACAGTGATAATATTGGAAATAACAACTTGTCAAAGATAAACTATATACTCGTACATGTAATATGTTGCATACATAACATTTATAACGACTGAATTTAGTGTTGGTGTAATTTTTATTTTTGGTTGAATATAAGATAACACTGATAATCTCATGTCATGTGCCGACTATCCGGCTTAAGTCGTGATAAAAGACCTCCCGACCCCATAATTATATATTATCTTTCAATTGTTTACTTTACATGAGTTCACAATTTCATTCAATTAACCTTTACTAGTATAGAATATATACTTCTACCAATATATACTTCAACATGTACCATGCTGCCTTTTTTTAACTAGGGCGATATGAAAAACGAACCAGTAAGGCTTATTCTGGTATTAATTATTAATTCATTTTTCAATATATTAGGAGATGCCGAATTACTTACGAGGCTATCATAAATGTACTGCCGAGGAGGCTGTTACATTGTCATCATTACTATTTAGAGCAAGATTTGGCGACGAGAAAGATCCCCTCGAAAACCTAGGGTGAGTTTCACAAAACATCTATTGTTAAACAAGTATAATTGTTGTTGTATACATTGATAGACCATTGACATTGTAAATGTTTTATTTAGCGCCTATGATATTTTTCAATAATGAAGCGGTTCAATACAATGAAAGAGTTCTTTTAATCAGTGAAAAAGATGTTCACATACAAAGCTCAAAAATATATTTTCTTTATTTTTCTTTAAGGAACCTTCTGTCGCAGTTAATACCAAAGACTGTTTTCAAGGAGAAGACTTCAGATAAGTGGAAAGAGGTAAGCAGAAAAGCAAAGTAATTTATTATATCAACTAAAATGTATTACAATTTTGTTTTTCAAAGTGTGAGATTTCCATAATATTCTTAAGACAATTCATTTGGATTGTATTTTATAGCTCTACAAACAGTTTTCATTTGTATGTATCAATTTCTAGCGGCTATAGATATTGAAAATATTCTGTTGATACTTATCATTTATTGAAGCTGTATGATAGAAACAAAGAAATTCGCAATAAAATTGGCGGATCTTTTCATGAACGTCATTCTCCGTGGGTTATTTGTTTATCCATATTTTAATAAACAGTGTACATATCTTTAACAAAAATTCATTTACTCAATGGATATACACTTTGTTTGTAATATTTTTTGTGTGTGTGGCATGCATTTTTAAAAGCACTTTGGTGACTCTCGCTTTAGAATTATAAATAAACGAAATGAATCTTATATGAAAACACATTATGATAGGGGAGCATTTTTCATAAACAGGAGCTGCGTGCCAGTATATCCAAGTTGAAATTTCCGACGAAGGAAGATGGAAAAGTGGCTTTCTTGAAAGGGCTGATGAAGTGGCCAACGTATGGATCTGTTTTCTTCGAAGTGAAGGTACATACTAGATTGCTTTAAAAATACTATTAATAATATTGATTAATAATATAATTGCATAGGGCAATAACACTTAATGTAAATAGATTTGTTTGTTCTTTATAGGGGAATTAAAATTAATTGAAAGTTCGGTCAATAAATCAAGGGTTGGTTTTATTTCAGAGTTTAAATTTGACACACTAGGAAGACAAAGGCCTGAACAGAATACGCAGAATTTTGATATCTTATGGAATAAGCATGCTGTTATACTTTAACATTTATCAGAACTTTGGTATTCTCAAAAAATAAATATATCCGACAAATGAGATATTTGCTTATTCTGTACAAAGACAATCGTTTTTTGTTATTACTATTATCATAATCATTATTATTATTTCAGCAAAGAAGTACCAAATCAATGCCAAAAAATCTTCTTGTTGCCGTTAGTCACAACGGAGTAGGATTGATAGATGGTGGTACTAAGGTAAACATTTTACTTACTGTTCAATATTATGATTACTCAATATATGATAAAAATGGATGGTTGAAAATATTGATTGGCCTGTTTACTAATTTAGTTGAAAAAAATATTTCTTGAAAAGATTTGCCCGGCCCCTATTCGATGAAAACTAAAAGTCAGTCAGCCAACATAGAAGAGCCTGTACGCACGAGTAGGCTGGAATAGCTAGCTATACGTGTGGCAAAGGCTACTCAAATTTGGTTCCAGCAGGGGATGAAGTTAAAATGTACGCCCTTAAATATTTTGTATAAATGTGATTATTCATATTTGGTTTAATACAAGGAAAATGTTATATGATAGGAACAACACATAATTATTCGTTTACCTGTTTCAAATAAATTCAAGAAAGTAACACAGCTAAATGTATTCAACAAAACATAAAAAGGCTGAATATTCAGTATATAGAAATACAAAATGAAATTGTTGATCAGAGTGGCATGGAATTTATGTTATACATTAAACGATAGGGAGTGTAAAAGTTTTGTTTATCAATGAATAAGCCTGGCATATAGTACAATCTACGCGTATATTTTCAAAATATTATCCAATCTTGACATATTTTGACTAAGCAAAGTTTCACATGTGTTGTATACAAATTTGCATATATTTTGATCATATACATTTTGATATGTTTTGTTGTAGCAAATTTTAACACGTTGCATGTTATTAAAATTTGACACACTTAGTTATATCAAATCTCGACATGTATATTCTTGAGCAAATTAAATTTTGACATGTTTTGTTTAAACAGGAGGTGATCGACATGTTTAGTTTTGACAAAGTTCCCAACTGGGCTTTTGATGAGTACTCATTCACGTTGGTGATAGGTGAAGGTTCCAGCCTTTCAAAGTTGTATATGGAAACTTCCGTGGTAGGCTATGTTAAACAGTATCTTTGTTTATCACGAACACCAAAAAGAATATTCTAAAACCGTTTATAAGAATAATTCACTATTGTACACTTATAAAAGTAGTAAACAAATTATCATTGATTCTTATCTATTTGTATGTCAGTATTAGCTTGATAATAGAACTTTAAGATCTTATCATTTCACTTAATACATGCCCCTCTTCTTCTTTCACCGTTCTTGTGTCGTCTCCAGTTTCAGTGCCTTCTTGTTGTCAAGCGGGTTTGACCGGAATGTGTATGGGGCTGAGTTCTATGAACGTGACCTTTGTCCTATTAACCTTTTCTCTCATTTTTACATATCAGCATACCTTTGGTATACTCTGTCACTTTAAGTACTCCTTTCTACTATTCAATATTTATCGTGTCAAAGAGCAAAACTTCTTGTATATCAATCCATTGACATTTAAAATAGTATTGTTAATAATCATATCGGAAATTTAAACTCTTTATCACAGGGTCACAATATGGACGACCTGATTATGACGTATGTTGGATACATTATGAACTCGCAAATAAAGAAGAAGCCTTCGTATGCAGGAATAGTTGTCGGAGAGTCATTTGCATGAGGTACCGATGTTTCCGAGTGTTGAAATGCCATGCATTTATGACGAGGGTGCTGTTGCAACTGCCTTGCTGCATTAAAGAAAGGGAATTGTGGTTAGATAAAATTGACAGTGTATGGTTAAATGAAAGAATGAAGAGAGATAGTATAATAGATTTTAAATTTCATGCGTGTCATATATAGCAACTAACAGTTAATGTAATGACAGTTGATGAGGAGTATGGGCCAATGTCGAATGAAATATCTACTTTGTTTATTGATATTGCATGCATACAAAGAAAAATTAATAGTTTTGACTTCGCTATAAATAATCATTACTAAAAAATGAACATCTAAATAGATGTATATGCTCTATATTAATTAATAGACATATCGTTGTTATTATTTTGAATACGGTTAGGATTAACCTATTTAATGTTAACTTACTGCTTTTTGTTATTCATTTTTGTAAGAAAATCCATTATGTGTCATTTAACCCATATTGTCAAACATTCCAAAGAAATACAAACCTCAAAAATGCTTAAATATATGAATAACTATGAAAATGACAAAGGGAGAGTACTGTTTGTGTCTTTTAGATTTGAAATAAACATAGTTAACAAATATTTTAATGGAAAAACTATTTTATATCAATGTAAAATATTTTTAAAAGCTGAAATAAACAGATTCAGATCATATTTTTTTTGTAGAAATAAATTATACAAGTATGGACTTTTCAGCTGGTGAATATAACAAAGGTATATATTTTCGAAAATCAAGATTCAGTCGTACACATATTTGAATATTTCAATTTATTATATGATCTAAATATAGCTGAAATCTCATTGGTTCAAATAGTAGTCAACAGAACAAATTTTAAAATCATAGTCACCGGGTGTAGTATCATATTCACTGGGTGAATTGGATTTTCCCAGTCTAAAAATAGATTGAGACTCATATTCAATGATCATACACCGTAGACTGTTAATTACGCGTGTTATATAAAAATAATTGTTGCCTTTTTTTTCTTTATGGCATATTTCTCGATTAAAATATCAAAACTTTACTATTATACTTAAGGGTTACACCGCAATAATGAATATAAACTTGAATTATTTTTGTATGCGCAGCGTTCGCGTAGTCGTTGCACGCTTAACACGTGCGTCTTTCTTCTCGCGCTTCAACGAGGCAACATTTGTATATGTAAAATTATAAGGTTGCACTTTTGTGATTTTTTTAATTTCTTAGCCTATTCATATAATAAAACATTTATTGACTAGTGAACCATTGAATATGATGTGATATTCACCGGCAGAAAGTCATATTGACCTCGGCTATCGCCTCGGTCAATATGTCATATGCCGGTGAATATCACATCATATTCAATGGCTCACTAGTCAATAATTGTATATTAGTGCAGTGTTAATATTTTTTGTTATATGTATTTTGTTTAATGTTTGATACTACAAGGCTGGGTGTTTTTTTTATTCGCTACGTGTTATGAATGATTGGGTCCATTTGCCGTCTGCTTCCAGAGATCTTCAAAGTAGAATCTCAAGGTTTAATCAAAATATTAACTTCATGCAATATCCTTATAAGCTAGATTTTTATGTTTACTTTATGTTTGTTTATGTTTGACATACATGTATATTGAATCTCTTTTGATATAGCGAAATATATACATATATTTATGGCTGCCAAATCGATCAAATTATATCATTTATATTATTCTTTTAAATGAAATCATCGAATGATGCTGAACATTTAATATATTTTCTTTTCAGTTTCCAAACTTAAATTTCACGTTTATGTTTTTAATTGTAAAGAGATGTGCTTTTATGTTATGTGTTAATGTGTTAGCAAGTACAGGAGTATATACGATTGTTTATTATTTTGGAAGATTTTTTATCTATTTTTATAGAAAATATAATAATTGCTGCGTGTATCTGTTGTTAAGAAGTATTTATTGTGTGTCCCTGTGTTGTTTTCTTTAGATATTACATATATATAACTAAATGATATCAATTATTTACACAATTGTAATAAAGAATCCATTTATATCTTTGTTTGTAGTTTGTTAAAAGGGTGGCAAGGTAACCAAAATTAATATATAAAAGTCTCAGCTATTCATTTTAATTTCAATTACGAGGTATGATCAAAAGTTCTCGGCCCGATATACTTCTAGCCACTACACTGACATTTACACACGATATGTAGTGATGTAGACGCTAGGTGGGTCCCCAGACAGTTGACTGACGACTAGAAATGGACCAGACTGGGCATTTCAAGAAATCTTTTGTCCCGCTAAGAGAATGTACCTGGTTTTATCTACCGGGTCGTAACTCAGGATGAAACATGGGTCCATCACTTCGATCCAAAATCCAAAAAGCAGAGCATGCAGTGAAAGCACCCTGGCTCATCACCTCCAAAGAAATTCAAGAGGGTGCAATCATCAGGGAAGATGATGGCTTCAATTTTTGGGATATTCTGGGGATAATCTTGATTGACTATCTTGAGCAAGGTCGTACCAAAAACGATACATACTATTCAGACGAATTGATACGTCTGCGTCAAGAAATCGCGCGTAAATGGAGGGGCAAACTGACTAAAGGCGTTCTGCTCCTGCACGACAATGCGCCAGCTCACACATCCCAAGTTGCGATGGCTGTTGCAACTGATTGCGGCTTTGAAATTCTTCCCTATCCCCAATATTCTCCGGACTTAGCCCCCTCTGACTTCTACCTGTTTCCGAAAATGAGTTCTTCGAGGACCAAAATAGAGAGTTTTATTTTGAAGGGTTAAACAATTTGGAGCACATGTGGGCAAAGTGCATTGATGTAGAGGGCGATTATATTGAAAAGTAGGACCATTAGATGGGTTCTCTGACTACCGGAAATACATCGGGCTGATAACTTTTGATCAATCCTCGGTCATGGAATTTTACAAATTTTATTGAGTTTTTCCAGTGATAATGTCTTGTATTAAGACATAAAAAGTTTCCATCGGTTAAACATTGTGCTTCTGAGCATGATAATGTTTGAAACCTTTTGCAAATAATTTCTGCAATAAGATTTTAATCAAAAAGTGCTATAGTTTGTTTCCCTCCTTAAAATAACCTCATTAAATATTCTAATGATACATTATCAAATTGTTTTGAAACCATTTGAGTGTTGTCAATGTCAAGCTTTAAAAAAAACATTATATCTCGTTTATTTAGTCGGATATCTACATGGATATTTTGATCTAGAGTGAATAAATAATGCAAGATTTTGAAGATAAAGTGAAAGATCCTTCAATAGTGAATGATTTACACGTTAGCACTGTTCATAGCCTGACATTGCACAAAACCTGGTGATTATTTGTTTTGTTCTACGGCGAAATTTTCTACGTATCTCGTGAATATTAATTGCTTTAGTAAAGGCCCATTATGCCTAAAGAAATTAATTTTTATTTCTTATGAAAGGGCAAACATGAGTTTTATACTGTTTAATCAGTTAAATAATTTGCCATCAATGTAGCAAAATGTAAACAAAGTAGTATTTTGCTTTCCATGTTAAATACACATTCACTATAACTTTACTTAATGCCAAAAAGCAACATATGAAAAAGATGGTTCAATGAGAAATGTTTTTGATAAAATAAAATAACAGCAATATTAAAGAGCTTTCGAGAAATAAAAATGAAAGCATTTCTGAAGCATATAGGGCTTTAAAGTAAATCAACCCATAGTGCTCTGTAACACCGCACTTTGGGGTCAAACGTACTTTGGGGTCCGACCCCATAGTGCGTTACGCACTTTTGGGTCCAATTTCGACCCCAGAGTGCGTTAAACAGGTACATATACATTTTTTAACATCAGGCAAATGACCGCACTTTGGGGTCATAGAGAATGAATGTTCATTATGTTTTAAATAATATATTGTAGTCAAAGCCAATGGTAAATAAAAAATCAGGATATTAAATAGACGCAAAACATGTGCCCTTAATTATAGTAGAATCAATAGGGATTTAAATAGTCTTTCACCAACTAAATCACCAAATAAAGAATTTGTATCAATTATTAAGCTTAAAATATTTTTTTCTCAAATTTTCCATTTATCTTAAAAGAATGTACACCTTGCATTAACTCCATTGTTTTTAGCTAAATGCTTTATTTTCCCGTATTTTATTTACACATTTTATAGAAATATGATAGTCTTTGCATAGACAAAGGTACAAATTCTGTGTAATCTTAGTAAGACATTTCAATTACAAATATGTGTCTGATAATATGTTGAAAGAACCATTTATTTAGCTAAATAGATTCGGCTTTCAGTAGTAGTCCGTACAGGCAGTACTAATAAGTAGTCGCACATTAAGAGTGTAACTTCAGAATAACGTAAAATTCTCAGCTGGGGTATAGAGGGGATTGTGGGGTATCGATCCCCCCGAGGGTTAAAAATAACATTTTAAAGGCCCATTATGCTTTTTTTTGTTTTTCTTAAAAGCTTTTTTATTTTGATGTTCTTCTATATTATCCAAAAAATACACATTGGCCAATTACCTGAACCATCTTTTTCATCTGTTGCTTTTTAGCAAAAATGAGTACAGTTAAACAGTTAAAGACAAATACTACATTGTTTTGACTACTTTTATGACCAATAATTTCAAATTTATTGCTAGCTACTTTATTCAGGTAACAAGCATCTTACATTTCTCTGATACCCATTATTTCAACATAATAAAATTCATGTTTGCTCTTTCTAAAGAAGTATGTAAGATTTCCTATAAAAAAAAACCTCTGGCGAACGGTGGTTATATACGGAGCTTACAAAAACCCTTAAATTTGTTGATAAGCTTAATAATGTATTTGTAAAAATCACTATTTATAGTCCGATTGAAAAACTTGATGTTTTACCAGGACATTGTAATAGAGTATACTTATAGTTCTTTGGAAAAACAATATTAACTGCATTTTATTTCATTCCAAACAAATTTAAAATGGAGCTCAATATGGCACCAAAAATTATCAAATAAATGACTGACATAACGGGATATTTTTCGCAGCATCTTTTAATTTTTGGGATACACAATTTCTGATTTTTTTGGACGGTGGCATAAAAGTGACATTTGCATTTTTTGGATACTTATTTTCGTACATATTTTTTGTATGTCGTACATATTTTTTTTAGTTTTGAATACATACTTTTTTAGTTTTGCATACGTATTCTTTTTTAGTTTGCATACATATTCCATTTTAGGTTTTTTTACATATTTTATTTTAGTTTTTTGTAGATATTTTATTTTTGTTTTTTTTTCGTACATATTTGTACATGACGCCATGTGTAAAGTAGAGGTTTGGATAATTACGCCATTTGTGAAACACCATTTTCAAACACTTCGCCATCTGGTAATTACAGTACCCCATTTGCAAATGCACCAACATTTTCATTTTTGGAGGTATCAAAAAAAAAAACAACACTTTTAGTATAAATATATTCTGCATATGGCCTCGATGTGGTTAACATTTAAAGGTGCCTTAAAATCCTTCATGGGGTTTAGGAGAATGAAACCCAAGTCTTAATCCTTTGATTTGAGGTGGGACCCCGACACCTGGCATATAAGCTCTGCACATTATCTGGATGTGCTAAAGAATTGACCCAAATTAAATAAAAATCCTTCAAAGTTTAAAGCATTTTTTCTAAATCAGTGGAATATAAGGACCTATTTAGATCTTTGTAATACACCAGTCATTTTTCACCACCTTCCTTGCCCCCGGTGGAGAGAATCGTGTTTAAATGTTTGCGCTGTCCCGGGGCATAAGGCAGGA